AAGAAATGACTATCAGCTAGATCAGTTTCTTGAACTAATTTATTATGTGGACAAAAATGTTTGTTTTGGCAAGCCTGGGGGAGTAATGAGGGCAGAAATGGATTGGCTCATAATGGTGGCTGCTTAAGTAAGGCAGCTGTTGTAAGAATATGCCTAAGAACAGATGATACTGGGAAAGTGCTTCATGTTTTATTTGTAATTTTTTTTTCATGTTATGTCTAAATAAAACTTTGTTTTGTTTTACTCTGGATCCTCAAAACTAGGCAAGAATGGTGAAGGATTAATCCTAATTCTGTGAGGTTGTTTATGGGGAGAGCTATTTCTGTTTCTGTTATCAACTCGTTATCTTTCTTAAACAGTACACAGGATCACTATGGAATCAGAGTACTTACAGACCTAATGAGAACAGAGAACTGGGCTGGCAACCTATAGCTTTTCTCTGAAATGGGTACATCCAAGAATGGAAGAAGGCTGTACTGACATGAATTTTCTGCTTTGTGGATGTATGGCAGTAGGATATCACACAGAATCCCAAGCTGGCTGTTAAAATACCAAATAATTTGAATGAGATTTTCTGCAGTGCTTGTTCTTGCTTGCAGCTTTTAATGAGGAATCTCAAACAGTAAAAGTATTTACAGATCAACTGGTTGCAAGCTTGAGAGATCTTTGTGTGAAATCCGAAGACCAGGAGCATCTGGAATAATTGCTGCTGCAGTCATAAAAAATAATGTAAAGTGAAAGAAAACTTCCAGGATGCACAGCAATGTCCAATTTGCAGCAAGCTCAGGTTCTGGCTTTGTTAGTGTACAGTGATACAGTGAACAGCCTGGAGTACTGCACAATAAAAGTTTAAAAGTGTTCAGAATTTTGCAGGCTCAAACTGTTCATTAATTAAAGCAGACAATTTCAGATCTGAAGGAAAAATAAAAGCACAGCCAAAACTTTGCTGGCAGTTGTTTGATGGTTGAGTGTGCTGGAGCAAATACCTTTTAACTGGTCTCTCTGTCCCTCCCCCCCTTAGTTTTCAAGCCCAAAAGTGTGCTTTTTGTAGTCATAAAAAATAAGTATGTTTAAAGGAAACTTCGGAGTTGTGTAGCAGTATGTAGCTTGCAGAAAGCTCAGGTTCTGGCTTTGGTAAGGCTACAGTGGTGTGTGTTTGCAAGGAACTGTGTGCTGTCCCTTTTAGGTGATGTGTAGTGCAGCCCAGTAGTCTATACAGAGATGTGGTGATTAGAAATGAACCAGACCTCTGGCTTAAAAAATAGAGAAGGATATTTGGAAAGCTATGGAATGTTTGCAAGGTAAGTGTAAAGTTTTGTGGATTTTGATGGGTTCCAGTAAACCATAGCTTCATAGTAATTATTCCTTAAACTTTCTAGCTTATGGATTTGTTAAATAAGGAACACATTTCTGTATAGAAGAGAAGGATAAGTCTGTTCTGGCAGACTTCATTGTTAGTAGCATGTCTATACGTGGCTGTATGCTCCATTTCAGTTATGGAGTAGAAGATGTTACAGGAAACTGGGTGGAAAAGGTGAAGATTTGCACAATAGATTTTATGCTGATGCATTTTGTCTTCAAATAAAGTGAAAATAATTTGGCTTGAAGCTTGCTGTGTTGAAAGACCATTTTAAACCAGAATTTTTTATGCCAGGGTGCTTACTGTAATGTTAACACATCCTGTTTCCAGCCTTCTTTTCCAGAAAGTACTAAAATGTTTAACCTTTTAGTTATTTTCCTAAATAAACAGAAGACTGAAAGCCATAAGGGTTATATCCAAGTTTTCAATTGTATAAGCAAAGCTAAAATAAACAATTGCCCCCAAACCTGTTGTCCTGCAGGCTATATCCTGTTTACAGGTGTAAAAGCCTGTTTAGTGGGATGTAAGACATGGGTTTTCCATGCTACCTCTTGCCTGATCTACAACTTCTCTCTTGCTTTGTGGATTACTAGGAGCATCTTTGTATTTGGTGCTGGAAAACCAGTTATGTGAGATCTGTTTTGATTCACATTAAGCTTCATCCTGTTCATCAGCCAGTGGTGTTCTTCCCTTCAGTCTAGAATACCTTCTGGCCTTGTGGATTTGGCATGACTAATGGTCTCCATTAGTAGTCTGTATGTCTTGGTCCATTTTCTTTCCTGAATTCAGTTGAAGCTGTAAAGCATCTCTGAGTACAGAGAGGGTGCTTGCATTGCATTTTGCCTGAGCCCCTCTTACAGGTGGTGGTGATCCACTTGCCCTTGTTCAGGGGTAAGTAACCTCATCCTGAAAGATGGATTCCATTTGTTAAAAAAGCAGTTAAATGCTTTTAAGTCGAATAGTATTTTCTGTCTTTGAAAGACTGGAAAAGACAAGTTTTATTGTGGAACCTTACAGTAACAAGTACTCACCAAGGATATGACCACTGTTGATTCAGGATGAGCACAACTCTACTCCAGTCTGATTTCAGTGTCTCTATCACTCATAATCTCATTGGTAATCCAGTGCTTAATTATTTCTCAAGTGCCAAACTATTATTTGAAGGGGGGAAGAATTCAGGGAAGCTAGATGAAAAATCAGTTCATTTCTGATTGGGTATCTTCTAGTGTTTAAAATATACCTGCTAAATCTCCTGTCTAAGAATCTGCTTGGACTAATAAGGGGTTGAGTTTTACTCTAAGGTAGTCATTGATGGCTTTCAAGAAATGATCATCTAACTTTTTTATGTAAGAAAAATAAGATTTCTTTTACTGTATTCCATGAATATTCTAGGATGTATTTTACCAGTTTAAATGAAACAGAAATGAACTGGCAAGATTGATGCTTCAAAGGAATCTATAGTTGATCAAGAATACTTTGTCAGTTAATTGTTTGTAAATGTGTCCCTTTCTTATGCATGTAAAAGGGTTGGGTTTTTTTTGTGAGGTCTTTCATCCCTTTGGTTGCTTGTGGAATACTAATGAAAGTAATGTATGTACATCATGTGGAAAATATGTTGGCAGACAGATACCTGCAGTATCTTAAATGCTTTGGCATTTTGTCTTTGTTTAATCAGCATAGTTGATCCCTGCTTCTCCTAGAGGTTTATACTTTCAGAATAAGATCAAAGGTTTATATGAAAATTTAAGCAGAAGTAGAATTCACCTATTTTAGAGATGAATGAATAGATAAACAGAAACTTAAAAATCAAAGCCTTAGGCACTCTGGTCTCCAATATAAAATGTCTTGTAGGAACAATAATTACAGTAGTTATATATATTTAAAAATAAGACATCTGAAATGTTAGCCGAAGAATTTCCTGGAATTAAGCACCACTGTGATCAGACTTTTGTGATTTGTTTTTGTGATGCTTTCTAGCAGAGTAGATGTTTTATGCCCTGTCTGCATGCTTTGCTAAACTAATAAGCTGACTTGGCATTGAAAATGCTCTTGAGGAATGGCAAAGAAATCCCAATTCTCTTAAGCTAAAGTAACTAAAGTTAAAATATCCGCTACAATTTTGGGGATATTCCGTCTGCCTTTTTGTGGCGCTCGTTCCTTTTGTTACCATTTATCTGCTTCAGATGGCACAGCGGGGTGGCTGTTCCATTGGGCTCTGCATTTGAAGCTGGATCTTCACCAGTAAATGCATTTGTGTTCAATTTGATAACACTTTTTATATGTGTCTAAAACCTTAGCTGTCGTGTTGTGGTGCCAGTATGCTGCTTTTTCTTTGGAATCATGAGCTTATGAGTGGCATGGTGAGTTATGCAGCTTCTAAGAAAACCGTGGGCCTTAATGTTGTTCTATGACAATGTTGTTCAAGTGACCTAGCTTTGGTACCTCAGCCCAGTGCTTCTCATAGATACACAGTTAAAGTCTAAATATTTGAGTTAATGAAATAGGAGAGAAGATTTCCCCAAGACAAACTTCACAATTTCTTAATAACAATATTCCTGCTCCTAAGCAGTTTGTCACACTGTGTGTTCCTTACTGGTTATCTTATAGTTTTTATCAGGTAGAATTTGTAAGTACCAGAAAGTTGAGTACTCTTTGAAATGGCAACATATTTATTCAAAAACTCTCAGAACAGTGTATTTACTCTCAGTGGAAACTGGGGCATTCAGTTTCAACTGCATTGCTGCAGCAACTTTAAAATAAAATAGGGAAGTTGGGGTTTTTCACCTTGCACATAATGAGATCAATAGTTCTCCATACTCCTGAACTGCACAACACTTAAGTGCAGTTTAGAGTTGGCTAAGAAATATGCCAGAATTGTGACTTTACAGGAATAAGCTTTTCTCAGTTATTATCTCACCTTTAATATTTTGCAATGGAATTAAGAGCAGACATAGAGCTGTGATTTATTTGAGATGTTCCAGTTTTCTATAGCCTTTTGCTAGGGAGTTAACTTAAATGTGTATCAAAATTGTGTTTGAAACAGTTACTTTTACTATTCTTACAACAAGCTTTTCCTTTGTTTTAGACAAAATAGGAAATAGGACCATATGTCTTGTGTGTTCTGACTTCTCTGTATGTATGTGCATCTCGTTGGTAGAAGTAACGTGTTATTAATGCTACATGAGGCTGCTGCTCTTACTGCAAAACAAAGTCACTCTATAGGCAAATCACAAGGTACTGTATAGTTCTGTTGTCTCTTGGGCAGGTTTGCAGGATCATATTACATCAGGCACTAAATGTCATAAGTTTCAGGAGGAATTTACTATTCTTCCAAAATGTATATTAAGGAACCCTTCCCCCTCGTTCTTGCAGATAATAATGCTAGTATCTGAAGCTGTGCATACCGGGGAAGAAAATTCTGCCTGAACTACAAAGAGACCTCGTGTCTACTTGCCACAGCATGTTTTTGAAGTCTTTTGTGTAATAGCAACTGTTTTAAAGCACATTTTGTTGAGGAAAAATTGCAGTGGATCATAAACTGAGAAGGGCAGGCTTGTTTCTGATGTGTGTGAGAATATTCAATCTGATGAACATTGATGTTAGTCCAAGAAAAGACTGACTAGTTTGAAATTTATTTTAGCTCTCCTCAAAAAGATATGGATAAGAAGATGGATGAAGAGCAGCCTCTGACTGCATGTAGCCAGTACCCTAAAGAAGCAGTGAGGAGACGTCAGAGCTCGGGTCAGGGTTCCAGGGGCAGTGATTCTTCCAGGACCTCCAGGAAAAGCTTCAGGCTGGACTACAGATTAGAAGAGGATGTCACTAAATCAAAGAGAGGCAAAGATGGGAAGTTTGTCAACCCATGGCCAACGTGGAAATCACCGACCTTGCCAAATGTTTTGAAATGGTCCTTCATGGAAAAAAATAATAGCAACGTGCCATGCTCGAAGCAGGTAAATACTTGCATGTTTTCTGTTCTTGATTGAGACTACTGTTATTTATTAATTATGTTTATTAATCAGTAAGATAGAACAGTTCCTAACTAATACATATTAGTCACCTTTTGGAGACTTTTCCAAGTCTTTCTTTTTATGATTTTATTATCACCCATTCTTTTCAAAAGATGGGTTAATACTTTTTGCCTCTATTTTTTTCTCTCCTTTCGGTTAGTTCCACACCCTTTGATTTATCCAGTTCAGTTTATATTTACAAAACCAGCAAAAATGGTTCCCCAGCTGAGTCATAAACTACAGTTATACTCTTTCCTTTTTAATACATGTTGCCTTGGGAAGCATACTGCTGAACATCATTTGTACTGCATGCAGTAGCTGTGGCATATCTCATTTTACGCATTTTGCCTTTTTTTTCTGACTGCCATTTACTACATAAATAACATCTCTTTTTATATTTTTAAATAAAAATGTAATAACTTGTTGCTGCCATTTACTTATGAAAGTGTTTCAAATCTGTGTTTTTCTGCTTCAGTACACCAGGAGAAAAAAATGCCTATGTTAAAACGAGCCTGAGCAAGTATTTGTTCTGAGATACTAAAAGTACAGAGCCAGTTTACTGGGAAACACCATTATCTGTTCTTGCTGTATTGCTTCTGTCAGATAACTGTATATAAAGAAGGAGGTGCGGAAGCAACCTCTGAGAGAAGCTTCTTTTCCATGAAGAGTTGTAGATACTGGAAAACCATGGGTTATCTTTGTGGCTACAAGGAGCATTATGGTGGCTACAGCTTGGACAGTTGGGATAACTTCTCGGTGTATTTTCTGATGTGTTGACTGCACTTTGGAAAAGCTGTGCTGAAGGATGCACAGCCAAGGAAAGCATTTGTGAACAAATAGGTGGTGTTAATGCTGTTAAGCATCTAGGAAGGCATGCATAAGCTATAAATCTCAGTCAGTATTTAGAAAAGAGCTTACGCTTTTAATTTTTATCTTACGGAATTACCTGCAAAAGAAGGAATTTGATCATCTTTACGAACAGGAAAGCAGTCCTACTACCACATGATGATCAGAGGTTTGGGGATTTCTTAAGGATATGTGGCATGGAACATGTTTAAGAGAGAAATAATCTCAGCTATAATTGTTCTATTATAATAATAATTTACCTTCAGAGAGAAGCACAGCAAACATATGTCCATCTTGTGTGCCTTACACCAATTTACTGTTTTAAATATGGAGTCCTGCTTCTAGACATTATGTGCACCGTTAGTAGTAACAGCAGTTGTGCCTCAGTGTGTACTGCTTTCTAAGCAGTGTGCTGCATTCTCATACTTTGGCCCCATTTGTGTAGAATTTGTGCCTTGTCATTTTCAATTGCCTTTGAGCCACTGCCCTGTTCCCTATGTGTAAAACAGGCTTCCTATCTTGCCAGCACCAGTGGGAAACCTGGTTAGTGACTGAAGTACCTAGAAGGCAGTGCTAAGGTACTACAGAGTGCAGAATATACAGTTCTCTGATGGCAGTGGACAACTGCAGCACTCTAATTTACAGATTATCCCTGCAATAAGGGATGATTACAAAGAAATCTACACTGTGTCAGTTGTAAAGCTGTCTGTCTGACCCAGCTGGGATTCATTTTGAACTAATTTTATTGCTTTGCATATGAAATTTTTTAATTAAATGTCTGCAATTATTCAGGAGACAGTGAAATAAATCAGAAATGGGAAAACCTAGATAGGGATCAATGAAATGCACTCCTGAGACCTCAGCCATTTTGATGCTTGTTCCAGCTGCATTTGTTCCATGCCTAAATCAACCTGTAAAGTGCTTCTGAGCTTGTTCAAAATTCAGACTAAGGGCTTCAGACTAAGGACTGCATAGCTTATTTAGCACTGCTAGCTAGCATGTCCTTCAAGCAGACTCCTACTTCAGTTTCCACGTTGAGTGTTCCTAGTGCTACCCTGCAGTACTGGGCAGGTTCAGTTTATCTGTACCAAGTGCTTTGCATATGGAAAAAAGCATATTATCCAGGATATGTACTTCACTCTTGAAAGCTACATGTATTATAATCATGCCTTCACAACAAGTCTGTATCATTGCCCAGAATGCATAGGTTTCTTGTATTTTCATTGCAGGCTTTATTAATACCTCTTTCTAGTACTGTTTGGAGTATCTTTAATTACTGGTTGTTGGATCAGCCTTTTAGATTGTTCTCATTTCTTTAAAATCCAGTGGGTATTCCAGTATGCACTAAGTACCAAAAAATCCTCAGCTGATTAGTCTTACCAAAGCCTGTCATGTGTTTCTTCTTGCTTTGCATTAGGAAGGAAAGGAGAACACGGGAGGGGGAAAGGAGGAATTTTGGTATTACTCTAGTGATGAAGATAAGCCAGTATTAGGCATGTTTTGCTTCTGTTGGTAGCTGGTTTGATGTGAATGCCATAATTCAAAGATCCGTTACAACTCTTGTAGTATTAATGTGTTTGGTTTGTCTGACAGAGAACAGATTAAAGTCCCATAAGTTTATGCATTTTGTTCATTATTTGTATTCTGTTGTATGAGTTTTAAGAATTTCATATGCAGTATACTGCCAATAGAAGTTGTGTTTTAGTTTGAAATCTTACAAGTTGAGTAGTGAGTCCTTATTGCTTTAAAAGGTAATTCTGGGGATTTTATAAATATTTAATATATTTTAAAAAACCCAAACAAGCATAGTCCATGCACTGAGAAGGATTTTCTTTAGCTATTTCCCTGTGTGATTTACTGTGATAGCTCAACAAAATGCCTGAGGAATCATTGAATCAAAAATCTCTGAGGAATCATTGATTTGGACCATAGGCCTGTGTATCACAAACCTGTAGATCATCATATGGACTCTGTGCTTTCCCTGTTACGCTGCCTTTGTGTTCCTGGTTTGCCTTCAACTTTTGTTCACACAATTTCATTTAAGTAGATCAGGATACCAGTCATTTGAACTGTGTTACTCTTTAGTTATCAGTCTTCCTGTGTTTCCTTTACAAATGCCTTTTGTAGTGATTAGTTCTACTTTTATATCAACTATTCAAAATACTTAAGGGTGTCAATGCCGCTGACATTCCTGTAAAGCCTTTAATAGTGCAAATGTGTTAGGGTTTTACCTGAGTAGGCAGCTAACCCCCATACAGCCACTTGCTCACTGGTGGAATTGGAAGGCTAAAAGTGAGAAAACTTGTGGGTTGAGATAAAGACAGTTTAACAGGTAAAGCAAAAGCTGAGTGTGCAAGCAAAGGAAGAAATTCATTCACCGTTTCCCATGGGCAGGCAGGTGTTCAACCATCTCCAGGACAGCAGGGCTCCACCACATGTAACAGTTACTTGGGAAAACAAACACCATCGCTCTGAATGACCCCCTCTTCCATCTTCTTTCCCAGCTTTCTATGCATATGAGCATGACGCTACATGGTGTGGGATATCCCTGGGGTCAGTTGGGGTCAGTTGTCCCAGCTGTGTCCCCTCCCACCTCCTTGTGCACCCCCAGCATACTGGCTTTGATGCTGTGTAAGCACTCTTCAGCAATAGCTAAATCATCAGTCTGTTATCCACGGTTTTCAGCACAAAGCCAAAGCACCATAAGAGCTACTAGAAAGAGAATTAACTCTATCCCAGATGAAACTAGTACAGTATGTTTGAGTCCCAGTGAAGAACTTATTGTTCACATCTGCCAATTAGCTTTATTTGATCTATTGCATGATGCTAATTTTGCAAACTAGTTTGTGTCTATGTCAGCAAAACTAAAGTGGATTCATTTAAAGTTCTTAGAATAATTTCTAGTCTGCTTCTAAAACTAGCTCCTTAAAAAGAACATTTTCCATTAAAAATGTGCTTGCTGACCTAAATTACAATTAATTATTAAATTTCATATCTGAATATTAATTTCTTTGATAGAATCTGATTTGTTGACTTAACCACGTGTAATATGTGGGTTGTCCTAACTTCCATTTTGGAGTATTATGTTAATTTTCTGGCTCTTCAACCTTTTTACTTATTTTAAGCTGAAGTACCGCAATATAACACACTCTGTTGTACAAATTTCTCCTGCTGGTGTCATTCCCATGTACCTAGAATGAAATAAAGTGATGCTTTTTTCTTGGAGAAGCAGCAGTTTGTCTCAGTCTAATACTCATACTTTGTTTCTTCTTATATGAATTAAGTGATTGTATTGTGCTAACCTTACATTCAGTTTTATAGAAGACTATTTCTCATTCCTGAAGACAGTAATGAAACTTTTTCAGTAGATGTGTCTTGTCCATTAGCTCTTGGAGAAAGCAATGTCATGAATGTTTTATTACGTACAGTGGAGTTTCAGGGGGGTGGAGGGGTGTGTGTGTGTTTTGTTCTTTCCCACCATATGCCCTCCAAATCAATAAAATATTGTGGAGAAAATAACTTTCCTGAAGCTGTCAGGACTGTTTTAGCAAGGGAAGCCCTAGAATCTCTAAATCACAGCATCAGCTGGGCTTTTAAGGCAGCAGGAGGTCAGCTGTGTATAAGCTTGCTGATAGTGTTAATCTACTGCCCTAGACCTAAAGAACTAGAGCAGCAACCATTGCAGGGAGGGCTTCACTGGGAGCCAAGGTGCTGGGACATCTGTGGTTACCAGGGAGAGAAGAGTGTCAGGAGTCTGTAGAAGCTGCCAAAACAGGTAAAATCTTCTCAAGTGATACAGGGAGTTCACACCAGAACTGTTTGGGAGGAGAGCCTTATCCACACTGTGGCTGCACTGGAGGTGGTCAGGAACTCCAGGAAGACTTTGTTTGGTTGCTTTGGTTTGTGTTTTTTTTTTTGTTTGTTTGTAGATTGTTTTTTTTTGGGGTGGTGGTGGTGATGGTCATTATTATTATTGATTAGGAAAACTCTTTTGTATTACAAACAAAACTTGTGCACAAGCATCTCAAGCAAACTGCAGGCAGAAACGTAACTCCAGTTCAAAATGAGAGGGTGTGTGGTTGTTGGAGATGGGTTTCCATAGGTAACATGCAGCCATGGCCCCCTTTGTGTCATCTTGAAGCTACACATAGAGTGCAGTTTGGAAGCCGATTGAGCTTAAAGCTGTCTGTTTTCCTCCTCTGGATTAATGTTCAGCTGGATCGGTTCTCTGACCTGCCAGACTTAAGCGAAGACTGCACAAGTATTTACGGTGGAACAAGAGGGCAAGTGGGGGATGGTTTCTTTGTTATACTGGAGTATGGATTTAGGTTGATTTGAAGTTGTTCATGGGGACTGCATCTTGAACATACAAAGAGATCAGTATAGTGATTTATTCAGTAATAATTAATCTTTAATTACCTTGAAGGCTTCAATAAAACATCATGAGAAGCACAGCTAAGTGCCTTAAGGTCCATCTTAAAAATGAATTTGTTTTTTGAATGTTCATTGGATTACTGGCAGGATGGGAAGAGAGAACTGTAAAATCCATCATCAGCCCAGTGAGGTGAACCTCCATGTGCTGCTTCTGTATGTAATGGGGAGAGAGGGAGGGTCTTATAAAGGCTAACAGAACAGCTTTTGTGGAGTGCTGATGGGAAAGTGGCATTCTCTTTCATCTGTGGGTTTGCAACTTACTTGTGCTAGGACTTAGGGGATGTATCTTCTAGTGCAGGAGCTAAACCTGAGCATTTGTTACAGTAACAATGTGTGTGTACGTATATATATATAAAAGAATATATATATAAAAAAGAATAAATACATATACATACATACATATATATATGTATATGTATTTATTCTTTTCTAGGTCAGGGAAGGCCAACTGATTAGAAAGCCTTTCCCAGGACGCTGTTGTGCCTTGTGGTGCTTTCACCATGATGCTGTTGGAGACTCTCTGTTAGTAGGTCTCCTGGCCTGATGGGATACTCTAAAGCTCTGTCTTCTCTCGACAGAGAAGTGAAAATGTCACAAAAACCTAAGGTGAATTTAAGAGAGAGTAGGTGGGAAAATGGTCATTAAAAAGGCATCTAGTTTGTGGCGCAGTTCTGTAATTGTCTGAAAACATTGAACAAAGTGCAAGTCTGACTGTAATGATTTGTGCCTTTCATGCAGTTTTTGTTCCCCACCGAGTACATTCTGGAACCTGTCATGCATGTTGTGTTCTCTTTTGCTAGGAACTGGATAAAGTGCTTCCTGTGTTAAAACCTTACTTTGTTGAAAAGCCAGAACTTGCTGGGAAGACCGGAACTGGTCTGCGAGTCACGTGGCTGGGACATGCTTCCGTTATGGTGGAAATGGATGAACTTATATTCCTTACTGACCCAATCTTCAGCCAGCGAGCTTCTCCCACTCAGCTGGTGGGTCCCAAGCGCTTCCGAGGACCTCCGTGCACCGTAGAGCAGCTCCCCAAGATAGATGCAGTCATGATCAGCCACACTCACTATGATCACTTGGACTACAACACTGTAATGAGTCTGAATGAGCGTTTTGGGAGTGAGCTGCGCTGGTTTGTGCCTCTAGGGCTATTGGGCTGGATGCAGAGATGTGGTTGTGAGAATGTGATAGAACTGGACTGGTGGGAAGAGAACTGTGTCCCTGGTCATGATGCGGTAACTTTTGTCTTCACCCCTTCGCAACATTGGTGCAAAAGGACTGTGATAGATGATAACAAGGTTCTTTGGGGCAGCTGGTCTGTCTTAGGACCATGGAACAGGTTTTTCTTTTCAGGAGATACTGGATATTGTGTTGCTTTTGAACAGATAGGCAAAAGGTTTGGACCTTTCGATCTTGCAGCCATCTCCATTGGAGCTTATGAGCCAAGGTATGAAAATCAAAGTTTGATCAAAATACATAAGAGAAGTTATATACCGATGACAGAAAAAACACACCCAGAAGTGCATCAGTGGTAATGCTTTATTAAGAATATATAATAGAATGTAGAGGTGAAAGAAAGTGCTGAGGTGAAAGGAATGGCCAAAAAAAGCAGGCAATGGGAAGATCAATCATAGAATATCAGCTTGGAAGGGACCTCAAGGATCATCTGATCCAACCTTTCTGGACAAAGCATGACCTAGACTAGATCTTCCAGCATGCTATCCAACACTGGGGAGTCCACCACTTCCCTAGGAGATTATTCCAATGGCTGATTGTTTTCACCGGCGAAAAGTTTTCCTTTGTCCAGTTGGAATCTCACCAGGAGTAACTTATGCCCATTACCCCTTGTCTTGTCCATGTGACTCCTTGTAAAAAGGTAGTCCTCATCTTCTTTGTAGCCACCCATTCAGATGGAGCTGAAATGTTTAGGGTACTTGCCTGTGTGTATGTGACATTCTTGGAGAGTTTTTTCCTCTTAAGCACAGCAAGGCTGAATCAGCTGCCTTTCTTCCATGAAAAACATTGAGTAAAAATCTGGAATTACTTTGTGTCTTTTATTCTGAGATACCATCACTTAATCCAGCCCACTTAATGTGTGCAATTTGCTGCATTTTACTCTTGCTTGAGTCTTTGCTGGTTTTGCAGCTTATCTGGAGATAAAGATGACTCCTTTATATAGAGTGTGAAAGATCTGTTCAGGCATCTGGATCCTACTTATGATGGGGTATTGAAACTTTTAGATGATAACACACACAATGCTGGAAGCAAAGCATGCATGGGCTGGGAAAGGAAGATAGGAATCTGAACAACATGGCAAAAATATGGCATCTTTTAGGAATTATCAGGTTCCCTCTTCTGCTTTCCCACCACTCCCTTAGGCTATCTTCTGAAGCACACACGTTTTGGTGTGCACTGCTAGCATGATTTTTTTTTCAGGGATGATTTAAGTCTATGGCCTTAATGCCTCAAGGCACCAGAAATCATAGGATCAACTAGGTTGGAAAAGACCTTTAAGATCTAGTCCAACCATTACCCCAGGACTGCCAGGCCCACTACTAAACCATGTGATTGATGGCTCTTCTATGCGTGTTTTGAACAATTGCAGGGATGGTGACTCCACCACTGCCCTGGGAAGCCTTACTGTGTCCTTAGACTATTAAAAATACAGATCTGTTTGAAAAAGGGAGGGAAATACATGAACTGCTGTTTTGTGGATATGTTGGTATATTTCAGCTTGTTGATTTTGAGTGTTTTCTATGTTGATCACACATACATGCATTGGTATTTCTGGGTTTTGTTTGTTTGGTTTTAGATCTTTGTAACATAGCCAGTGAAAGTCAAAAAGAAATCTTGCACTGAACTAGGTGACACAAAACCGTTTACTTTGTGTTTTGATAGGTGGTTTATGAAATACCAGCATGTGGATCCTGAAGAAGCAGTAAGAATCCACATTGATGTTCAAGCAAAGAAGTCTGTAGCAGTTCATTGGGGGACCTTTGCTTTAGCAAATGAGGTAAATTTCAACAGTATAAATGAGTTAAGATTTCCTGAGCACATAGTCACTGATAAAGCTTTGCTCATGCAGTTTTAAACTACATACCTGTAAATGTATACTTAAAGCTTAATCTTGGCATGAGTGAAAAGTTATTACTGTTTGTACGGTTGTTCAAAACAATGCTTAGCTTTGCATAACCAATTACATAAAATATGTCTATGGTTAAGATTAATTTGAAGTACAGAGTTACTGAAACAAATGTGGTGGGTTTCTGATATCTGACAGCTGAGCAACATGCAAGGTGGGTATGCGTGTGCAATATGGAGGCAGTAAGAATTGCATGCCTGTATATCAGAACAGTATTTAGTAAATAAATTGCATAGTATTTTTGATAGTAGATTCATAGTTAAATACCAGCAATAACATGAAAAACCTGAAAATTCTGAGTTGCTGATTTTTTTGAAACATTTTTATACACCACCCCTTCCATTCCCAGTCCCCAGTTGTAATAAGGAGGTTACCCAGGTACCTTCACAGTGACAAGAAATGCAGTGAGAAAGAAGTACTTACGTTTACTTTGACACACCTTATCTGGTAGCTGGTTTCCAACTTTCTCTGTGCAGCAGTTGCAACACTTTATCTTACAGTTCAGGCCTGATGCTGTTACTTCTATTCATCTGGTGTGTCATGCATTCTTTGACTTGGATGCACCATTTTCAATCCACAGTGCTGCCAATGAGCTGTGTCACTTGTGCCCACAGTACAAACACTATTATGTATTTAGAAGCACCAAACCCTGGATGATTTCTCCCTGATACTGCCTTTTCTGAAAGGTAACAAACACAATGAAGTAACCTCAGGGTACCTCACAGGACTGGCACTAGTTTTGAAACTACTAAAGTTGACAACTTCGTTTTACTAAACGAGAGAAAGCGCCATCTGCTGACTTGCGATCTCTTCCTTCTCTGCTGTATCGGCTTCTCGGGGATCTAGGTCAATATGCTGAAGACTGAATTTTGGATGTCAGGTTGTCCCTTGCTAGTTACTCTGCAACTGTAAATAAGTATTCTTATAGTTTAAAAACTGAAAATGAACCCAAACATTTTAATTTGACAAATATCCTTCTCCCCCTTCTTAGATGTTTAAAATGTAATCCATTTCTTGTGCAGAGCAGTGATATTTCCCCCGCCCTGACACCCCCACCCCGCAAATGCTGCAATGGAATGTTTTTTCTCATGTTATTCTCATTTTTCAGTATTACCTGGATCCTCCAGTTAAACTGAATGAAGCTCTTGAAAGATACGGCTTGAAAAAAGATGACTTCTTTGTCTTAAACCATGGAGAATCACGGGACTTGAGTACAAATGATGGGTTTGAATAACAAAAGAGTAGCAGATCCCTGTAAGCCCTCTTTGATTTGAGCTAGCAATTAATGTTACAAATATTACTAGGATGTACTTGCAAAGTAGATTTTGGGGGGGGGGTGAATTGGATTTGTAGATGCTGGGTTTGTCGGTTACAGAACTAAAACTTGCATACCAATTTCATGCTAAATTTCACTAGTTATATTGTTTATCAATTTTGAGGTGATGGAAGAACTGGTTAATATGTAAGGTATTGTCTGGGAATAACTTGCAGTTTCAACTCTTATGTACACCACTGATAAATTACTGGGGTTTTGGGGGCTTTTTTGAACTCTTCATCTTACCTGCAGCAGCAATAATAACCTCAGTGCAGGACATACTCTTAGAGTTAATGGCTGACTTGAACTAGTTTTTGTTAGAATGTCATCTCCCACTTGTTGGTCATTAATCTTCAGTTTATGCCCTGTACCTCGATAGCTTCACTGTATGTTTTGTGGGGTGGAGTCTTCCAATACAGCTGTGTTGTTAAGCACAAGCACAGTAAAAGAATTATTTTACTGACTGCTTCTACATTTTCATATACTGACGAACCACAAAAGCTGCATTTTACAGTGATATAAAGAAACGTGCCTTTCAGAGATAGACATAGTTTAATATTGCGTCACTCGTGTAACACTTAACTGCTGGCCAGAGTATTCTTTGTTTTGTCAATGTTTTTAAGTTAGGCCAGAACATGTCTAAATGCAGTACATGAAATGGAAGAATCCCTTAATGGCACTTGTCTTTACATTGACTCAGCCTATTACTAAGTACTTTTAAGTGAAATATATTTAGCAAGGGCTGTGGTATTTTTTTTCTTACAGCTTCCCTGTAATTTTTAAGTTGAATGAGAGATGACAACATTGCTCACTATTGTAAAACTTGGCTAAATGTATCTGAATCAAATTGCCATGCTAATTTACAGAATTAAAGCCTATTATTGCCAATAAAAAGGGTTGTTATTCTCCTTCATTATTCACTGGCAAATGATTTTTCTGTCAATGATTTGTTTAGGTCTGTGGGGGATATGTATTTTTTTTGTTGTTGTTCTTGCAGTGCATTACATTTTATGTTCAGAATCCATAAATCTAAACAAAAAGACACATTATTTCCCTGCTATTTAAAAACATGAACTTCCAGCAACCAGTTCAAACCAATTAATGAGATTTCATGCTATGAGCAAACTGAAGGAATCTTTTAACTGTTGGGAAGTGCTACAAGTCTTAAACATCTTAATACCAACAAAAAACAGCACAAGGAGGTAAAAATCCATTAGTCCAAGTTCATGCTGAGAGAGGGTTCAGGAACAGAGGGCTACACTTACATGTAAGAAAACGTAGCTTATATTCCTCTGGTGAGATTCATATTTGACAAATGTCAGGATTTCTTTATTTGAAAAGGTTATTCTAATATGGCCTAGATGTATTCACCAGAATTTGTTCAGAACTGGTTTAAAACTACTCTCAGTCATTTGGTGTTCATTTTGGGAGGGTATTTCAGGTGAAGTCTCTACTGGGCCTCTTATTTACACAAGAGCTTCAATAACAAATTGTATAATATAATGCATCTCATGTTCATAATATTGCGAAAGACACTAAGCTGTGCAGGATGCTTTGAGTACTGTGAAGGGCATGGTTAAAACTGATGTGTTTTGTTTGTTTTCCTGTTTTCAGAAACATCAGTAGACTCTTCTGTAAAATTCTGTACTTTAGAAAGAAAGTAAAATACAGAACACAGATAAGCAGCCACAGAGCAGAGAAGTACTGACTTATGAGAGTCAGAGACTAAATGTCAGTAACGGCATACATTTCAGTTTGGATCTATTCACTCACAGCATTTATATGTAGAATGGTGTCTCTTACACTTGGCTTGGTGCTGGTAAGATTTCATCTAGGGTGTGGGATAAAAAAGTTAGACATTCTGGTGTGAAGACACTTTGGAGAGCCTTGCACGATTTCAAAACATATTAACAGTGTTCTTCTATGAAGAAAGCACTACTGTAACAAGGTTTCATGTACTTTTAGAAAAGGGGACAGTGGTTACTTGTTTCTGACAGCTGTCAAAGGCTAATTATCAAAAGGATGATATCTGAAAAACAACTTTTTAGGTCACAGAACAGAGAGGGACATCTAAACATCTTTATTGCTGAGCTTCAGAAAACTTGTATGTATCAGCTATACCTAGAACAGACTAGTCCAGGCTAGTCTTAAGTTCTTGTCAGAAGAGAGAGGTGAGATTGGCAAATTCTTTATGCCTGACTTAGCATTTGTTTTCCTTTGTTAAATACAGAAGCAGAAAAAAAAAAAAATCTACAGAAAGTGGCAAAGCATTAATTGTAACTTGTTTATTCCAAAATGAGCAGTGGTTTTGGAGCAGTGGGAAGGAGAAAGGGACGTTCAGTGTCAACACAATTGTCAGGGTTCTGACTGGGAATCAGGCCAGCTGCTGTTTCTGTCTTGATTGCATTCCTGATGAGTTAAAACTACCCGGGTAGATGAACTGGATACATGTAGCTTTACCCCCGTATTGATCAGAGTGTGTTGTATTATCAAGGTCACATTCTTCTTGCACCTTTAGCTATTTGCAAAGTTGCCTACTGAAAATAAGTATCTATTGAATTTCAGAAAGAGTCAAGAGTAATAATTCAGTGAGAGTACATTGGGTATAGTAACATGGCAAGGTGAAGCATCTGGTAAGAGTATAGGCAATACAGCTCTTAAAAATGGTACAAGGGTGGAAAGCTTGTTTTCTAGCCTTTATAGCTGACACTTCTTACTCTATGATGCGCTATTGCGGAAGCTTTAAGAGTCTTCATTTAGTATGAAGTATTTTCTAGTATGCTTTGTGTTCATCAATGAAACTTCCTTCAGGTTCTTTTACACGATGTTTGTACATTCTCCACTTCATTTTGAGTTAACACTGGATTGATGACTAAAACTTTATGGGGGTCTTATTCTGATGATGTTCCAGTTGCAGAGAAAAAAAGAATAAAACTCCCCAGGGAAAACAGGCTCAGGGGCTGCTACAGGACAAGAAGCTGGTGTAAAAATGTGGATGATACTGCTCTAATATAGACTTTTTAAAATAAAGGTAAGAATGTTGAATTGCAGATAAGCTTTGACTCACAACAAAATATTTTGAAAAATATGTATGCTTTCCTTAAAGTGACAATTTTAAAGCAAGATAAAATTCTTTTGCTTTTATTCAAGTATAAAAGTCTTGATGGTTGTGGCTGATTGCACTGCAGTTTAGCTAAATGGGACAGATACACTAAGTATATGAGAATATAGTTTCATATATTCCGTGCAGGTAAGGTGAAAAAACACAGGCTGGGGAACTTCAATAAGCAGTTTGCATTGCAAATACTAGTTTTGTAGGAAGCTGATGCTAGTTTGGCATTGATTTTATTTATTATTTTCTAAGATTTGCCTGCCCCCATTGAGTAGATGTCAGATTAATAAAATGTAAATGCCTGATCTCTAATTGCTGAACCTTCAATGCATCATTCTATAAAAGTATTTATTCAACAGCTGCAAATACGGTAACAAAAATTCTTTATGATACTGAGTATTTTAATTAGTTTCTCCATTTCAGATGCTCACTGTACATCTGCAAGTTCAAGTTTTGAACTATTCCTCCCCCTTGTATACATGTACCAGCTGTCCAGTTGTTTCTCAGTATTAAGCTATTGCTTTTATCTTGTTCATTAAAAAAATGTTATGCTCTATTAAATACATTGAATTCTCTTTTGTAGTAACTGATTTGCCAGGCTGAGAAAGTTTGGGCTGTTCAGCCTGGAGAAAAGAAGCTGCATTGAGACTTCATAGCAGCCTTCCAGTATCTGAAGGGAGCCTGTAAGGATGCTGGGGAGGGACACTTCATTAGGGACTGTAGTGACAAGACAAGGGGTAACAGGTTAAAACTTCAACAGGGGAAGTTTAGACTGGATATAAGGAAGAAATTCTTTACTGTAAGGGTGGTGAGGCACTGGAATGGGTTGCCCAGGGAAGTTGTGAATGCTTCCTCCCTGGCGGTGTTCAAGGCCAGGTTGGACAGAGCCTCGGGTGACATGGTTTAGTGTGAGGTGTCCGTGCCCATGGCAGGGGGGTTGGAACTTGATGATCTTGAGATCCTTTCCAACCCTAACTATTCTATGATTTGTGCCTAATAATATGTTACTATTTAGTATTTCTGGGGTTGTTTTATTGTTGCTTTTGGGGGGGGGTTTAGCCCATCATTCCTAAGGTGAGATATTTTCATCAGGTCAGTCTGTTCGTTTTAAAAAAGGAATCACTACTGTGTTAATATCCTCACAACTTGCTCTTTCACTTCTGCATCAGGGTGATGCAACAAAGATGCCAGTTTCTGAGCAAATGCAGTAGAGTCCCCACAGAGTGTAAAGAAAATGGAACTTTCATTGTATCGGTCCATGGTGCCATCTCTGTTCACATTCTTTTTCAAGTTTGCTGCAAACACCAGGGCTCTAAGCAGAATATCTCTGTTTGTACAGTTGTCAAGAAGTAACAGCAATGTTGGCACCTAGGATACACAAGAAATAATCCACACTTAATCACCAGCACTAAGTACGTGCAACTAAATCTTACAAAAAATGAAACTAAAATAAATCTACACCTAAAGCATCAAAACCAGAAACCCTGCCAAATACCAGAACTCCATATGCTGTGAAAACAACACCAGAAACTTGCCCAGCATGCACGTTTCTGCTGTGAAAGGACTGGCTTGCGCATCACAGGCTAATAAATGCTTTGTATGTTGAATCTCCAAAACACGGCTGTCTGGAAAAAACATCTTCCATCATTAAACACGGCTGTCTGGAAAATTCCCATTTGGGAGAGAAGGCCTGCTTTCCCCCTCGATGATGTTGCTTTTGCCCTCTGCAGTGCTCTGAATGTTTTTGTTAGCACATCTGATAAATGAGATAAGGATCCACTTTTGACAGGACTGAGTATTTAGCTAACCTAATCTTGTTTTAATAATGAGAAGCCAGCAGTATCTAGACAAGCTTTGCTCACAGCAGATAGCTAGCTCAAAAATAAAAGGCACTGCATGTTTTAAGGAACTTACTTTGGGGAGGAAGAATCAGCATCATTTCCATCCCTAACTCTGTTTTGATATGAGGAAACGATTATGAAATATACACCTGTATGCCAAGGCCAGCAACAGTCAATGTCAGATACAGTTCTGCAGAAAGACCTAAATCAACGCACAGGGAAAGTTTACTTATAGTGATCAGAAACAACATTTTTATGGCTGCATTTGAGTAAAAGAGTGGGGATCTCAGTGGAATTTGGTTACAGTGCATACACATGTAGAAATGCTAAAAATACAATGAAAGAGCAAGAACCTTACTTGACCTCTGAGAAGATGCCTTGTCATGGCTGGGTTTGCAGATAAGTTCACAAGTACTTTCAAAACTTGAATCTGAAATGAGGAACACAAGTTTACTGCAAGCTCCAAAACCAGTGAGTACAGGAGTAATGGCCATCAGTATCAGCGCTGACTTGGAGAGGAAAAAGTAGAATGGGTCAACTAACATCATGAGTTGTGACTTCAGTCAAACTGCTAAAGGGTCCTACAAGAAATCTGGAGAGGGACTTTCTACAAGGCCATGTACTGATAGGACAAGGGGGAATGGCTTTAAACTGACAGAGGAGAGGCTGAGATTAGACACTAGGAAGAAACTCTTTCCTACAAAGGTGGTGAGGTGCTGGCACATGTTGCCCTGAGAAGCTGTGGCTGCCCCATCCCTGGCAGTGGTCAAGGCCAGGCTGGATGGGGCTTGGAGCAACCTGGTCTAGTGGAAGGTGTCCCTGCCCATGGCAGGGGTTGGGACTGGATGAGCTTTAAGGTCCTTCCAACCCAAACCAGTCTATGATTCTGTGATCCTGAATAAACACTGAATTTGATCCCTCTTTGAAGTTTTTCTTTCAATATTACAGTGGCTTGGCTTGACTTTGCCAACAAAGATTTGGGAAGGGCTTTACCCATGCTTACTACAAGCACGCTGATGACTAAAAAGGCCAATGTGAGATGAGCAAATCCGGTTGCAAAAAGCACAGTGAAAGGTCTCCTTGTGTGGTATAGGCAGGGCACGATTCCTTCTCCGTTGTCTCACTCACAATATTATAGTAATTCACAAATAAGCACAACTTCCCTCTGCAGTCACTGGGGTTGCAAGAGATGCAGTAAGCATAAAGAAGTAGAAATCCATAACTTAGGTTACTGCTGCTTGGCCTGTTTCCCTGGAGAGACTGACGCATCAGTGAAACCTTTCACACACACATTCTCCTTGCTCTTTGATGCAGGCAATGTTTAGCAAGCAGGAGAGAATTCTGGAGTTGATATAGCAAAGGCGTAGGACAAGAGCAGTGCACACAGCACTGCTGTGGTAGAGCTCTAGCCCAATGGTTCTACTATTAAGATTCCCTTCATCCCCTCTTTCTGTATTTACACTGAGAAAGCAATGTAGATCCATATTTTATAGGTTTTGTGCACTATCTGCTATCATTAATGAGTATCTGATTTTCTAAACAGAGTCTAAACCATTTTACAAAATCAGTAAAACAGAGGCAAGTAAAGCAGCTTCACAAATGGTTTGTAACAGCACCTGTGTCCTTTCAGTTCCTTCTGAAAGCAAATGAAGCAGGCATGGAATTGAGGTTATCATTTTAGGGTGGTAGTCGCTGGTAACAGACATATTTGTCAATAATCGGAGTCCAGCTAGCTGCAGGTCAGAGTTCAGGGGAGCTGACTCAACAGTCCCACACACTTGTGTAATATATACCTGGGGAAAAAGAGAAGTCATCTTATTATATAAGCAGTGACCTAGCTACAGGAGTGTAAACACCTCTTGAATATTGCTGGCTGAACACATAGCCTGATTAAGGTTCTTGGAAACAAGTACGTGGTTGCTTTGTTTTGAATACATTCAAACATTCTATCGCCATGACAGAAGCAGGTGTCACATAGTTATGCTCGCTAACCTTCCTGAAGCATCAACTGCTCTGAAAACCCAAACTGCTTTGGCTCCATCTCAGAAGTGGCACAGCTGCTTTGAGGAGTTACTTTAAATAAATCACAGCGACTAGCATCTCCTTAAATATTAAGAAGAAGTTAAGGGCAAATCTTGGAATGGAATCCTTTCTTCCAACCACATGGCCCATTTGCTAGAGTGTTCCTCCATGGGAACAGTGATGACAACTAACATTAACAAGTATTTACCAAATTTTCTTCTCGATGTCAGTATACAAGAAAGCCAGGGGTCCTAACTAAGAAAAAAACCCTACTTTGCCTTTCCCAAAGGAGTTGTTTTCTTTCTATATGCTTACATAAATACTTGCTGTTGGCAAGCACTACTTGAAAAAAAGTTCCTCTGTGCTAAAGATGCTACAAACTACCACAGAGACAAACTGCCTTTTTATCAAGGTCATGAGAAAACTAGGAAGCATCTTCAAATCTGAATCAACTCACTGCTTGGACACTTACTGGTCTACTTACTAATCTGATAATGTTTAAAGTGGATGCTTTCTGATAGTCGGTCCTTTCACATCCATAGCATTCCCTAAATTCACCGGTGGGATTTACAGGTTTTACATTATTCTTTGAAGATGAAAGGATCACCCTGAAAAACTGGTCTCATACAAACCCAGAGGATCAATTACTGCTTTCTTGTGCCTTGCCTAAGAAGTCATGCTGAGTTCAGTCTGTAGCTCATCCTGCTGAACAACCACTGCTGATGTTCTAGGTATGTCTGGAAATCATTGTGCCTCACATAATTTTACTATAAACTTAGCAGCACAATCTCTGTTTCATAGTGTTTGGTAAAAGCTGGACACAAACTGCTTAGTTTCCTAACTGTCTTTTTAAAAAAGTAAGTGCCAGTGATGCAGTGGACTTCTACACTATCCTTTGGGCCTTGGGACACACAGATCTTCCAGATCTGCTGGCTCCTATGTCTGACATCAAAACATTTTGGCATCCTGGTTTGTATTTCACAAATATGCTGAAAGCCCTCTACTGTTTCCTGTGTCTCAATTACTTTGATTTTTCCCTTTAAGAAACTTACCTGTATCTCTTCCTGATTTTTAATATTCATACTCAAATTATTAAGTGCATTCAGTGCTTTTTCTTTAACTTTGGGAACGCAATCTGAGAGCATCCCTCCAATAACAGAAAGGCCACCCAAATTCCGGATTATATCCTGTAATGCAAACCAGATATTTAATAACATTTTAAAGATCCAGATTTAATGCTGAAGGCTCTTCTCAAAGTTTTAACACAAATGGAATGTGTGAATGAAGACTTCCAGAATAGATTGCTTTGTTTAAAGAGATAGCGTTAGTAGATACTGCTTTATTGCTTCCACTGAAATTAAGAATAGTCCTGCTTAGGGCCAGAGTATTATTTGACATTATTTAACACGGGCACACCACCTTTCTGTTTAAAATCTGGCCTGCAAAGCATGCTTAAAGCATTTTAAAGAACCAAAGGTAATTATTGCTTAATGACTTTATAGAACAGCTGAGCCAGGCCACAGTACCTAGAAGTCCTGACTGAACAGAAATTCAAGCTGCAGCTTTATATTATTATGGTAGAAGTTCTAAAACTGTATCTTTTCCATTAGACTTTATCTTTTAAAAGTCTTTCTCACTTAGACTCAAACCATCACTGGAAAAAACATGTACTGATTTCAAGAAAATGAAAAATGGCCCAATGTGTGTTTGGATTCAGTTACATTCTGAGGAATTTATATTAAGAAAACAGTTCTGAGGTGCCAGAATAGGCAGCTGTTGTAAGCACCATACAGAAAGGGCGGGGATTTAAAAAAGGTGGACCTGCCCTGGAGGCTAAACCTGTACAAAGGCATGAAAATCTGCATCCAGCTTAAAGCTTTTCTGCATCTTATTTCCAACTGATTTGAAAAGACATGGATAGCTGGAAAGTTGCTAAGATGCAAATCGCATACAGCTTTGTGAAGATAATTAATTAAAGATAGTAATTTGTAAAAATAATTTCAATTATCTCAGTAAATTTCAGATGTGATCATAAACCCTTCTCCAGTTCAACCCTTTCATTAACTATAAGCAATAAAATATGTATTTTCAGTACATTTAAAATACAGAACTCTGTATGGACTTCAAGTTGTACAAATATTAAGCTTAGATAAATTCTGTGAAGCTAGTAAATTCTATTATTTGGGCTAGCAGAAATTCAGGCATAGACATAAAATGGATTTCAGTACACAAGCTATACAAGCTCTCAGTTCCATTTCCCTCTTCAGCAAAACAGCACCTCTCATCTTCCATGCTGACTGGTATTGAAATGTTTTCTGCAGAACAATACTTACATGATTTACAGAGAAGGCAGCACTGTTGCCGAGAGTGATTAAAGCTTGCTCTTGAATTAATGGATCATCTGTGGCATGCAGCAAATAAATAAGTTTCTGTAGAGCATCTGCGTCCATGGTATGGGTTGACAGTGGAGGACTGTTATCTGTTGGCAGTTAAAAATGAAATACTTGATACCAAGTTTGGGACATTTCACTTTGTTACCACTGAGGTTTAGCTCTCAGTTGCAGGACACACTGTTCTAAGTCTGATTGCACCCACTTCTCATATTGTGGCAAAAAGCCTGTTTTACAACAGTGAGACTTCTGTCCTTTTTCCTGAGTCCTCCCACTATTTCTTTTCAAAGTAGAAAATAAAAGGAATGCATAAGAGCTTTAAGTATGCTACCCATTGGCTAATCAACAGCAAACCTCCCTTTCAAAATTATTAGAAATATTCACCAAACTTTACTTTTTTAACTTGTGTTCCCTGAACTACCATGTGGAAATCTGCCCGGACACTACATGAGAATGAAACTTCCGACTTCCAGACTACTACTTCCAGAGATGATAACAATGTTTTGTAAGCACCCTGAGGTCCTTTTGACAAAGCAAGAACCACAATGCTAAGAATGCTGCCCATCATGGCATCACTCTACCAACCGAGAAAGGCAGTTTCTGAGTCAGGATGATGTTATGGAGTCCCTGGCTTTGATAAAAGGGTGACACAAATGCCATCAAAGACCATTTTCAGCCAGGTTGGAGGCAGATCTACTTAGCTAGCTGAACAGCCTGAAGACCGGAGCTGTGACTACAGGACTAGTCATAGTTGACTTGAGGTGACTTTAGAGAAGTCAACCAGTCCTTTATAATTCTGTGTACTTGCTGCCACCATCTCAGAAGGCAAACACCATAGTAATTCTAAGGGGAGGTCAAAGGTAATTATGGAAATCCAAGAACTAGCCTGGAAAACAAGATTATTTTTCATCCTCATCTAAACATTTTGTTTAGCTCTGGATTACAGGGGAAACACAACTTTAATAACAGAACAGCAAATCAGCCCATTAAGTAAATACACTGACTGGAAGTACGCTTTAGGGGACTTTAAAGAAAGAAATTAGCCTTTTCTAAAAATACAACATGCCCCAGAGGGCCGCCCGGCTGCTGCTGTGGGAGGGCCGGTGAGCAGTGCCCTGGCGCCCCTCACACAGCGGGCAGAGCCGCTCCGAGGTCTCCGGCGGGCAGGAGCCCGGAGCCGCGCACCTGAAGCGCGGACAGGGCCCCGGCGAAGGCCGGAACCGGGCTCAGGCCCAACCCGCCGCCCCGCCCGCCCCTCACCTGGCGGCCGGCCCCGAGCCACCCCGCCCGCAGCCCGCGGGCCCCGCCGGCCGCGCGCCGCCAGCCGCCACAGGCAGTAGCAGGCTCCCGCCCCGAGCACGATGACCGCCGCTCTCGCCGCCACCGCGCCCCGCGGCTCCCCCATAGCCGGCGGCCCCGCTGCCCGCCCGCGGAAGCCTCCGCCCCATCCGGCGCCGACTCCCGCCTTCCTGCAGCCGCCGAGCTGCGCTGCCGGGGCCGGCGCGGGTCGCTGGGAGGGCGGCTCTAGTGTGCATCATTCTCTGGGGGCAGGATGAACGTGCCCTTTTTCGTGGCTACTACGCCGTTTATAAGTACATTAATTAGACCACACACAAGCTGCTCCTCAAACAGTTACAGTGTTTTAACAAACACAGCAGTATGTTAAAAATACACAGGCTGGAAATGCTTGCCTCGGGGTTACATGAACCTGCTGGCAAATCCCCACCCCGCTGGTGCTGCCTGTGCTCGTCCTCTTTGAATCCGAGCTCCAGGGTACGATTTCTCAGCTGCTGCCCGTTCCGACACCCCGCACCGCAGATGTGCGCGGCCTCCCCGGCGCACAGCGGCGGAGGCAGCAGCAAACGCCGGCAGCGCTCAGCTGGTGGGAGCCAAAACACCGGGATCCCGGCGACACTCAAGTCGTAACGGGCAGATGCTCCCCTCTCTGCCCCCCGCTACCCCAAAGGCCCTCCACCGCTCCATGCCCGCTCTGTGCGGAGCTATCAGCGGCTTGGGCGGACTCGGCCCAGCTCACAGCTGCGGCCCCGTTGCTACGCAACCGCTGCCAGTGCGTCCAGCACGCCATGGAGTCCCTCAGGACGGCGAGCCCCGAGCTCCGAGCTTACTTCAGCCGCCACGACCTCCTCGACGTGTACGAGGTATCGGCGGGCAGCAGACACACCGCGTCCCCCGCTGCAGCTAGCAGCGGCCCACGGCCGCCCCCTTGCCCACCGGGACCCCTGTCCCGCGCACCGCTGTCTGCCGTCGGTGCTGTCCGGAGCGCCATGGCCGCCCCTCGCCCCCACCGCCTGGCCGGAGGTCGTTCTGAAGGTCAGCCTGGTCCCCACTGGAGCCGGTGGGACCACAGACTCCCCGGTACCACTGGTGGGAGGGATCCCTCTCCCCGCTCAGGGGTTTCCCCGATCCCTCGGCAGTGCCCTGGAGACGGCTCGTTGGGTCCCTCAGCCTTGGCCGGGGTATTTCACGCCCTGATGCTGGGCTCTGCTGGCACGGGACATGTTTTTGTTCTGCTTCTTGTGTTAATGGTTTGCTTCAGTTTGTGAAAACTTTAAAGACAGAACAAAGATAGAACAAGGTAATTCCACTTCTTAATCCATACTTAAATGATGACTGACATGATAGAATAAACTCGGTTGGAAAAGACCTTTAAGATCATAAAGTCCAACCTTTACCCCAGCACTGCCAAGTCCATCACTAAACCATGTCACTGAGGGCCTCGTCTCCACGTCCAGGAATGGTGACTTAACCACTTCTCTGGGCAGCCTGTTCCAGTGCTTGACAACACTTTTGATGAATAAATCTTTCCTAATATCTAATCTAAACCTCCCCTGGCACAACCTGAGGCCATTTCCTCTTGTCCTATCGCTTCTTACTTGGGAGAAGAGACCAACACCCACCTTGCTACAACCTCCTGTGAGGCAGTTGTAGAGAGTGGTCAGGACTCCCCTGAGATTCCTTTTCTCCAGGCTGAACAACCCCAGGTCCCTCAGCTGCTCCTCCTCAGACTTGTTCTCCAGACCCTTCACCAGCTTCATGGCCCTTCTCTGGACCCACTCCAGCACCTCAGTATCTCTCCTGTAGTGAGGGGTGCAGAACTGAACACAGGATTCAAGGTGTAGCCTCACCAGTGCTGAGTACAGGGGGAAATGAAGACAAACACAGTAAACTACATTTGTACCTTTACTAGATTTGCATTGTTCTCCAGTTTTAATTATGAAAGCACCTGTAGACTTCAGCTGGATACTTCTCTACTTCCTGAGTGCTGTGTGCCATCTTCTAATGGTCTGTCAAAGGTAACAATGGCAGCAGACCACATTTCAGATATTGGTGGGTTAGATATTTATTGGTCTGGGAATAAATAAACTTCCATGAAACATTAGAGAATAGAACTGTTTGTCAAAAGGATGGGGTGGGGGGGTGAGGGGTGAGGAAAACAGAGTTGGTGAGTGTCTGACCCAATTCTCTGTATTTCTTTAGTTTCCCCCATTTGTCACATTCACTTTTGCCTACTTCAAAACCTGCAGCTTTTCAGTTTCCTTAAAACAAAAGAACAGTGCACAAATACAAGTTTAAAAGACATCCTGATGCTTTTAAGCTACTAAAAATAGATTGTGTTTGCAGGCAGCTGCTGCAGCCAGGATTTCCATGGGAACATTAATAAAGAAATCTTGAGACAATTAAAATAATTATAGAGCAGCACTGCCAGGCAGATCTAGTACCTCTCCTCAGAGTCTGTCTTTTGACCATTCTTTGTTTTTTTAAGCACAGAAAAATAAAAGATGTATTTCTCAATTATGCAATAGCTTATATTTCCATTTCCAAGCTAAAGTTATAAATACCTTTGTAGCAATAGTGGTATTGAGTCAACTAAAAATGAAAAAAAAATAGGGTTAAGATTAAAGGGAGTTTCTTAAAAGAAAGAGCCCGTTTAAAACCTTTCTATGTTTTTGGTTTGTTTTTTTTTTTTTTTCTTATTTCTTAGAGGTTGGTGCTTGCTGGTATCTAGCCATATTTTATTTCATTTTAATTTCTTTATGAAGTTACAGTATGCTTGGTGTGAGATCATACTGGTCTGTGTATTAAGGAATATCAAAGCTAAGCCAAGACCCATAAATATTTGTACACAAATTCCCAAAATTAAAGATAGAGAGTTCTAAAATGGCCATTTTTTAAAGTCTTTTTATGGTTAGGTTGTGGTTTGGACATGGTCCAAACACAGTTGGAATTCAAATAATTGTGTCCAAACAGTTTGGGATTCAGTGCTGCATCTGAGCGTTTCACTCCTGTCTGATTTCTCTCTCAGGTCTCATCCAGATTTACTTTTAAACAGTCTCCATAAAAAGTCTGTAACCCTGCAAACACTATGCTGACTTATGAAACCGTATTTTGATGAATGTCCAGGGGTTGTCAGGACGTAGCAGACTTCAAGGATAGTCTTTCCTGATCAGAGGTCATTAGTCCTGTTTTTGTTGGTCCAGGTTGTCTCAGTCCTGTTTTTCTTAATCTACCTACACAAGGCCAAAGCCCCTCTGGCTGCCAGTTCTCATCGTAAATCACTGTTGTTTCTCAGGTCTCAGGAAGAGATCCTTGTATGTGGTCAGGCTCTTTGATAGTAATGCAGGTTTCAAATTCTTAACTAAATACCCATGGAGCTTTAACTGAATAACTGTGGAGTTTGACTATATGGCTTATGTAGCTGAGTGGTGCTTGTCATACATACTTTGTTAATGATTGGTGTGAAATCCTCTTGCTTTACAATCCTTGTTTGTCAGCTGCTCTGTGGTTTATCAGTACATGGTTCCTGCAAGTTCCCGCAGCTGCAGGGAGTATAGCAGAGCCTGGCCACGGTGTCTTCACTCTGCTCCACAGTCTGTTCAGTTTATCCTGGCATATGCTAAGGTTTCCAAGGAAACTACCATAGGGTAGATTCTCTGCGTATCAACTGCATTCCATCCTGGAAGTCACAGCTGCATTGTATCCTAAAATATCCTTAATATTGTAATGTTGAAGATCTGGGGGGATGAGTGGTGGTCTCTAATTTCTCCCATTATTCCACATGCTTTTTGGTAGTTAGTTACTCATTTCACATATAAGTATACTTTCAGTTGTTTAATATTATGAATAAGTAAAACTTACAGGTTGAGAGAAATTGTTGATGATTCTTTCAGATTGTTGAGAGTCTTGGAGAAGCCTAATAGAAATAGCCAGACTTGTACTGGCCTAAGTATCACTGAAGAGTATCTGAATGGGGATTGCAAGACCAAGTCTTACAGTTTTATCCCTTATTAAAGTTTTATGAAAAAATTCTCAAAGGTTAATCAGAGGCCTTGCTCTTCCAGTACATGGTTAGATCGTTTGGATTTCAGAATGATGGAAGGATTTTAGAACATCCAAAGGAAAAAAAGTTCTTTGTGTTTGCTTGAAAAAGGGGAAAAGAAGGTAAACAAAACTTGTAATAGTAACAGTGGCCTTCATATGGCAGACACGTACTGGCTTAATCCAGCAGAGGGAGTAGCCGACCAACGTTGGGGTTGGCTTTGGGAAATCTGTCCGCAGGAAAATTCGTGATGAAAGCCATTTAACTGCCTGTAAAGTATTTAAAATGATATTCCATCTCTTTAATTACGATGATAAGTGATGGATTTATAATATTTTCTTAGTATAATCAGCCATCAAGATATACATTGCAAATTACATTTTTGTTAAGAAGATTGAACAGATGTTAAGGTTGGAATCAGTGTGTTGATTAGTGTTTGAAGTATTCAAGGTGTCTGAACTAGAGACAGTTGCCTCTCATTGTGTCTATGCATAAGTAAAATTTCTTTTATATTGACTGTTCATATTGATCTTAACTTAGAATCATGGAATAATGTAATGGTTTGGGCTGAAAAGAACATTCAAATGTCATCTAGTCCAACCCCTGCTGTGGGCAGGGACATCTCTCACTAGATCAGGTTGCTCAAAGTCTGTCCAGACTGACTTTGAACACTTCCAATGATGGGGCATCCATAGCTTCTGTTCAACAGCCTTCAAACATTCCTTCCAATTTATCTTATTGTCTGAGTCTGTTTCTACGTGGTGTTCTGATCAGCACATGGAAGGCCTCTTTACCACGCCAGGCTGCTCCGTCTCCCTGCGTGCCCTGCTCTCTGCCACTACAGAGTGAGGCCCTACTTGACAGAGCACCTTTTCCTGCCTCTATTGTTGTGCATGGCTTTTGCTCTGTATCCATAGCACGGTTTTGATTTAGAGCCTTTCTCTTTTCCCTTAACCTCCCACCATGCTTCCTGAAAAGAATTCAAGCACATGCTCCACGTTACTAATAGCAAGAGAGCATGTGTTGAGAGTAGTATTGCATCATTTGAATTCGTACAGTGAATAAACCATTATATTACTGTGTTGTCTTGAAACATCAAACGTTGTAGCAGTTGCCTCAGGTATTTCCTAGTTTTACAGTTTAGTTTTATATTTATATATAAACCAGTTGTATGACACTGATAACAAGTCAGAATCAATGTAGATGTTAAGAAACAAAGAAAGTATTTCTACCCAGTGAATGCATAGGTGAAAGGCCATGATTTGGGAAGTTAAATGTAAGTGGACAGTGAGATTGGGTAGTCAGAATTTTGGTGATGAGCTTATAGAGGCCTGAGCAGAACTTTGAGTGGCAAAATTTAGATGTGCACCATCTAACAGCACCACGGGGAGTGATGGTAGTGAAAAGCGGGCAGAGGCAAAGAAAAACATTTCTCTAAGTGTCAGGGCTGAGGGAAAATGTAAAAACTCAGGTGTTGGATTGTGATAACTCATCAAAGGTAGTTTCTTTGTAACAGACAGGGGGAAATACAAACAAGAGAGTGTGTCCCAAGACCGAATCTTATGCAGTAATATAGGTTAATGTCTAGTTAAAGATACAGTCATGTTTTGAAATTTTTACCAGGCACAAAACCTTCTAGTTTATAGTTTCCATTAAATAGTCACTTTAATAAATGCAATTTGCCTGTATACTTTAAAAAAATCAATATACTTCAGACATCCTCACTGTATGTGAGCTCACAATCCAAAAATAAATGATCTATGTCCTTTAGCTAAAGACAGCCAAAGCACAAATGAGTAAAAAAGGTTCCTCAGTTATTATGCAATATTGCTAAAAGATAGTGCAAAGTAGTGAGACAATGGCAATCCTGAGAAACAAACCTTTCTTAAAACTGCATTTTGTGTTCAGTACTGGATCAGTTTCTGGCCATGCTTCCCATTCAACATACTTCTTACTTCACAGGATTCATCTTGTTTTAAATTTGGGTTTATAAATAAATAAAATGATCCAATATTCTATATATTCTTCCTTTAATGCACATTTAAAGCAATGCAATCCTTAGAAGGAATTGTCCAATTGTCCTAAAACCAGTGCTTTGAAGTCTAGGAATTGAAATATGCTGATAAATGCAATACTGCCTTTAAAACTTGAATGAAAAGGAAGGTAAGTGATAAAAAGAGATGTCTCTGTTTTGCAAAATTCAAAGATGCAGGTAAACTTGTTTATTTTAACAGTTTCATATCTAGATGTTACTTTGCTGTTGACATAGGGGCATTAATTTGCAGTTTCTTTCTGCAGGTGCTGCTTTGTGCTGTAATTGGTATGCGTCCAGAAGATCCACTTAAGTTTTTAGAAGAAAAGCTCAGAGAAATAATGGAAAAGGGATTAGATACTGTTTTATGGTACATATGAAATGATTGTGTGTCTGCTCTGTAGTTTAGAATATTGAACTTGGACTTTTAAAACATGCTAATGTGCAGCTCCTATCAGAGTTACTTCCCTTCTTGCTTTAATTTGCACATATGATGAAATAATTTTATCGTTCAAGTGTGTTTCATGAAAAGTTGTGTTGTGTAAATATGCCACCCTTGAGGTTTATAAATTCTGTAAGTTTTGAATAGCAGGAAAAAAGCTCCAATTGGTGTAGAGGGAAGAGCAACAAGCTATAATGATATTTACATTGACGTGAATCACTGAGAAGAGGGAATACCTTATTTTCTTACTTGATGGACTTCATCCAAGAATGCAGTTTCATTTGTTCCTGTTGCAATTGTGCCATAATCAATCCTGATGTTTTTGGATACCATCAGAATTAATAAACCTGCAATAAAACTTTAAATATTGAGAAGAACTTCTGCTAAGATTGTAGTGTAAGCGAATAAGAAAAAAAGATGAACAAAATTTCATACCAGTCAGAATGCCTGGAGGCAAAAACTGCTGGGAAGTGAAAGAGCTTTGTACAGGAAGGAGATGGAAAGTCAGTTCAGTATGAATTCAATTCTGTGTTACATGTAAAGTTTATACAATATAGCTTAAGAGTTTGGGTAAGTAGGTGTGCTGTCAGTAATGCAACATTTTAGTAAGGGACTTCTGTTGAGATACTGATTTCTGTAAAATGCCTCACTGTTGTCAGAAAATTGCGGTGTTCATCATTGTATTAAAACTGACTCCATAAGATGCTGCTGATCTATTTAGATGGGAGCTAGAAAACGTTAGGGAATGAGAACTGGAAAAAAGAGGGAAGGCAGTATAATGGGCAGATAGAATCATAGAATCACAGAATAGTTAGGGTTGGAAAGGACCTTAAGATCATTCAGTTCCAACCCCCTTGCCGTGGGCAGAGACACCTCACACTAAACCGTGACACCCAAGGCTCTGTCCAACCCAGACTTGAACACCACCAGGGATGGAGCATTCACAGCTTCCCTGGGCAACCCATTCCAGTGCCTCACCACCCTTGCAGTAAAGAACTTCTTCCTTATACCCAATCTAAACTTTCCCTGTTTGAGTTTTAACCCGTTACCCCTTGTCCTATCACTACAGTCCCTAATGAAGAGTCCACCCCCAGCATCCCTATAGGCCCCCTTCAGATACTGGAAGGCTGCTAGGAGGTCTCCACGCAGCCTTCTCTTCTCCAGGCTGAACAGCCCCAACTTCCTCAGCCTGTCTTCATACGGGAGGTGCTCCAGTCCCCTGATCATCTTCGTGGCCTCCTCTGGACTTGTTCCAACAGTTCCATGTCCTTTCTATGTTGAGGACACCAGAACTGCACACAATACTCCAGGTGAGGTCTCATGAGAGCAGAGTAGAGAGGCAGGATCACCTCCTTTGATCTGCTGGTCACGCTCCTTTTGATGCAGCCCAGGATACGGTTGGCTTTCTGGGCTGCGAGCACACACTGAAGCCGGCTCATGTTCATTTTCTCATCAACCAACACCCCCAAGTCCTTCTCCACAGGGTTGCTCTGAATCTCTTCTCTGCCCAACCTGTAGCTGTGCCTGGGATTGCTCCGACCCAGGTGTAGGACCTTGCACTTGGCACAGTTAAACATCATAAGGTTGGCATCAGCCCACCTCACATGCGTGTCAAGGTCCCTCTGGATGGCATTCCTTCCCTCCAGCGTAGCAACCAAACCACATGGTTAATGCTAGGAAAATTGGCATCTTTTGCGATGTCAAGAAGCTGTCCTTACCTTGCTTTTGTGTTCTGTGCAGGTGTCAGTTCTGGTTGAAGTTTCAGTAGGAAGTGGATAATAATTCCTTAATCTTTGGGCCCACTCAAGCAGAGATCTCTGGAGATCTCTGGACCCCCAACTACTCTGTGTGCACTCATAGATTGACTTTATTGTTTGCTTTGCATTATTTATGATGTCTTTCCTGGAAGTTGAAATCTGACTTGATTTATCTTTTAATTTTGGTCCTCTGGTAAATACTTTTTATTTCAATATTTTTCATGGAATTATAATGCAGCATAGTCATTCCTGGTTGATTTGTCTCTTGCAGTGTGTCTTCTTTTTCTGTAATGAAAACAGAAGTTTACCTACTTAGACATGGCCTATTTGCAATAGCAGGAAACATTGCTCCAGCTACAGACAACTTGAAATGGCTGTTCAGTTAATATTAAGATGAGAAATAGAATACTGTAATCTGTCAGGAAATGTCCAAGATAGATATTACATGGAATGTATTAAGCTCTGATGTACAGAGTATTTCAATGTAGCTCTAAGAGTAGCAATAATATCAATATAATAATTAGTTTTCATATTTTGTAAACATTTAAAATTGGCTGCTGTAGGTATTTGTAATGAAAGTGATATAGATCATAATCTTTTAATAGTAATGTTATAAAACTGTAACTGTAGCTAATCTAGTAGGTACAGAGAAAAGATGCATTTTCTTTTGGGGATACTAATATGTTTAATATAATTTATTTCTCTTTTAAAGGTGCATGTGTACAGATCTGTCTTTACACCCAAAATTTAAGAGGATTTCAGAAACGTACCTGAGCACTGTTTTTGGACTAGATGTTGAGCAACTGGTAAAAATCATTGAACATTTGCATTAGCCCTATGCTGTCAACACATTTTCTAATACAGAATATTCATACTCTGTTTTTAAGTTTTCTCATGTTACTCTTCTATAGCTGATATGAGGAATTTGATAATTTGCTTTTCTTTCTATTGATATTGATTTGTATACAAAACAATATAATCAGAGGTGAGCATAACATCTAGGCATATGGTGGGGAACAAGTAGTCAAGTATTTGATCATAATTTAAAAAGCATTCCCCATAAATACAAGTCTAGTTTCAATAGCATGTTTTTTTTCTGTGTGTTATTTGGTTTTACTTCGGCCAGTTCCTAAAACTGCACTTGAACTACAATGAATAGTTACAGCATTATTGTACTTGAAGCAATGAGGAGGTGAACATTTTGGTTTTACTGATCCAGAACGTCCACCTGTAGAGAAGAAAAACTCTAATTTTATAACCTTCAAAGGTGAAAGGCGCTGTATGACCATGCAAGAAGCAGTCTAAGCAATTCAGTCAGGAAGCTGGCATGCAGTGTGACCAGATTTTCCTCTTAATTACTTCTGTATAACTGTACTCAATTCTGTCTTAATCCATCTGTACTGTGAGTTTACTGCAATTTCATTTCAGCCATTTCCTCTTTTACAAACCACTCAAATATTATCAGTCTGAAAGTGGAATGGTTGATTTATACAGTATGCGTATAAATATACAAATGGGTTGAAGTCAAATCCTCTTACAGACTTTCTTAGGAGTAAGAACAATAAATAAGATAACCCCCAGTATTTCCTGAGGCCCAATTGCTATTTATACATTCAAAGGAACATATTTTCTTTTACAGAGATATTCTTGGCTTATAGTCTTACACAGTTTTGGTTTTGTACAAGTTCAAACGGATTTATTAAAATATCAATGAATTAGAGTCATGTAAATAGTTTACATAGCATGAAACATACAAATATTTTTGTAAAGAGTAACTAAAGTATGCATTTGTTTAATATGCTACATTGTGGGATATGGCTGATTGGTAAAAGAGTGCATATGAGGAATGAAAGATGGAATTTCAGTTATTGAACTTTCCTTCAAGCACATATGCTATGTCTGTTACATATGCTAATTTTGCTTTTCCTTTAAATTCTGTGTGTAAAACCAAAAGTGTAATTTAGTAGCAGACAACAGAAAATTATACTTAAATATTCATCTTTTTAGAATAGATACTTTAATTTGGACCAATCAACATGGAAAATACAAGATTTCATACTTTTGTCTGATTTCTAAATATTAATAATACAGCACTGTTTTGTGTAGTAATGTCATAGATGATTTGTTTAGATAACTGAAGGATGTGCCAAGGCATGGAGCTTTCACAACAGAAACTTAATGAAGCTGTATTTTGGGTAAGTGTATGTATTTTGCATATACCTCAGGAACATCTTAGGAAAAAATATTTTACCAAAGCAATATTTATGTTGTTCCATAGTTTGGGGGAGGGAAAAGTTTTCATTTTAATAGATCAATGTGAAGAGAGATTAGAAACTTAGATTTGGCTTTATTTTTCTTCAGTAAAGTTGTTCTATGTTAAAAATAGTCAGTTCTGAGTTCCTGCTTGTTCCAGACTGAACAAAGGCCTTTGACATTTCTGCACTTTAGTCAGCATTATTTACTAGTCATACAGTAGTATGCCCAGGAGTAAAAGGATAACTTGTGTTTGGTTCTCAAAGTAAAAGGTATGTGTTCTCTTCTGCTCTTTCTTAGGTTTCCCGTATGCTTGGGATTAGGTTACTCATGCTTTATGTATTCCAATTTCCCCTTTTAAAAATGGGCATACTCCTTAGCTATGTTTGAAAATCTAATCACAATAAAAAACATGTTCACTGCTTTCTTTGTTGAAGGTATCTGTATCAAAATTTAATGATCCTCCATTTAGAATAGATAAGTTTGGACTATTTTGTACTGAAAAGTGTGCAATGCTCATTATATAGGAAGTACAACTCTGCCAGGAATACTGGTGTAAATCCTTACTAAGCATCACAGAATCACAGAATTGACAGGGAGGTGAAGGTTTTCAAGCTATCCAGTGATTAGCCTTGATGAGCACTTGCCTAGGCTGTTTTCAGCCATCTTAAGAATCACAGGTGTTGGAGACATAACTATCTCTGCAGGCAGTTTATTTGAGTACTGCATAATCCCTTCTACTAGAAATATCTCGCGAATATCTGGGCCTTCCTTGCTGTAAGAGGACACCCCCCCACCCCCCTTTTTTTTAATTTTTGTCTTACGCACCAGAGATATGGAAGATTATTCCTTTTTCCTTTACAGCAGCATTTTGATGATTGTCTGAGCTAACAGGTTTGTTTAATTATTGCAGAAGTTGGACTGGAACAAGAGAATGTTCCATTTCTGATTGCTCCCAACTATATGAAATGAAATGACATTTTTTTAATTTGAAATGAGAGATATTTTGGCAAATGAGAGTAGTCATATAAAATCTAATTTATTCAGTAATCTTTCCAGCAAATCAGGTACAGAGAAATAGTGTATTTTAATATATCAGCAACATATGATTCATTTGAAATACATTTTTTTTGTTCTGAATCTTATTATTTCTTTCTACTTAGATGAGTTTTTTTTACCAAAGTTTAAAATTGTTAAGATATAAATGGAATTTATATTCTATTACATTAATTTTTATTTGTATTGCCAAGAAAATGTTACATTTATTTTCTATAAACACTCAAGTGTCATCCCATAATACAGATCTATACATTGAAGTATAGCTGACAGCAGCAGGAGAATATGATGGTTGAAACAAGCAACCTTTTATTGCTCATTTCTGTAGAATATTACAGACAAGTAGAAACTTTATGAAAATGAGTGGATTACTACTGAAAATTATTATCATACATATTTTATTTAACTTATAAACAACAAACAACAGTTTTATTCAGAAGTTTATGTTGTTAAGCTTGCCTGCTTTGTAATTTACAGCAAATTGCAGAGTTCCATAGATTTTCCTTCGTTCAGGTCAGGAGCTGTATTAAATTGTTCATTCTGATTTCCATTTCAGAGGATGGTTAAAATATCACTTGCTAAAAAAGAATAAAAGACAAAAGGCAGAGCAGAAGGTGGCTTTGGCAGTAGACCATTATAACATGCAAATAGTAAGAGTTATTATACAGAAGTGGAGTATGTGGGTGAATATTCACAAGCAAAAAAGGACATGTAAGTCTGTATAGCTGCTTTGCATAAGACAAAAAATGTATTGTATAAAAGAAAACTATGCTGTATACTTAAGTATGCTTGGTCCCACTATTTATCTAGCTGTCTTTTTGCAGGATAGCATTCATAGAATCATAGAATCATAGAATCATAGAATTGTTAGGCTTGGAAAGGACCTTAAGATCATCTAGTTCCAACCCCCTGCTGTGGGCAGGGACACCCTACGCTAAATCATATCACCCAAGGCCTCGTCCAACCTGGCCTTGAACACTGCCAGGGATGGAGCATTCACAACCTCCCTGGGCAACCTATTCCAGTGCCTCATTCACTGGTTGACATGTGGCAACTTGATGCCATGAATGCCATGAGAGGCAGTTCCCTCTATTTGCTGTTAGGACAGATGGTGCTTGTACTCTTCTCTAAAGTCTGAGCAGTGATGCTGATGCAAAGAAGGCCTGGGGGTTTTAAGGAAGTGAAGTGTATGTCAGAAGTCCAGAGTGGAGTGAATCAGGATGCTTATATTGGAGGTGAAGAGTGAAATGATATAGGGATAAACCAGAAGGGATCACAGAGTTGGAGTCTTGGCTTCAGTTAGAGGGAATGCATGATGTGAGGCTGGGAAGGAGTGAAGAAGTGAAGATCAAAATAAAACTTAAAAAATCAGAAGAAACTAAAAAAGAAATACTATACGCATTTTGCCTGGGACTTACATTCCCTCGATCCTGTGGGTATGAGGCTTTTTAAATGTGAACAACAGCTGTGACCATACTGTTAACCTGAGCCCACCCAGACAGAAGTGTCATTAAAATAAAGAATGGGCCAAAACCACTACGTATAGGTTTGAGTTTGAGCTCAGGCAGTTGCGTATAATTCAAACATTCCTCTTACAGAGCTAGAAGCTCAAGCTGTTGACTGACTTTCCTAGGTAGTTTTCAGGGACTCCTTTTTTTTTCATATTCTCTTCTAAATATTGCTTTCAGCCAAGGCACCTTTTACTGAATTTATTCTTACAATGTTTGATTTGCATGACATCTGAAACATTATTAAAGTCTTGTAATTGTGTTTTATTTCACTGAGGTCTGTATACATCTGGCACCTCCAAGCTCTGTGCAATTATTGGGTAATTTGGTAGATCAAACTGTACATCAGTAATGTCTTATACACAACTCTAACACATTGGAAATATGTCATGTTTATGCCTTGGCAGCTAACTTGAAATCCTATTGCAATGGTCTTAGTTATATCTGTTGTAAAAGGTTATTTATTTCCTTACAGAACCTGAATTGATTATCTATTTTATTGAAATGTAATTTAATAGTCATTCATCTAAAGTACTTAAATGACATACTTCTTACTTGTGGTTCTCAGATTGGTTAAAATTATGTATATTTTCAGTGGCAGTGACAAGACTGCAACAGATCTTTAATAAATTATATTTAAATGCTGTGGTGAAGGCTTGGCATGCAGAGGCCCACAGTTCTTCGGAAACAAAAGCATATTTTGAGGTATGCAGTATAATACTTCAAATATAGTAAGCTTAATGTTTAAAGATTAACTCCATTAATTCCAACTAAAAAAACAGCTTTATCAATATTAAATGAAGCATTTTAGTACTACTACTACTAATACTGCTCTATAGTACCGGTGGTGTTATGGGCAGCAGATCATTACTTCTCTAGTCTGCAAGTAAAAGTTTGGTCATATCTTAAGCAGCAAAGGGGGTTGAGTGTAGTTGGGTATTACCAGTGATCTAGCTGGCTTGGATCAGGTAGTTGATGTCTTAGGGGTAGTATTACCAATTGATATGATCACCAGTAAAGACGATGCCTCTGTATCCCTGCCACCAGAATTTAATAGGCATAGACTCCTGCACAGTGAGGAGAAGGCTCAGTAACCTCATCTCCTCCTAACAAGTGCAGGGTAACCAAAATTGTGATCACCTGAGAATAGGCAGCACATAGGTAGCGGCATGTGCCCCCTTGCCAGCAGCTGTATCTGGTCTCACTGTGAGAAACAGGGCTTTTCTCATTTCTTGGAAGGTTTCTGCTGCCACAGAAGAGAATGTTATAGCTTGATGCTCAGCAGATACCACATGGGGAATGGGAGAAATGGAAGCTGTAAGAATCAGATGCTGCTAAATGGGGTTCCAAAATCATGCTCCCACTGTTTAGCTCCTTTTTCTTGCCCTACTGTAGGATGGTCAGAATGGAAACCAGCTGGAGACAATATATCATTTGCTGGCTGCTGGACACCAGTTTTAAAATCCTTCCTGGAGTAAAGCTGTCATTAGTGCTGCTGCTTCTCTGGTTTCCCAAATTAGTTGCTAAACTCTCATTTTTATTTTTGTTTCTTCTCCCTCTCATACATTTTCTTTATCCTCTTTTCTTGCTGCTATCTTAAAATACTTAAAATGTTAGTCTGGCTAGACTGAGTGCGTAAAAGTTGTCCTGTTTGTGGAGTGTATTAGGGCATTCTTAGGGAATAATATTCTTAAATCCTTTCCATTCTTAATAACAGATGAAAGGATTGTTTTGACTTCCATAATTAGATTAGAATGCTCAGAACAGAAAGAATATAACTGAATCTTTTTTTTTGTGCGTGTGTGTACTTTTGTACCGTGTACAGTTCTGTAGGCATTTTGGGTGCATCTATGTCACCTAAGCAAAGGTTTCTGGTGTAACTTGGCATGCCCTGGGATACCTCAGGCAAGGCTAGACCAGACAGGTCTCCAGCTTAAAGCTCAAGAAATGCAAGAATCCTCTGCCCTGTATGATATTTTCCAAACTTTTGTGGATATCTTGGGTAATCCAGGGCATCTAAGATAACATTTATTGGTTTTAAAATGCAGAATTAAACCATCAATGTTTAGAATTTGTAAGAAACTAAATGGGCCAGAAGAACTCACATTGCTGCTAAAGGGCAAATACATTTTCAGAATGGGAAGTTACAATCTAAAGCTCATTATTCCCATTTTCTTGGTTCTTCCTGGCTTTCCCATCTCACTGTTTTCTTCCTTCCCATTTTCTTTATTCCTAATTCCTCCTTTCCTGCATATATTCTTTTTTTTTCCCTCTTCTCCTCTCTTCCCTGTAGCAGTATTAAATAAAAAACATTTTTATAACCCCTGACATTCTGTTGCTGGAGCTACAATAAAAGGAGATTCAATGTTGCTCCCATGTTGAGTATATATGAAAAATACTTCAGTATCTTTCATGCCGTATACATTGTTGGATACAATATGACATCAGGGAGATTTTAGTAATACCTTTTGAAGACTTGTTGGAAAAAAATCATGTGCCATAGTGTGTTTATGTCACAGTGTGTACACAATGTTTTAGTTTGGAAATGCATTTAGTCTCCTATGCTTCTGTATTGTATTGCATTACTAGGATGAAAAATCATGAGGTGGATCCTAAAACTACAGTTATTCTCAGTAATAGCAGTTACAAATATTCATAGAGGTGTAACTATCTGGGATTTGAAAAAGTCTAGTTAACTTTAGAAGAAATAAATTTAATTTTTAAAATATTTAAATGTATTTGAAACTTTGAACCTGCAATTAAGTTAAAATTGTGCCTTCCTTTTACTATCTTTTTTTCAGAGTTTGGCAAAGGAAAGTCAGAAAGAATGTTGTGAATCAAATGATCTTACCATCAGACATGAAACATCCTCTTTACCAGAAAAAGCCTTGTTACAGGTTTGTGGTAGTTGGATGTTCTTTTTGATTTTTCATATGTATATTTCATAAAGGGTATATATAATATTTTGTTGAAAAGAATATATTTGTGGAATGGAAATAAAGGTTCCTGTTTACATTGTTCACTTTAAGTCCGATGGAATCCTTTGAAGGTTGACAATGCTATTCTTCCCTTTAGTGGCACCTAATCATAATCTGCATGTCCTAACCTGTGTCCATATCTATGCAACTTCTCACACCTATAAATAAATAATTATTCAGATATTCAGGTATTCTGAGGTTGGTAGTAGCATCCTTTCTTCATTAAACCTCCTGAAATAGGTGTGTCTTTCTGTTAACTCTGTCACAATACTGATGGTATGATTCCTTTTTTTGTAGCTTGGAAGAAATCTGTTTATCTTAATCTATGAGGCTTGTTTTTTAGACATCCAAACCATGAGCTCAAAATATAGCTATCCTTTTAAGTTGCCCTTTTTTGAGGTCATATCAAGTTCACAGTTACATGTGCCACTGTCAAAAAGGATCAGATCTTATATGCGTAAAGTCTATGCACATAAAAAGCAGAATCTGGAAATTAACACATCAAAAAGAATGACTGCTATTCTGAGGTATGTAGCCATACTTTTTTATTAATGCTACAGAGCAACTGTAAAAATACATTATATAGTTTTCTTTTTGCATATAAAGTTAGTTTTATAGCCTATATAAATCAAATATACTGTCAGTGCTACTTTAGTGGCCTAGCAGAAAACATTAACATCTTCCATTTCTAGAGCAATTCCAACTCTGAGCTCTGGAGCTGAAAAGCAAGGTAGTTTGCCAGTTTAGAATTTGTATATATTGTCATAGTGCGTATGTTAATGTGTGTTTTTGGGGAAAATGAAGTAGGAAGTCAGAATTCTATTGATTTGAATAGGAAATAATAACCTAAAGAATAAGAAAAAAGAAAATTTCATAATCCACACAAATTTCAAGCCATATTTCCACCCATATACATATCATTGTAGGATGTGGAATTATTTTTGTTTGTCTGTATTTAAATAGCATTTACATATCTAAAATCCAAAAGCTACAGCTAAGGAAATTACATGTCATAAAAGAAATCAAAACTAATCATATCACTGCAGTGGAAAAAACACAAGAGGTAATAAAATTAAAAACAACAGTAGGGTAAGGTGAGTGTATTAGGGAACATTAGTCAAAACTTCATTCTGGTAACAATGATGAGTTTTTCACTGCAGAGCAATCAGTATCTGTTGGATTTTTAGGAAACAATAAATGAGAACAACATCTTCTGAGTATTTCAAATCTGCTGATTAATTTAAAAGATCTTTAACTAGCAGTATGCCCATTCAGGAATCTGCCTTTTTTTGTCAAAGTTCTCTTCTTGTGACTGAGCACACAGGTAAAGATAAAGAAAAGTGAAAATCCTGCATCTTAAGGAGCATTTCATCTCCCCTCCTTCCCTGTGTGTTCCCCCCTATGCCCCGTCCAAAAAATTGGACTAACAATTTCTATCTTTAACAGAATGAAAAGAATAACATTACTTTGAGATAGTGAGGACACAGGCTTGGGATACAGATGAAGACAATAGCCAAGGCAAGAACAGGGTGGGAGTTTGTGTTAACTGGGTGGTGTGCTAGACAGGGTTCAGGCTTTGCCACCTCCGTCTTCTTTTTTTTATGTGCAGTGGCTAGACAAACTGAGTTGTCACAGGATATGCCGTGGTTGCTGTGGTGCATGGGGGTACAGTAGTTCCCTGGTTTTCCTAGGGAGCTATCCCAAGAGAAGCTGGCCACAGGGAACAAAAACTAATTCTCTTGGGTTGTGTTGGAGTTGGGAGGGTTAAGGACTGGGATCAACAAAAGGACAACAGCAGTGCAGGGATTTGGCAGGATGCATGGAAGCATCCAGGGCTAAGGAGCACCTTCTGGCGGGTCTCCTTCAGGCACAAGAGAGAGAACAGGCTGAGCCAGCTGTGCTGAAAGTATTTTTGCAAGTATTTTTTGTGTATGTGGGATAAGTCATGCAAGTGATTACATATGTGGGCTGGAAGCTATTGCTGTGGATCTTTGGGGCAGGCCAGAAAATAATGACTTTATTTATATGTAAAGTGCAGAGGGAACAAAATCATTACGGAAGAGCAGGAAGCCTACCAAAATGTTTCCATTTTGTATTTGAAAATAATGCAGCTCCCTTGATCCAGAGAGAATTGCAAATCAGTGTGGCTGTCACCTGGCTTTCTTTTTCTTGAGATGTCTCTATTTTATTTAGTACAGGAAGTGCAGAAAGATCTCTTTTGTTTACTGGCACAGACCAGAGCTTCATTCTAGCTGGGTGCCTAACCATTTGCTGCAGAAAGACAGCTTGTTTCCTTTCTTCCTCTCCTTCCTCTCCTTCTTCTCCATCCTCTCTTTTCTATGTCTCCCTTTCTCCCTTTCTCTGTTTCCCCCTTTCCCCCTGTGAAAAGAGGATATATTCTCATGCTATCTTTGTGTGGATCCAGGATGTAGATACAATCTCCTTCCACGGAACATTGTTACTGGGTGCTGTCTTCTCCAGGCCAGATCTGTGTTTGCTCTGAGCATTCACAGACTGAAAAATAAAGTGTGCCTGGACTTCGCGAAGTTTTGGAGCTGATGGTACAGAGACTTTGTCTCTGGCATTGTAGATGACATTTTGTGGTGGATCGTTTCAAAATCACAAGTTATTTAGTAAATATCATTATTAGCATGCTATCATCATTTATTGCAGCTTTCTGTTCTGCTTCTGTGCAAAAAACACACCTGTCAGTTTACATTTACTGAGGGGACAAACTCTGTCCTCAGGGCCAGCTGGAAACCATTTGCTTTGTAGATTGCAGTTTCCTAAACAAGTAAGAGGTACCACAGTACTCTGACATTGAGTTATTGACAGAAAATGATTGCTGTGCTCTAAAGCTGGTTACTGTGGGCTTGACCTACCAGGAAATAAATGTTTCAACAGACCCTTTTCAGAACTGAAAATTCAAAAAGTTACTAGTGAGACAGTGTCAAAGTAAAAGCTTCGCTTTTGTTCTTCTGATATGAACCTAAACCCTATTAATGTATAATAATTCATTCAATATTTAATTTTTTATTCTAACAAGTCATATAGTTCCATTTCTTTAAATACTTTTTGTGAGCTGTATCCGAATTCCTTAAGTTTTTAAATTAGATTGAGTTTTGAAGTTAAGGAAATAATCCACATGTCCAAATGAAACAGACTTTTTATTAGAGAAGCCTGTGATAGATCTGCCTATAATTATCATGGGATGTAAGTATTTGAAGGCATGTGGTGTATGGAAGAAATTTGCTATTGAAAAGAACCTATACAGTTCTGTTCTTTAAAAAGCTGTTGTAAGTCCTTGAATTCTGAACTACCTAAATATCTTTAAAATGAGTATGGCTATAGCATGCTCCTAGGATTCCAGAAAAAAAATATAGCCAGAAAAGCTGATTTTTAAGAATTGTTTTAAGTGGTGTATATGAAGTGAATGCAGACATCTTGTGAGACAACCGCATATTTTGAGGAGCTGGCAAATTGCTTGAATGCATTACCTATGCAATTAAATGCTAGTGGTAAAAGCCGCATTATCAGTGATTTTCCTACTTGATTTGTCCTTCTCTAGCTAAAGAAATTATAGCCCTTGGATAGCTTCTATAAGTTGAAACATTTTTTTCTTTTTAAATCTTGGTAGAATACTCTTGATATTTCTGCTTATTTCTTTTAATTGAAATTAATTTCTGTGATAAAAATGGGTTCTAGCAGATACAGTTTTTAATCCTGTTCATTTCAGTAGAACTGAACAGAATGTAAATCAGGATAAAAGCTTCTCCTAAGGAAGGAGTATTTCCCTTAATGAAACATCCTTTTTATTAGAAAATCCCTTTTTGATTCTAACAATTTTTTAGTGACTAATTTATTATAGAGCGCATTTCAGTATAACCAAATTAAACCACGGTAACATGAACTCTGGTAATCAGAGAATAGTTAGGGTTGGAAAGGACCTTAAGATCATCTAGTTCCGACCCCTCTGCCATGGGCAGAGACACCTCACACTAAACTATCTCACCCAAGGCTCTGTCCAACCTGGCTTTGAACACCTTGTTCCAACAGTTCCATGTCCTTTTTATATTGAGGACACCAGAACTGCACACAACACTCCAAGTGAGGTCTCACGAGAGCAGAGTAGAGGGGCAGGATCACCTCCTTCGACCTGCTGGTCACGCTCCTTTTGATGCAGCCCAGGATACGGTTGGCTTTCTGGGCTGCAAGCACACACTGAAGTCGGCTCATGTTCATTTTCTCATCGACCAGCACCCCCAAGTCCTTCTCCACAGGGCTGCTCTGAATCTCTTCTCTGCCCAACCTGTAGCTGTGCCTGGGATTGCTCTGACCCAGGTGTAGGACCTTGCACTTGGCACAGTTAGACATCATAAGGTTGGCATCAGCCCACCTCACAAGCGTGTCAAGGTCCCTCTGGATGGCATTCCTTCCCTCCAGGGTATCAACCGAACCACACAGCTTGGTGTCATTGGCAAACTTGCTGAGGGTGTACTCAATCCCACTGTCCATGTCAGCGACAAAGATGTTGAACAAGACCGGTCCCAACACCAGTTCCTGAGGGACACCACTTGTTACTGGTCTCCAGCTGGACATTAAGCCATTGACCACAACCCTTTGGATGCAGCCAGCCAGCCAGCTCTTTATCAACCAAGTGATCCACCTATCAAATTGATGTCTTTCCAACTTAGAGCCAAGGATGTCGTGTGGGGCAGTGTCAAACTCTACACATGTAGTCACTCTTTCTTCACTACTTCACTATGTTGATTACCAGAAGTGAAACAAAATTTGCAATTACCTCCTTACTTTTACAAATGCTTTATGTGTATTGGTTCTGAGTACAACATTCATTTGAGTCTCAAAACCTCTATTTGACTCAAGATTTCCCTTGTGCCAGTGCAGTCTGAGTGAAGTCTGTACTGAGTATGCATTATTTTTTCTGGATCATATTTCAAATCATATCTCATATACTGCTATAATGAAAACCAGGTTTTATTGTATGCATCATTGTATGGAAAGTTGTATAACTAATATGGAAGTACTTATGTTCTATAAAACACATTGGCATCTTTGGTATGTTTTCACTCTGACATCTTGCTATTAAAGTAAATATATTAAGTGCTAAGCTCTTTGAAAATGTGTATTAATAAGAAAAATTCCTCTTCAGTGACAAGTTATGGGATAAAAGTAGAAAGTTCTTTTTGTATTTTCACTACCAACTGATTACCATACCAGGTTTAAACTTTTGCATAGATGTATGATAGTGCAATTAGAAAATTAATTACATGATGAGCATAAAGTTTTCCTTATAGAAAAGTTTCTTTAGGAAAGTCATGTAGGATTGTATTAACTGTGTTCCTTTCAACTGGTTTCTTTTTCATACTCAGAACATTTAAATGTTGCATTTCATGTCAGACATTTGCATTTCAACACATGATGTAGCATTTCAGTTCTGCAAATGATTATGGATATTGGAATTTTTAGTATGTAAATAATCCAGCTGTCTTATATAAAAGTCTGCATATGCTTTTTGTCTTTGAGTCTTAAATGCATCTTGCATTTTCACATGGTTATAATGCGTGTCTGCTTCTACAGCAAAGACATTCAATTTTACTGTATTTTCCCTTATTTAATTTTACCAAGTTTCTTCTAAGATAAAACATTAGCATTCTCTTGGCAGAAATACCATTTGACAATTGGTCATAAAAATGGCAGGTGAGGAGCTATGGCACAAGCTTGCCAAATGTCCTTTTCATTCAGTCTCTTACTTTTATGGCCTGACACTGCTGTGTTTATGATTATTTAGCAGGACAAGACCTTCTTAAAATGCTGTAATTTAATTTTTCAATATGTTGCTTAGTGGTAGCAGTATATTTTGAAATATTTACCTATATAAAATGGACTACCAGTATAACTTGTATATTTTTTTCTACCATAATATAACACATTTATTTTAATATTCTGAGATTAAAGATTTATAGATATCTTTACCAAATTAAACTAGTTAAATTAAAAAGACCTCTGAGGTAGAAAATACAAAAACTCTTCAAAGGTAATTTAAATTGAATTTAAAAGTACTATAGTTAGTCTACAAAGCTTTAGTCCAAATTATATTGTCTCAAGTAGGCTTAGGAGAGGTGTTTGAACAAGTGTTGTTTTCAGGTAGGTGAAATAAAACTGCTGATAGTGCATGAAAAATCCTCAGGTTTGAAACATCCCTCTCATTCTTTATCATAGCTTGAATTGATGAGCTTTTAAGCAAAGCAGTATTTTCATAACTCTTTGTTAAGGCTGTTAATGTGTAATTATTGACATTCTGCTATAAAAGGTATGTTTAAAGTCCTAAGAAAGAAGTTTTTAATTTTAAAATAGGTCTTCTTGTTTAGGATAAGTGAACATGTATCATTTAATACATCAGCGCTTCTTACTGAATAGGTTTAATATCATGTATGTCTGTTTGTCTTACATAGATTTTCCGCTACGTAAATTTGGTTGATCTGGCAAGATGTGCTCAAGTTAGTCAAATGTGGATGCTGCTGACTCAGAACAGTTCATTATGGAGTGATGTAAGATAATCACAATATTCTATTTCAATTTTATTTATTTTAAACAAGAGTGAGACAAGGAGGTAATTTAATTTAAGAATGCTAGAAGTTTTATCCCCAAATATGACTTGTTCTACCCAACAACATGAATTAAAAAACACGAGCAACTCAGATAAAATTGTGTGTGGTATATCATTATAAAATCAGTGAAAGTGAAAGAGAATTGGCTACTAAGACTTGGCTTAATTTAGACAGTTAAGTGTCTTAGGCTTAAGATCCATTTGGGATCTAGAAGGTGAACAGAGCTGTGCCTTGCAAGGCTAAGAGATCTGAAGTCCCATATTTGCCGTTTGGGAGTTACATGTTCCCTAAGTGGGATATAGCACTATAGGCACATACAGTGACTGAGGGAAAGAAATTCTGGAGGTCTCAACAATGCTCTGCTTGCATGTCATACTGTCTTGTTCTAAGCAGCTGCCTGTTCTCTGTGTGTTTCTTTAAACTGACCTTCTGATGTGCTTACATGTCCCATATACGTTTTGTAGAGTCTTTGCTCAGATTTGAGTTGTTGAATCTACCCTTCAGCATCAACACCTAAAAGATCAGCTTGTAGTGCCTGGAGTCTTCATTAGGTCTGGTCTTAAGTTCCTGTGATGTATTAATAATCTTAATGAAACTAGTATTAAAAATTCTGATAATTTTAATGTAAGAAGAAAAAAATCCTAATAAGAAAGAGAAAAAAAACCAGAAGAAGTTCCTGGTATTGTAACCACTTCTAAGCCTTATGAATAGAAATAATAGTAATTGTTTTTTCGAAGTATTTGGGTAATAAACATGTATTATGAAATATACAGCAAACAGATGTAGTGTGGCTTTAGCAGATTATACAAAAGGGGGAAAAAAGCTTTTTCTGGCCTTTTTATGAACAAATTGAAAGAAGATATGAAAAAGTCTTCTCCAAAAAGGAGATATTTCTTATTAAAGAAATAATAAATATTGGTAGATAGACTGTTAAAACTATTTTCCAGTATTTTTTGTTAAAACTTCTTGAACTTCTGACAGATATTTAGAAAAAGAATGGTTTTAGTCAAGGGTTTAGATATCCCCACCATGCAACTTGCATAATTTTAAGGATTGTTCTACTAAAACTAAGGTGGTGGATTATGTAGTCTTGATATCTCAGTGTATTAGCAGACCATTAACTAGAAAAAGAAGTATCTTTGGCAACTTTAGGATTCCATGAAGTAAATGTTCCAGTCTAACAATTTTGTTTGCACGTAATATTCTGACATGTCATATTTTGGTAGTTCAAGACTTGTCTCAGCTCCATAAATACTGTAGACACAGACTTCCCCTACATTTAAGTATTTTCAGTCGCTGTCTAGATTTTTATCTATGTAATACACAGACATTTCTGTGTTTTGCTGATTATTGATTCGGTGTTTGCATAACTGTGTTGTATTCAGTAGTGATTTTGATAATTATGTGTCTTTGTGTATACTATTTTTAGAACTGAATTATAAATCGTTTAATTTTTTAGATCAATTTTTCCTCAGTGAGGCATAAAGTTCAGGATGAAATGGTAGTGAATGTTTTGCAGAAGTGGTGTCCATATGTCTTACATTTGAATCTTCAAGGTTGCTCTTCTCTTCAGTGCCCTACCTTTAAAAGTATCAGTAAGTATTACATGCATTTATTAAATTTAATCCCCTCTTTAAACTGTGTCTTCACTCTCTGCTTTACTGTTGTCCAGTTTTGCTGCCTATATTCTTCTCTATGTGTACAGCCATGATGAAGCAATGTGACTATGAGGCATATAAAATTACTTTAAAGACAGCCCATTCCTTCATGGCAGTCTCCAGCCCCAGCAATCTCCATATGACTGAACATTGCTACAATGCCAATAGAATGTTTATGTTGTGTGTGAAATGCTGTAATATGACAAATAAGATTGGAATGCAAATGTGCTTAAATATATCTGAATGCCAGAATCCAGCTCTACTGAGATAATTGTCACAGAATCACAGAGTGCCTAAGGTTGGCAGGGACCTCTGGAGGTCACCTGTCCAAACCATCTGCTCAAACAGGGCTGGCTCCATCTTCTTTGCACGCACCCTTCATGTATTTATATATATTGGTAACAGCCCCCTCAGCCTTCTCCAGCTGAACATTCACAGCTCTCTCAGTCTTTCCTTATAGAAGATATGCTCCAGTCCCTTAATCATCTTTTTGCCCTTAGTTGGATAATCTTCAGTATGTCCATGTCTCTTGTACTGGGAACCCTGAAGCTGGACATGGTACTCCAAGTACGGCCTCACCAGTGCTGAGTAAAGGGGAAAGGTCACCTCCCTCAACCTCCTGGCAATATTCCTCCTAATGAAGCCCAGGATACCATTCGCCTTCATTGTAACAAGGGCACAGGGCTAGCTCATGTTCAACCTGGTGTCCACCAGCACCCTCATGTCCTTTTCTGCCAAGCTGCTTTCCAGCTGGGCTGCTCACAGCATGTATGCATGGGATTGTTCCTCCCTCCATGTTGTACTTGATGGGGTTCCTACAAGCTCATTTCTCCAGCCCATCAAGGTCCCTCTGGATAGCAGCATGAGCCCCTGGTGTAGTAGCCACTGCTCCCAGTTTGATGTCAAATGCAAACTTGCTGAGCGTACAGTCTATCTCCTCATCCAGATCATTAATGGAGATGGTCTAGTGTGAGGTGTCCCTGCCCATGGTAAGGGGCTTGGAACTAGATGAATTTAAGATCTTTTCCAGCCCTAACCCCTAACCAATCTGTGGTTCTATGTTAAACAGAACTGGACCCAGTATTGACCCCTAGGGTGTACTGTTGCTGGTCCCAAACAAGAAACTCACAGCCATACACACACAAAAAAAGAGTCCAAACATGGTCCAAGACATTAATGTGGTGTTTCAGTTTTAGCACAAATAAATAGGTGCTTGACTCTGCTGCCAAAACAGAGTCCCTCTGGAAGTAGAAAAGCATCTTACTCCTTCCTGAGAATATGTGCGGAAGTTCATGTGACCATGTGATTAGATAGCATTTTGGAATAGTTTCAGGTCAGTAATCTTCTTCTCAATGCAACTGTATTCTCTGTAAATTTTGTCTATTTACATCTACTCAGTGCTATTAAACTAATTGTGCTGAATCGTGTGTGATGGTCCACAGGGGCTTTTAAAAACACTGATTTATAAAGCTGTTTCTTCTAACTTTGAAGACACCCAGTAGTTCTTTTTAACAATGAAACACATTTATGTGAGTGTAGTATTGCTATTTAGGTTAATTATGTATTTATTTTGTTAAACCTCATTGATCATACAGCCTACTTTTGCCATTCTTTTGAAGCTCTTGTGGATGGTTTAAAATCGCTGCAAGACTATTTTGTTTTTTTTTTCTTAGTGATTCTAAATCCTACTGAAATTCTGTTCCTCTGACATTTCTTCAGCTAACAAACTGCGTTGAACTGTCTGTTCAGTTACAGGCTACAGATGTGATGAACCTTTCCATTAGAACTTCCCCAAGCTACAGTTCTGACCTAATCTTTTCAAATAAATCCAAGATTACACAGATTTTGGCAGCCTGTTTTTATTGTTAATGGTAAAAAGCCATGATATCAATTGGGGTTTTAGGTCTGTTCAGCTGGCTAATCATGTTAATATTCTTTTTTAAATTAATTAGCTGCTACTTTTAAATGTTGTTTTTATGTACTGCAACTTTGCTATGTGGTGTGTGCATGAAATAATAGTCGTTGTTTAATGCCTACATACGAATGTTATACGATTCCAGCTCAGACTCTTTGCGAAATAAATGTGTCATTTTGCCAAAGAAAAAATGAGTGTATGAGATGCATGGGTTACAGCTCAGCTGCTTGTGGTGCTACTCCACCCACTCAGTGATTTTAGAGAATCATTAGACTTCCATGTGCGACTGGGAGCTGTGTTAAAAGCTGCCATTCATATTCATAGGGCAGGAGCTACGATTTCCTCAGAGCCTTTTGAAGCTTTTTATTGCCACTAGTGTCACAGGATTGACAGACCTGTCTCTTTTCTTACACTCTGTCATGGCAAAACATGGATCAAAAGAGTTTTTTCTGTGTTTCATGTGTGCTGTGTAGAGAGAAGGGCACTGTGTCTGCAGAGTACTGTAGTTTACCCTTTAAGACAGTACATAAAATGCATATCAGGAATAAAATGTACTATCATGCAATTATTTCTTGGATTTGGAGAGAGAGAGAAGGGGAATCAAGACAGAAATTACTGAAAGGACTTAAAAAGCATATAAAGGAAGAGGGGTGTCCATGATTTTCTTTTATACGTGGAAGGGCTTCTGGGATTCTGTGATTAAATTAGTACAGAAAGAAAGAAATGTCAGCATTAAATTGTGGTTTGTGACTGTGGTGTTTCATGGAGGGTTTACTTCAACTTACAGTGCATTTCAGAGAAATAGTAATTAACCCTGTAATGCTGAAGGTTTTATTGTTAGTCATTGTCTCCATATGTGTTTTTCAAATATATTTTTGTCTTTTTCCTTGGGCTGCCTCCTCCTGTGCTACCTTCGTAGTTCCTCTATAGTTTTCTAGTTCATACAATTGTAAAGAATACGCTCCTTGAAAGGTGGGTCGGTGCAAACCTCATGAAGTTCAACAAGGCCAAGTGCAAGGTCCTGGACCTGGGTCAGGGCAAACCCAAGCACAACCACAGGGTGGGTGGAAACTGAATTGAGAGCAGCCCTGAGGAGAAGGACTTGGGGGTGTTGGTTGACAAGAAGTTCAACATGACCTCGCAGGGGAATGGCTTTAAACTGACAGAGGGGAGATTTAGATTAGATATAAGGAAGAAATTCTTTTCTGTGAGGGTGCTGAGGCACTGGCACAGGTTGCCCAGAGAAGCTGTGGCTGCCCCATCCCTGGCAGAGTTCAAGGCCAGGTTGGACACAGGGGCTTGGAACAGCCTGGTCCAGCAGAAGGTGTCTCTGCCCGTGGCAGGGGGTTTGGAACTGAAAGATCTTTAAGGTCTCTTCCAACCCAAAAAATTCTATGATTCTATGTTAAATTCATTTTTTCCTACTCAGCTTTTCTCCATTGGCTGTGCTGCTAACAACAGATATTCTGCGGTGGTTCCATTGTCTGTCCTTTTCAATCATGCTCAGTAGTTCCATTCTGTACTGAAGTAATTCCCTGGAACTTGAAAGGAGGAGGAGGATAAGCGCTTCACTTAATGCTGGCTACTGCTTATGAGAGATTTTTTTTCTTTCATCACTTTCAAGTTTCAAGAAAATGCCCCATCTATTGAATATTACTGACCAAATGGGATTTTCATCTGTGTTCCGTAATTAAGATAATGCTGAAGATATTCCCAGGAGCAGGGATGAGTCAGATACTGTTGGTTTTGCTATGAAGTTTTCAAAAGATGTTGTGGAAGACATGGCTAAATTATTCAGTTTATCAGTAAAGCACCATTAAATACATTCATAATATGAATCACTTAGGACATGAGTAATATGTCCCTGTCCATGGCAGAGGGGTTGGAACTAGATGATCTTTGAGGTCCCTTCCAAACCAAACCATTCTGTGAAGGAATGGAGTTAATAATGTCTTGTGTTTGCTTAAGGATCCTTTGGCATTCCTACCACCCTTAGTAACTTCTGAATTTTTCCTTTATGTTGTTCTTCTATGTTAGCATAGAAGCACTGTGTGCTTTGTATTGCACTTCTAAAACAAAATGGGTGACCTTTTGGGCTTGTGGCTAAAGCACCAGGGAAAACCACAGTACCATACTTTTGTGCATATCTTTAAAGGAGCAAATTTTGTCCCTGAAGTGTTCCAGAACTTCTTCCATGGTAGTCAACAGATATTTAAAGTTTTGGCCCTGCTTCTCTAACCTGCACTTAGGTATTTCTTACTCGTCTAAGAGCAGGAGATTGGTCTTGGGTTTGAGCTGGGAATACTGAAGTTGTAAGCCGGGTTGTAAACCAGCATCTTCTTGCCCTCCGTGTGAGCTTGGGTAATTACTTTTCCTTTCCACGCGTAAAAAAGGGTTTATAATATCTGTTATAAGAGGCACTAGTTCTGCTAGTTCAATATTAACTGATGCAGAAATTAAAAAAAAACAGAGCTGTTATTTAAAAACTAGGAACAGTCTTTCAGTAGAAACCCTTTTTTGTCTAAAAAGAACTTTCAGCCACTATATTATATAGCAACAAATTTTATCTTTAGGGATATTGTCTACTTAGCTGAGGCATTTGTATGTCTCAGTTATCATAGCATTAGACTAATCACAGTTTGTAATGAATGTATATTCACATAGGCAGTTGTGTGATAAGGAGGTGCTATAATGCACATTTTACAAATGAGCTGGGTGGAAGGGCAGACTTTGGGAATTTCCTGCACGTTTAGTGCGCACTCAAACGCATAGCTACTTACCTGCAGTGTGGATGGGCACTGGCATGTGGGATGTAGGCTACAGCAATATTCACATGGTCTTTTTCAAAGTGATGTCATGTAATCTATGTCAAACTGACATGACAACCTGAAATGCTTCCTAGAAAGACTTCAGCTCTACGTACTGCAGAAACTGAACAAGGCAAATGTGAGCATGTTGAGCTAGGGCTTGGGAACCAACCATGTCTTGGCTGCTCATGGCTTTCAGGCAGATCGGGTACAGAAGAGGCAGATGCTGAGTTACTCACTCAAAACTGAACAGAAACACTGGTAAATCAGCAGGTAGAACCCAGCTTCCAGGTTTGAATCCTAATCAGTATAAAGACTGCTATTTGTGTTTTTCTAGAACTGTATTTAAAGTTATTCTTCAGATTGATTTTTTTGTATACAGTAAAACAACAGGAAGCTGATACAAAAATCTTAGAAATGTTTTCTGGGAATACTTCTGGAAAGTGATAGATACAAAGGACTGACAATACATTCAGGAAAAATGTGTCTTGGTCACAATCCTGCAGCAAGTTCCGTGACAGCACAAAAGCTGTGTTCATGCATAAGACAGCTCCTCCCCACCACACTATGTACATTTGTGTCTATCGATTTCTACCATATAGTTTCAAATACTTGCCAAAATATTTCACAAGAATGTCCAGACCAAATGGTCAGAAACAATTACTTGATGAAGGATGCTGTGTAACTAATGCCATTCTGTAATTAACTGCAATAAACAGAAATCTTTGTAGGCAGATAGTCCTACAAAGAATCAGTACAATTAACAAAAAATGTAAACAGCATGTTTTTCTTTGTCAGAGTATCAAATATTTGAATGTACTAAAAAAAAAAGAAAGGAAGGATTCCCTTGTTAGCCTATCACAGTGACAATTACACCATGCTTCTTTACTGTTTGAACTGATTGTTCTTTGTGTCGCTCCCATTCCTCATCATCTTTGTCCAGATCAAAAGTTTCTGGATAAATGGGCAGCTTGTCTTTTGGGCATTCCTCATAATAACTTCGAACATATTTTCCGACAGACCATCCTTTGTATTCCTCAGGCATTTTGCATTCGAGGCCATTGTAGTGAACATTGTAGTGATGCTTCAACCAGTAGAACAGATAATGAATGTTGTAATCACATCTCCAAGGGTTGTCTCTCAGCCACAGTATTTTTAGAAAGTAAAGATCTTCCAGTACTCCATATTCAAAATTCTGCAAGCTGTTGTTTGATAGATCCAGCTCCTCTAAGTTATTGAGGCCTGAGAAAGCAGCTAGTCAATAGAAAAATGGTTATTGGGACCTCATAAAAGCAAGTTAGAAAAAACCCATGCATACCTGCAACAGGAGAAACATTTTCGTAATTATACATTTATTCATTTGGGAGGGGCTAAAGGCTGCAAAAACAGACTTTCCAAACTCTGAACTTTAAAATATGTCTTGAACCTTGAGAAGTGAGGTATTGGTATAAATATATTGACATTAGGGGAGTTGTATTGCTGGTAAGGTTATAATATTCTTAATGGGCATGCATGAGTATGGAATAGGTACAGTGAAGGTGAATGAATGTTTTATTTGCTCATAGAAGTCAACTGTTATTGCTGTGATACAGTAGAAATATGGGAATTTATTATGTATTAATGTGCAGGGCTAATAGCGTTTGTATGTACATGTGTATTTGTGTGTGTGTGTAGAACCTTTAAATTAGTGTTTTAAGATATGGAAGATAATAACATAGAGCTTCATAATAAAGCTTCTGAGTCACATTTCAGAGAGCAGTTCATACTTTTTGCAAATATACCATTTCATTTAATGGTGGAAGTCTTAATTTAAGTAAATCAACTACCTGTAATGTTAAACCTTGTAAGTACCAGTGTACTGATTGCTACTGTTGTTTAACTGCCAAAATGCTACTAGAGAAGGCTCTTTTTGCTTCATACTACTACCTGTCTCCTTGTGTCTGCTTTCATAATGAAAAACTGAATACACATAGGCTATAAGCAAACTGCCAACAAAGCCATTTGAGTTCTAATAATATATAGATTATGAGCAATTATATGTTGTGATTTTTAACCCAAAAGTGTTTAAATACTTTTCCTTTGTCTTTTACTTTATTGTCCAATATAATTTAAAAGCAGCCTCATTATGTGACAAGTTTTCTTAGATTCAGCAAAGATATTGAAAACATCATTCAGCTATTTCGCATTTTTGGAAGTGATTAGCCTTCAGTCTGCACAATTAAATTTTGCACTTGCTTGGTTTAGTGTTAAGAAAGGGCAGCTGAAATCAGTGTCTCTTCATTGACTTCCATGATGAATACATTTCAGTGCAAACCTTTACTCTATGAATTGAGTGGTACAAAAGGTAAAATTTGAACCAGTTTGTCAAATTTAAAATCCTTTTCCCCCACATTTATATCTGATAGACATTATTAAAGTTTAAATTTAATAACACCAATCACTTTTTAATGACTGTTTTAAATTATTCTTACCAGGATCAATGTAGGCTATTCCATTACCATTTAGGTTTAATATCTTCAGTTCACTGACATCATCAAACTCTTTGGCTCGTAGTTGTCTAATTTTGTTGCTGGACAAATCAAGTTTAACTATATCTGGAGGTATGTTACCTGGAACTTTCTTTAAATCTTAAAAAAAAATGAAAAGGAAACAACTGTTAGCTTCAGATTATTCTTTCTGCTTAGGTATCTCAGAATTTTGTCAGTCTAGCATTGCTTCTTGTTTTCTCCTTTTTACTCTCAATAGTAGTGTCAACATGTTTCTTCAACTTCTGAATTTCTTTGCTTTGTTCACTTGTATATTTACATTTCATCTGAAAATTGCACTCTTCAGTAGTGCTTATAGTAAAGCCTCTGTGGTTTATATTTTTATTCTAACAGAACTGTACTATTCTTTCACATAGGAGTAGGGTGAGTAGTGAAAATACTATACTAATAAAAAGCATGTGTTAAGGGCTTGATTATTTAAAGAAAAGAAATCAGAGTAATTATATAAAAAAATGTTCCTTGGTAAATGTTCATTGGTTCTTCCATGATCAAATGATAGTGTGCTGTCTTACATCCTTTGTTCTATGTTGCCAAAAGGTAAAATGTTCTAAAATTGTATCAGCAATAAAAATATAGTAATATTCATAGTTCTGTAGTTACTGTATGGAGTGTTTTAGTAATATTGAAGACTTTATATTTGTTACAATACTTACAGGTAGCATAGTGTCATTCTATCTAGTTCTCCCTACCAAAGTATCCAAGGACTGTGTGCATATCCTTATAATGTTCCTTGCTCCTTGCAAGAGTTACAGAAAGAATAGCTTCTCGTCTAGTAGTAAGGGCACATTCTTGAGAAGTGCAGACTGTGGTTTGAATCTTCACAGGATAATGTTAATAAACTTAATCTCTAGGATTATGTTTACTTAATGGGGGTTATAATCCTGGCTGTTGCTACAAGAAAATGATTGTTATCTCTTATTTGACCATCTTTGACTGAAAGCAAGTAGCTCCTGGATCTGTGCTGAAATCCTTGCTGTCAGTGTACTTCTAAAGTTCTGTAGATGTCTAAAGCAACATGTCAGAGTCTTCCTGCCTTGTATTTGATTCTGAGCAGAGCTTTGGTATTCTAAACACATAAATGTTATAACTACTCCAGCCTGCTCTGGTTGGAGTGCTTCCTGCTAGTGCAGATGTCAAAGTTTCAGGGCCTACTTATCAACAAATGAATGAAAATAATGCTTGAATTTGAGACTTTGAGAGTTTGTCAGTACTAGAAAGCAGATTTTTTCAGCTGTTCTTGCAAATACTAATTCTTTTGCGGAAAAGCAAACAGAAATGACTTCTGTATCCAACTTTCATTGCTATTTTTTTGGTAAAACAGAATAAAAGACGTAAGATTCATTCTGAAGTACTGAAAGATCTGGTGTGTATCACTGGTCTGATAGAATATAAACAAGTTCTTCAAAAAGGAGAACATACACATGGTTATATGTATTTTTAAGATGTTTCTTTCGTGAGCTCTCTGACATAAACTGAAAGCTGATGGCCTGTTTTATCTCCTTAGAGATGCATCGTTCTGGTACACTGCTTGTCACTTCATTCCCTCCATCGTAAAGGAATAATGAATTGCAGCTTTTCATGTTATCTTACAGGTTGGGAAACTGATACACCTTTTTTCTGACTCTGAAATCTTGTTAATGTGGATTATACTCGTATTTCTAATGACAAATCCAATGAAATTGTGCATCTGCTGCACAGTAATCATATGCAAAGGAAGTACAGTGCTCTCATCAAAGATTACCTTATGTTCAGAAATCCTAAATATGCATGGGGTATTTGCATCCAGCTGTCAAGAGTATGCACAGTAGATCTGATACTTACTATAGAATATTGAATGTACTCAATGTTTCTGTGCTAGACATTCAGGAAGTCCTGGGCTGGACTTCTTGACCTGATGGAGGGAGTTCCTGTACCCTCATGTAGTCTAGTTCACTCATGTAGAGCTTGATGTAACATTATTCCTTCATTATTAATACTTAAGACAGCAAACAGGTTTTTAGAAAATACCATAAAAGCCTGTGAAACTCCCATAAAGAGCAGACCACATTGAATATTTCTGTGAACTTAGAGAAAAAAGTAACATTTTTCTTGCTGAATGTTTTTGAAAATATTCGTGTGTTCAGCTCATCTCTTTGACAGCACTAGATGGGGAGAGCCAGAAGGTCAGCCTTCTCTTCTATTAAGATTTTAATATGTGCCTGGTTTCTGTTCAGTAGCACGGTTTAGTGGAGATGTAAGGTAATAATGATATAATTTAGATTTTATGAAGGATAATTAAGATTGCAATCTATAATCTAAAATCTAATAATTAAGATCCTATTTACAAGGAAAGGTATGGTTATGTGAATATTCAGAAATTAGTTAATGTTAGCCACTTAAAAAAGCATAAAATATTAATGAGAAAGATGCCTGGTAAGACATAGAGAAAAGTGAGTCATAGGAAGAAGAAAGGAATTTAACAGGTGGAAAAAAGTAAAAATGTGGACCATTTTTTATGCCATACATAGTAGATAAACCATGAAATCAAATACTGGAATTGTTAAATCTTTAGGTATTGTCACCTTATACTGATTTCTGAGCTTGGCGCTGGCATTAAGGCCCAAGAGTAAGGGTGCACAGAGTAGTTACAGAAATTGAAGTCACTGTTCAAGCAAACAGAAGTTTAGCAAACACAACACAAGATACAAGTGGGCAAACCATAGTGCAGTGATTCGGTATTACAGACTATGCTTTGCAAAACTTGGGAGAAAAAACTCCCAGTTTTGGCTACTTCTAGTAATGCTTTTTATTTCAGATTTGTAATGTTAAAGAATGAGTCTTTTCTCAATATTTGGTTGTTTGCTTTGTTTTATCATGGGATAAAGTATGGGAAATAAAAGATGAATAAATGTACACTTTTTCATTGAGTTGTGCCCCATCTGGTCTACCCTGAAGGCTTAACTGTGGCTTTTAAGAGCCTGAGAAGGATTTAGAAATGGAATGGATCCAAGTGTTTGAAAAACATTTCTTGAACGCAGTTCAATTTTGAAATGTTTGCTGGGTGCTGGGAAGAAGCACATAGGGGAAGTATTTCTTTATGAACAAAATCATACAATTTCTTCCCTTAGTAGAAGAAATCTTGCACAGAAAATGTGAGGATGCAATAGCTCTCCTTTGCAGCCAGGTTCCTTTTGGCACTGTAAGCACAGCTGGCTGCTCCAGTCCTGTTTCACAGATCACTTCTGTCAAAGTTGTTTGTGTTGTACACTGGAAAGAAGAAAAGACACTGTGCTTTTCTGTATCTGTGCAATAATTTCAGCACAGCTGTAATTTAATTAGTATGTTTATAGTTGTAAAATCAGACTTATGAGGTACTGGTAACTTGTGAGGTGCTGGTCCTTCAGTAAGTGTGTTCTTAATTTTATTCCTGTTGACTTTTGTTTGATGTCTTATACCAGAGCACTAAAGGATATCTGTGGAGTCAGGGTGGCAGAGTAGAGGTAGCATGCAGAAAGAACTCCTACTTGTTGACTGTAGTTATGAGAAAAAAACAACAGAAGTACTTAAAGTAATGTGGGTACTAGTTCTATATAAATTTGCTGTAAATAGTATGTGAATAAATGTAGCAAAGGAGCAAGAATATTAAAGAATATTAAAATCATTATTTCAGTTATAAAGACAGATACAAACCTTTTCTTCTGCAGTTGAGAGTTGGTACAGGAAACACATACATGTGGCATGAAGAGGAATCAAATTCTGCAGGCTTTTCCCGTTTTATATTTTGAGGGTCCTGCCTGGTTTCTTCACTACATAGCTGTTCAGCTCTTATCTGCTTTAGCTTTTGATTTTTCAGTCCTATTGGATGCACACACTTGGCATAATTTCCCAAATTCCTGTTTGCTGGAACCTGCAGCATTGTAACAAGAGCTTCTAGTTCACAGTTGCAATGCCAGGGATTATCATAAAGACGTAGGTAGTTTAGACTGGGTGTATAAACAAAAATCTCCTCAGATAAACTCTTAATTTGGTTATGCTGAAGTAAGAGTGTGGTGAGTTTATCCAAACCGAAAAAAGCCTCGCTCTCAATTTTTGATATATCATTCTGTTGTAAATCCAGACTTTTCAGTGCTTTGTACTTGGAAAACATGTTGTTCTTCAGTTTACGAATCCTGTTTCTTGCTAGCAGCATGTGTTTTAAATCCTCTGGCCAATCAGGTGCCACAAAAATCAATTTTCTTTCCTGACAATCTAGGTATTTCTCATGAAGATAAGTGTATATATCACACGGTAGGCCTTGGGCATTGCGCTTAACAGTGCTAGATGCTCTCCTTAAGATGTTTTCCCTTTCATTGTTTCTCAAACTCCTAATCCTTGTCTTCCTACTGTCAGATGCTTTACAAAGAAGTAGTAGTAGTATAATAGTAACTACTTGCATCCTGACATTCAGCTGGCCCCAGCTATTTTCTGTGACAGCTGTAACGGTTGAAATTTTTGGATAGTCTTAATCAGTGTTGTACAGATCTGAGGAGACACAGCTGGAGTATGCGGGATCCCTGTGCTGGAAGAGAAGTAAAACATTACAGCAGATGAAACAGGCATTTTCGTAGAGGCTTGAACATAATATAGAGTATTCAGTCAAATAATTATCACACTACTTGGAGCTTGACAAATACTTTGAACATTTAATGTCCTATCTCTTTTTTTTTTTTTGTGTGTTACTGTTTTATACTGTCTCTAGTTTATTGTTATTCATTTTTATTAAACATGGGAAACTATATGGACCCATTTCTAACTGATCTTTATTAAAAGGTTCTCATGTATTCAGGAAAATAACATCAGGCTGAATCTTCTTTGTATTTATGTTCATCTTGGAAAATGAGCTTGAAAGAGGACCTTGAAGCTGATACTTTCCAGCTTTCTGAATGTCAACCCACTGGAACACATCTAGTGTCTATCGACTTCTCAGTTATAGACTATGCTCAGATGCAGTCTTCTTTTCAGGTTGAGCCCAAATTTACCATTTCTGTATTTACCATACAAATTTACTAGCCCTGCTTACTACCAAATGTCTCTTATGGCCCATGTCAGGTAGAGAAAGTTGGCTCAGAAAGACCACAGGAAGAGCTTATCAGGTTATATGTCATCTGAGTGTAGGCAGAGTGCAGAAGAGAACTTGGTGGTCATGGCCATGGTGTGCTTTAAACCAGTTGCAGGTCTGTCCACCTAAGGAGGAATAGTACAGAGCGGTAAACCAGGAGCTTCCAGCTTTCTACGAAAGCTAAACACAGTCTTGAGGAATTATTATTAGGGGAAGAAAAGGACTGCTGCCCACAATCGAGTCTAAAATGCCTCAGTATTTTTAGTAATTTTTCAGCCTGTGTTCCCTCCTGAATTTCCCATAGTACTCCTGTGTATTGCCATTTTCCTTCATCTTCAGTGAAGTTTGGCCATAAGGTCATCTTTCCTTAAAATCATTTTAACCCCTCAGCTTGCTGTATTTTCTAACTATTTTCAAACTCACAAATTTCTTTTGCTAATCAGTATCATCCCTTCTGAAACCTTCTTCTCATTCTTCACTGTTTGGAGTAACTACTTAGTTAATTTTTCTCTATGATTGTGGACCTTAGCACCTGGCAAGGTATTGATCTTGAGTGCAGATCATTGCACAGATGTACTGTTTCTAAACACTGTTGATCTGGGCTCAAAAAACTTGTTTTTTGTCTGGAGGAAAGGTGGCACAGTAAACAAACTAATATCAGGTAAAATACTTTTGAAAGCAAAGAGATTTTTAATTTTAAAAGGAAATTGGTAGATAAATTTAAACCACATCTCAGCTATAGAGAGTTCTTGGTATTTGTGCAGTTATTAGACAAATGGAGCAGTCTTGTCTACACCTGTTGCTGCATCCCTCTAAGCCAAGTGGCTGGTTCCCGTTATTACCTTTGAAAACTCGTTGACTGGTTTCTCCATTTTGTTCCTGTAGTTACCAGCTGCCTATCTTCATTCAGTCTCTGTTAGTTGGAATGTCAGTGCGAATGAGTTTGCATAAACAACTTTATCCCTTACATGAAAAATGACATTTTATATGTAACTTTTTGGCAGCTATATGCTAGTCAGTGTAAATTGATTATGTGTTTTAATAACTTGAATCATAACTGGGATCCTCTGTGTTGTTTTGAACTGTTAATTGTTCTGGTAATGTGATAGCTCATTCTATCTAGCAGAGCTAGGAAATAGAAAAAGAACTTGGGGTAGGAAAGGTAATAAAAAATTATAGGAAAATTCCTTCCTCTTCCTTTCTGTCTCCTGAGTCTGGATTGTTTTACTAGTATTACATTTCTGCCTGCTAACTAAAGTATATTCAGCTATAATACCAAAATTAGCAACTGCTTTTAGTAGCATGTACACATTCGGATGTAAAATTGCAACTGTCTTTTCTAGTTCTAGGGCAAAAACCCCACGTAAGAGCTATGTAATTTCTGTGGCTTAGCAGCCTTAAGGATGATTTTGATTGGTTAGGTTCTTTTCAGATGTGCAGTCCCTCTCAGTATTGTCCTACTCCTCAAAAAGGCACTGAGTTAGACAGAGTTACAGGATATCAGTGGAGCCACAGTCCCTGTAGAAAACATCATACAGATCTATTGTTGTACTAATGCTTATTGCAGTTGAAAACATGTAATTTTTCTTGCCATATGAAAATGTGTTTTTAAATATTTTTAAAATATATTTATTTTCACTGTATAAACCTTTCATATGGCATTTTCCATATCAGGCATCTGTATATCAGGCCTATTTTGATCATTTCAGTTTAAACAGATCAGTTATTTTGAAGATTAGATTAAGGCAAAAGGTATTACTATGTTTAATAAGGGTTTTTGCATCTTTTACTTGGAGAACAGACTCAAAATTTGGCAGAAGAGTGGCTGAAAGGATGTGTAAGTGTTTTTTCTCGTGTCAGGCATCTATCTTTCATTATTTTGTTAGAATTGCAGCAGTCTCTGCAAAATAAGAGTTTCTAAAAGTAATGATTATATGCACAGAGAAGAGACTGTCTCAGGCAGTTAAATTCTCTGAAATTCAATACCTGCAGAAGATGAGCAGGGCTTTTCCTACAATTGGTCTAATGGCACCACCTCATAAACCTATATGGAAAACTCAACTCTGGCATTTCCTAACATCAGATTGCTTAATCAGGTAGCTTTCTGGTCCTTTGGTAACATAAGACTGAAAACAGCTTGGTTCCTGAGTGTGCCATTCATTGATGGAGTGTAAGAATAGACATTTCCTCAGGACAGCTTTCTCCAACTTTATATTCTGCTTTTGGATTTTTTTGGTGCTTCTCAGTAATCTGCTGTGGTTGTAGTTCAAGGGATGCCTTGATGGACTGAATCTGTAATATGAATTCTTATGTTTGTGTTGTACAATGAGAATTTGAACTGTTCACTCTTATTATGACTTTTTTATTATTTTTAGGTGCATGTAAGAATTTGCAAGACTTAAATCTCTCTGAATGCCAGGGATTAAATGTAAGTACTTCAGACCTTTCTCATGAACTCTAATTTCTAATGAGAAGGAAGATTTCTAAAGAGCTGTTTATTTGGACACACATATCTTCCTGATAGAAAGTAGAGAGTTGTGTTCTCAAGTACTTTGGAAATGGAATTCAGTAGGATTCAGAGATACTCAGTGAAGTTCTCATTTATTTTCTACAGTTCTAATACAAATTGATATATTCAATCTCAATTAATTTTAATAAACATGCTCCAAAACTTTACCAGTCTGGGGTGGTTTTTTTTTGTGTTTTAAGTTTGGAGTTGGCAACAACTATACATTTCAATCCTATATTGTTTTCGGGTTCCTTTATTCCTTCGCTCAGTAATACACATAGGCTCTAAAAAATTCTCACTATATTTTTAGATATTTGTGAGAGCCTTTATTTGAAAGGTGTCTAAGTATGCAATCACCATCATCACTATATAGTTGTCTGTTCTTTTTCCTTTAGCATTTTCAGTTTTATTGCACTTCCATTAATTTTCTTTAATGTTTTTCAATTACCTTTCTCTGATGGAAAAATGATGTTTGACTCTGATATACAATATTATAATTACAGTGTAATATTCAGAGGTTGTATGCTTCTCAATGATTGTTTTGATCCTTGATTCTGTTGCTCCTGAAAGAAGACAATAAGTTAAAGTGGGCCAGGGCTTTGTAAAGACTCAAACACTTTCATAACTGTCTATTCTGTTTGTTTTTTAACATGCTTGCTTATATACATTTGATATGTACCAGCAAGCACATCCCTAGGTGGTGTCAGGGCCTGGTTCATGGGATAGTAGGGACTTGCTGATTGCATTCTTGCCAATACAGCCTAGTATGCAGTTGGTCACCTTTCTTGAAAGGACACACAGTTGACATACACTGAAATTATTACTGACCAGCACTTTCAGGTCAGTGTGTTTGATAGCTGCTTTCTGACCAGTGTCTAGACTACTGATGCACAGGGTTATTCTAACCCAGATGCAGGACTTCTGCATTTGCCTTTGTTGAACTTCATGAGGCTTCCATTAGCCCATTTTTCCAGACTAAATCTCTCTGAATAGCAGTTTTAGTCTCCAGTGTATTGACGCTTCCCCCAGATTGGAATAATTTGTGAATTTGCTGAGAATATACTCGTTTCCTATCATCCAAAACATTTATAAAGACATTTAATAGTATTGGCCCCCATATTGACCCTTGAGGGATGCCAGTTGCCACAAGCCACCAATGGGACTCTAGCACCACTGGTGACAACCCTTAGGCCTGGCAATCCAGACAAATTTCACTCACCTTGAAGTCCACTGATCCAACCTTTATTTAATTTGCTGAATTCAAGACACAACAGCTGCATTTTTCTCCATAGATCCAGTAATTTCATCATAGAAAACTATCACATTAGTGAGGAATGCTTTGCCCTTTGTAAATCCTTGCTGGCTCTTCACTATTACTTTTTCATCCTCCTTGGACAGGGCTTCAAGGAGGATTTGATACATAACCTTCCTAAGGACTTAGGTGAGGCTGACTGGCCTGTAATTTCCTGGATCCTCCTTCTTCTATTTCCTGTAAATTGGTGTGTCATTTCCTATCTTCCAGTCACAAGGAATCTTGTCTGTTCGTTATGACCTTTCAAAAACAAGCAAGGCCTCTCAGTGACAGGAGCCAGCTCAGTACTCTGATGCATCCTTTCTCATCCCATTTCCTCAAGTGCTCCCTGACATTACCTTCTTCTATCATAGTATTGCTTCACTTCCACAGATAATGCTAGTAGGCTCCTGCAGGGCAGCCTTAGTAATAAAAACTGAAGCAAAAAAAGTCAGTACCTTGGCCTTGAAGATCAACAAGCTGTCCTGGACCCTTTTGCCTTCCAGGGTTGTCTACCATGAGATCCTGTTAAGCAGATCCCTAAACAAGCTAAAATATGCTTGTTCTACAATTTGTCCAATTTTCTACTCTCAGGATTTTAAAGTTCTCATTTTCATGGTTGCAGTAACCAAAACCACTCTATTTCTTCACATCCCTGAACAGATATTCCTTGTTGTGAAGCAAGCCCAGAAGAACATGTTCCCTAGACTACTTGTCAGTCACCTAGATCAAGAGATTGTCTTCAACACACTCTAAAAGTCTCCTGGATTGTTTGTGCCTAACAGTATTGTTCTTCCAGCAGATAATCAGAGTGGTTAAAGTCTCTCATGAGTAACCAGGATAGGCAGTTGTAAGGTTTCCTTTAGCTGCTCAAAGGTTTCATCTACTTTCTTTTCTTGGTCAAACAGTCTGTAAATAGATACCTACCACAATGTAATCCTCATAGGTCTAACCTCTAATCCTTACAAATTAGATGTCAACTGACTTGACACCCTCCAATGCAATGCTCCATGGCATAGATTGCAACCTGTCTTCACCTTCTTGGGCTGTCATTCCTAAATATTCCATAACACTAATTGCAGCCCTCCAGTTATGTGTACTACACCTTGCATTGCTGGAATCCCAATAGAAGCATTGCTCTGCACCTGTGCATTCTTACTGTCTGATTCCCATGTTACAAGTGTTTGTGTTCAGACACTTCATATGGTCCCCTGGTTGTGCTGCTTTCACATGGAATGGAGAGTTTTCCCCATTGTGCCATTCACTAAATACTTTCTCACCATTTATGACTTGTTCTCTTCAGGTTATGGTTATCTTCCATACCTATTTTTACTGGTGTCACCTCTCTCAAATCCTTTGTTTTAGGAATATATTTCAAAAGCACAAACTCTTCCTTGAAGCTGATTGGTATTGAATTTCCAGCTATCTTGGTGATCCTTTAGTAGAAAGATGACCACGACATGGCAAGAGATACACACTCAACTATAACATTTTTGTGTATAAGTGCTGACCTTTTGCCTTTCTATTATGTTGACTTTTATTGTGAAACACTCTTCATACTAGGAGATTTGTTCCCATTATGGATTGGAATAGAATGGAATGATATATAGAACAATATAGGTAGTACCAATTTTGCAGGTCAATAAAAATTGGAAGCCTTGTAATTAATCAAATCTAATATTCCACCTAGAGGGTAGAACTAAACAGAAGGCTTTTTGTAAAAGATACTACTGGTCAGAGAAGTGTACCAGAGTTCATGGAGAAAATTAACCAGTGGTTTTAGATACCAGGATTAGCTAACAAGAATCTTGTTTCAGCAAAACATATAAATGTGCTAACCTTCAATCATGTGAAAAGTCCCCTGTGTTCTGTAGGACTGTGTAGTTCATCATGTCTCCTTGAACTGGAATGTTAAAATTACCACACTTCCGTTGAGTAACAGTAGCATCATGTGTCTCTCAGTCTTCTACTTTGAAGCTTCCAAAGAAAATGGCTGTGGTAGTCATCATAAATCATCATAAGATTCTTATGATGATTTAAAGATACTTACTCGTGTTTTTTCCCCTTGTTACTCAGCATAAAAATGTAAGATAACAATACAAATATAATTTCGATGTAATTCTTGATTTTTTATTTTTAATTATTATTCAGGATGAATCGATGAGAGTCATATCAGAAGGCTGCAGATCTCTTCTCTATTTAAATCTGTCCTGTACAGATATTACAAATGGAACGCTACGACTATTGCCGAGGTAAAAGTAAACAGAAATATGGAAGTGTGTTTGTTGTAATCTTGCAGGAAACTTAGACGCATATTGTAGTAGAAATACTCTTTTTGAGTGATTTACAGGATTCTGTTTGCTATTCAAAATGAAAAAAGTGCCGCATACATTTGACTTAGATAGCACTTCTTTTTCTTTGGTATATTTAAAAATACCCTCTATATTTCCTAGAGGTTTATAGAAACTTTCAAAAGAATGTGCTAGCCAATATTTTCCTGGGCATGTCCAGTTCTTGTGGTGATGCAAGAAGTTTGCAAGTTAGGTATGTTCTTAGAAATTTATTTCTGCAAGAGAGGATTGTGGGTAGGTGTATTGTGTGAGCCAAGGTCTTGTGCGACAACTGCAAAACAAAGAGTTAGTCCAAGCTCTTATTTGGAAGATCAGTGAGCTGAAGGTGACGAATGTACATTCTTACAGAGGTCTGCCGTTACTGTTTTAGGTGTATCCCTCCACGAGTCTTGAAGTCTGCCTGATAGGTAGAATTGCTGCATTAAAAGCTGCCATAAAGGAAAAGAGGTGTGCTGGCCCATGGTAGCAGCATCACAAAGACATACATAGGTTTGAAGATAGCTGTACATTGTTTCTCTTTACTGTAAGGAAAACTGATGTCTTCCTTTCAAAGCACACCCACAAAGTCCAGAAATATGTTTTTCTTTGCCATCTGTATGGTACATTTTGACCTTCATTTTACTTAGTCTATATATCCTCATGTTACTAACATTTGTTTTGGCAAAGTTTTCCTTTTAATGTGTCCAATCTTGCCATTAATTTTTTCATCAATATTATTCTTATCATAATCTGTGCTTTATCTGTGTTGGTTGGTATTTTGTCTTTTTAAATTTCCTTATATTTATGTTGAAGTTTGGAACAGCTGTTCTATAGGTAGTATCAGCCTATGTTATTCTGGGTACCTGAACATGCTGTTGCCACCAAAAGTCAGACCCATTCATTTCTGCTGATGTGTAAATAGCTTGTACCCAAGGAAAGAATTCTCTGGGGTAGACAAAGCTTTCAATGCAATAAAATTTTTGAAACAAAAAAAAAATTCTCCACTGAAAAAATATATTTTGCAGTTAACTTGTACCTCTCTAATAAAACGTTTTCCCGGTCACACATGATGCTTCTGATTTAAGCCCATAAGATACCAGTGTTTTTATTAATTTTTGGACAAAAAAGCAAAGCTTATTGTTTCTGAGATGGGGATGTACAAAAAGTTGATGCCCTGTGAAAATGTTGATAGCAGACAAATTTCATGAACATTTCATATGCCATCTCAAGAGCATTATCTCTCCACAAGTCCTGTGTTATAAGGTAACTATGGAAAGTTCTTAAAGGTGGCAGTATTGCATCTCATAATACTGCACATGAAGTTTGCTATTGTATATCAGATGTCCATTACTGGAACAAGGAACAAGGAAGTGTTGGCTGAATGTGCTCAAAACTGTTTGGTCATTTTTGATTCTCTCCTAGTGTTCCATACAACCATTTTAACCTCTGTATTACACAAGATCGTCAGCTGCAATTTCCCTCTGACGAGTTCTCTTGCATATGGTAGACATGAATATTGTCTATCAGGAATAAAAATCAGGAAGTGATTTTGTCAGGTTGCTTTAAAACAATGATCCTGATATTGCTAATGCCAAAATTGAAAAACCATTATGACAGAACTCCTGCAGAATGTAATTGTAACACAAAACAGGGATGTGATCCCAGTCTTCAAAGTGCAGTAAGAAAGGCTTCCCTGTGTCTTAAGTTGGGCAACCTTGTAACAACATATACTTTAAAAAGACTCAGAGCTAGCAGAGTGTAAAACCCAGTCTCTTAATTTATTGTTTATTTTATCAGATAATTTTGGAAGTGTACTATCTCTGAGTTCCACTCATTTGTGTGGAATATGTCACTAACATGTAAAAAGGTTTATGCTTCTCGAAGAAGAGTATTTTTATTCCTGTATTTAATATGAATTAAATGTTTCCATTAAAAAAATCCCACATCACAAACACATTCCTTTATATTCTAATATCTGGTTCTGATGCATGTTCATTTTTCTTTTCTGTCTTGTGCTCAGTTCAAGTTAGCACGTTTCCCTACCCTATACTGAAAGTATAAACTGAGTTCCAAAAATGTATGACACTCCTTAAGCAGTCAGCTCCCCAGTGGGTGTTCCCATTTTTCTTCAAAATGCCTTCTTTTGCTGACTTGCAGAACTGTATGACTATATCCCTACAACTAAATGTCTACCAGAGCAGCAGGTCCTAATTCTAGGTTTTGATTTTCGGTATGCTTTCATTTGTGGTGCTCGTGGCAACTGTTATTTACTTCAGTTAGAAATGTAGTTCATGAAAGTGAATAGTTTTCAGTATGTCATAAACCAAAGTTGCAGACGGAAACTTAAGTATATTCAGACTATAGATTCTTGCTTTTACAGAAAGCTGTTGATTAACATTTTCCACTTATACAGTTTATTTTCTTTTAACTAGCATTTAGTACAAAGAAATGTTTTCCAAAAGAACTAGTTAAAACCTAACATTGGGTGATTTTCTTTTGGATAATTCCCTTTTGTACCTCTTTCAATTCATTGTGTTCTTTTAATAGTACTCTTCTAAATAATTATATGACTTGAGAAGCTGTAATTGTACTTTTATGTTTTTAGTGCCCTTTGATAGAGTTCTGGTTTTCATTTCCAGCAGGCACTGCTTGCAAAATCAATGGCAAAGACAGTCTAGCAAACTTACACCGAAAAGTCTGTTACTTTCAAAGTATGCACACAAAAATCCCATTTTACAAAGTATGCTTTTGCAGTTATTTGATATAACTTTAAAATGATACTGTTTTCAGATGATGAAATATGTTGTATGATAGTACTATTCTCCAGTAATTTGCAATACAGCAGAGGGAAAAGTGCAGCAGAAGAAAGGGACTTTCAAACTTCAGATAATCCTATTTCATATCAAATATCTTTACAGTAGTTTTCAGAATACTTTAACAGTTTTATGTTGTTTCTGCAAGATATCGCTGTAATAATTTGCTCTCTGTTTGCTTTTGTTGGTTGTTTTTTTTTTCATTTGCAAACCAGCTTCCCCAATTTACAGCATCTGAGTTTAGCTCACTGCAGAAAATTCACAGACAAAGGTTTACTGTACCTGAGCACTGGAAAAGGCTGTCACAAGCTCATCTATTTGGATCTTTCAGGTTGCATTCAGGTTTGTAGATCACATCTTTCTTTCATTCTGTGAAGAAGAGTATCCTTTATATGACTGGCTGCATCCTGCATTCATGGTATACTGAAGCAGAACAAGCCCTGCAGCAGACTTCCAGGGTTTTGAATTACATGACTACAGCTGTTTAAGTTTTACTGAGGAATAATAGCACTATAGGTTTGGCTCACTTCCAACAAACTGTCAGATCTATAAACAGCTAGTACTTACTGCATAATGAGAACAAGGCTTGCTTTTTGTAGCCATAAATAGACCAATTTTATGCCATTAGTTAGAATTTTAAATCAGGAGCTTTGAAAGCGCAGGTTTTACTAAGATCTGAAAAAAATAAAAGCCACTCTGCGCTGGAAAAATATGAATTTACATTTGATTTCCTGAGAAGATAAATAATTAAAAAGTGAACTTTGGTAACTGTTTTATACTGGTTTAGTACATTGATTTAAGTAGAATTTATAACAGCAATCTAAAAATAGTTAATGTTTTGGACTATTTTTGTCTCCAACTAAATTTTTAAAGAAAACCAAGGTTTTACAATCTGGTATGATTTTAGAAGCTTTCAAACATACACTGTATCTTGAAAAATACTACAAAAGCAATATGAAATGCCAAACTGTAAGGCAATACAAGTCTGCCACGTTTTTAATAAAGACTCCCACATATATTTCTTTCTCCAAATCACAAAACACATGTGAAATGATAAAGATGATATGTAGTCCGAAGAATACAACAGGTTAACAACGGGTTAACTTTCCATCTAACAAAACCTTTTGAGAACCAACGATGAAAGCAGATAGGGCAACGGGCTTGTTCTGACTGCTCTTCACTGTGAGTGTTTCTTGTTCTTGAGAATCATGCTGACACTATTGTGTGGTGACAGCACGAAATTTGAAATGAGGGCTGAGGTTAGAGGACAGGTAAGATCTACCTACCTCTGAGTTTCTTTTTCAAAATGCCAGTAGCTGGTTAGTTTTTCCAAAAGCAACATTCCTGCTTGTTCAGAAGAGCAATCATGAGCTGTGAGGATCTGCCTCTAGAAAGCATGATCTAATAGAAGTCAGAGAAAAATGATAATCATTGAACTAAGAAAACCACAATCCTCCCCTTTCCAGAGGAAAGTGGGTTTTCTCGCCAATGTGTTTGAGAGCTCTGAGAGGAATTCCATGGCTTCCTCCATTTTGGGTTTCCCCACAACTCTGGAACAGGTCTTAATGACTATGACCGAGCACTTGAATAAACAGTTAAAACCAAAAAGAGCATCAAATTGCATCACTATTGCAGAAAGCACTTAAATAAGATAGAATTCTCTTTTTTTTCTCTTCTTCATTGGATGAACTAAGCCAAAGGGAACTTCTGTAAGGCTAATGTTTCAAGTTAGAAAAATGTAGTGAAGCTATAGTATAAACATTTAAATTATGCTTAAAAGTGTACTATAGGACAGAATATGTATTATTCCCATTACTTCATGTTTCCTTTTTTATTATTCCCTTCATTTTAACATCACAGGGTTTTATTACATGGGTTCTACTATTACCATTATTACAACTGTGGGATTTGAACAGCTGTTTTGCAAGCCCACCTGTAAAACAGGTGATTATGCTGATGATTCTACGAGTGGCAACATGGGTGCCAGGGCATTTAAACAGCTTGTTAAAACATAGGCAGAAAATTGGGCATTAAGCACACATTTTCTAGTCTGTTGTCATAAAACAAGGCAGTTTTTCCTTTGTTATATTAATACATGGTAATAAAAATGGATGAATTGTAGGCATGTTGTTTTTGCATAAAATTTCAGTAATTGAGGTTGTGTTGTTATGGCATGAGTGGTAACTATTTTCATTAATGAGTTTCAAGGTATTTTCATGAAAATACTGAGATTCTCTTGTGTCCTGCTTAAAAGGTGTCCTGTTACACCACTGATATTGTCAGAGAATTACCTAGAAAGCACGAGTTTTCTTTGTCCTGCTTCTGAAGCTGAACGGTGTAAGTGGAGAATTTTCTGCTATTAGACAAAAAAAATGAAAAGGCAGAAGGTTATAAAGCAATTGCATGCCATTTACTGACATTTTAGATTGTAATTATGTAACTAGAACAGTTCAGTGCGGGATATTTTCAGTTAAATAGGAACACGGAGATTTTGAAAGAAATCTTCGTGTTGCCAACATTTATGGCTGGTTTTCAGGCTGGAACTATTCTGGCCCCAAATTTATTTGAACAATTGCTGTCATCTACAACAGCTGGGTAAGAGATCACAAGCCATTGGGAATAGTAAACTTGACCCTTTCATTTCTTGATATCCTTCAGTGTTTGTGGGTACGACAGAGAAGCTATTGGGAAACATGTAGGCTTCACCAGTATTCACGATCTGAGTTCCTCCTGCTCTGGTTTCATTAGGGGAAATCTCATTTTGGCAGCTACTGGCAAATTCTGACTTCTTTAGATGTATCAAGCATCACAAAGGAATCATAGAATGCCAGGTTGGAAGGGACCTCAAAGATCATCTGGTTCAACCTCTCTGGGCAAAGCATGACCTAGACTAGATGTCCCAGCATCCTGTCCAGCTGCATCTTGAAAGTGTCCAACCTTAGGGAATCCACCACTTCCCTGGGGAGATTATTCCAATGGCTGATTGTTCTCACTGGGAAAAATTTTCCTCTTGTGTCCAGTCAAATCTCCCCTGGAGTAACTTGTCCCCATTACTCCTGGCTTTTTCCATGTGACTCCTCATTTAAAAGGGAATCTCCATCATCTTCGTTGCAACCCTTTCAATGCTAGAACATGGGGATAAGATCTCTGAGCCTTCTTTTCTCCAGGCTGAGCAAACCCACCTCTCTCAACCTTTCCTCATACAGCAGGCTTCCCAGTCCTTGGATCATCTTTGTGGCTTGTCTGGACCCTCTCCAGCCTGTCCACATCTTTTTTGCATAGAGGGGACCAAAACTGAACACAGTATTCCAGGTGTGGCGTGACAAGCACTGAGTGGGATAGTGACTTTATCTCTGCTGGTGTTGTCCTTGTTGATGCAACCCAGCATCCTGTTGGCTTTCTTAAAGAGGGGCCATCACTTGGAGAGAAAATGTGAGCCATGTTCTTTATTTATTGAAGGAGAGGACTGATTGTTTACATTTCCTGAGTACAAACTTGTATAACTGAAGAACACTTTAAGTCGCACGTGCAGTATTCTATATTTTTAGAAATATGCTAATTCAGGAGTATGTTAACATAATCCTTTTTGGTTTTGGACAGTGGAAAATTAGAAGGAAAATAACACGTGGAGGCAAACCATCAGTGTAATGGAGCCAAACATCTGAAAGGATGTCATGATTTGTTTTATCATTCTTGACAAACGCAGAACAGAAAAATAAGATTGCTCCTTGTGCACCACAAGAACACTTCCTCAATTCTGAACTTTCTATTTCAAGTCTCTGCACTCACAGTGCATTGACAGTACTAGAATCATAGAATAGTGTTTCTTCAAAATCTCTTCGGTGCTTCACGTAGCACTCTGCCTTCCAGGGTAGATTCCACAAATACAATCAGTTCAAAGAGAGAAAAATAAAGAATTTTAAAGCAGTACTGTGCATGTGGCAAATAATTCAAAACCTGAATAAAAACTCTGTGTGTTCCCATTCTTTGGAATTAAGAAACTATAAAAAAAGAAATTATATTATTTTTGACATTCTTAGAAGCATTTCATCATTTGACAACATTTATTGTCTAAAACTGTAGGTACAAATCATCAGCTCTAGTTTGCTCCTACAAAACAAGCTTTTGTTGTTTTGATGTACTTTCATTTCAGAACTAGTATACTAGCAGTATGCTAGCGTACAGTTAAGAAAAAACCCCAAATCAGTCATTTACCTATTAGACTGAAAACTCATCACAGACAAAGAATGATATTTTATATATGATCATTGCATTGACTTCTGATTCTGTTAAATAATACATTTATAAAATAATCTTACTGAGTCATGAAGGAAAAGTCTGTTTTGCAGAACTTTATAGGATCAAAGCCTCATAATAACCTTCAAAACATCCTGCCTCATGATTGATTTGAAGAAGGAGATTTAAGTGGGATTTTACCTAATGCAGTATTAAATTAAATTCCATATGTATCCTAACATTGATTCTTGGGTCAAGTTGTTCAGTCTTGAGGCTATCTATTGAATGCTGAAAGTCCAAGTAAGTTGAGAAAGCATTTGTTTACTAAAATGTGCAAAAAATGTGGTATTTATTCACCTTATCTTCAATAATGACGGAAATTTCATAGATAATCCATAGGGGCTTTAGAAAAGAAATTCAGGATTAAGATTTTGTTGTTTTAGGAATAAAGCAAAATAAGACAAATAAACATATGATATTGCAGCAGCATCTAAATATTGACTAATTGAATTGAATCATATCTGAATGCACGTTTTGCACTGAAACTCTCTCAACCTGATGTCTGAAATCCATTTTCCAGCTTTAAGTTAAAAAACAGTTCAAGTGAAAAAATAGTCTGAAACAATCTGTGCAGGGGTATTATTAGTTGCTTCAGTATAATTGGTTTTGGCTTGCACGGAGGAAAACACTGAATTGCTGCTATTTGTGGTATCAGATGGCTATGTTAAGCAAACAGTGTTTTTCCAGACAAAGAGATTAAAAGTCCTGCAGACTGCAGTAACGTTGTGCAACCATTACTGAATTCCAGAAACAGATATTCTACTTCTGTCAAGTAGAAATGTTGTTGAGTTTGATCTGATTACCTGCTACCTACCATCTATCCTTTTGAGAATGGGTATTTCACTTAATTTTAGGCCTCTAACATAAGGTAGTACCTAGAAACTTACTTTAGTTTATCTCTATAATAATTAGAGAGGGAGAGAGGTCCCCAGAGGTGATCAGACTTTTTCAGGTCTGACCTGCCTTGGGGTCTTTTTTGCTCTTTGCTATACAGAGATCCCAGGTTTCATAATTGTCTAAAATAGACACCTCAGTTACATTCCTAATCTCAGTGGAGTAAGCAGTCTGTTTTTGCAGTCTGTTTTTGCAATAGCATCAGTATTATTAGCACCTTCTTGATTCAGCATTTTCCCCTGATTTTAAAGTCCTCAAAACTGTGGTTCCTCTTCTATAATTATATATATGTAATATGTATGTAAAAAATATAAATAAAATGTATTAACAGAACAAGCTGTTGATTCTGCATTTAGGTTTTTTCAGTGACACTTCTAAAATCTTGGCCAAAACAACAAGTAATGTAATTTAACCAAGATCCATCATTTTATCATATTTGCATTTGAATTTTTTGGTACCTAGACATGAGGTATCTTACCTCTGTATCATAACTGTGATCACCAAATTAGATGGGTACTCTTAACAGTGTGCTCATGGTAAAAAAAAATAAATCCCAAGAGCAGCTCTCAGCAGGCTCTGCTAAGCCTCATGCTTTCCTTCGATTAGCAGTCATAGGAGTAAGTTGCAGTTGGTTACAATTTGAACTGGGTCTTACAAAATTTCTTCAGTTTGAACAAGCTCAATATTGCATGAGTGACTGTTCTTTAGGATCAGTTACTCTTTTTCTTAGTAGCAAAGCTGTTCAGCAGTTACAAAGGGGAATACTACTGTCACAGCAGCTAAAGCATACTCGAACTGCTTAACAAACTGTGGCTGATTTTTGAGCAGAGTGAAAACCTCAGTCTTCTTTTGAAAAGGCATCATGTTGAGATTAAAATGAACAGTGTTATTACCATGCATTACAACAAAGTGTGTGATGTAACGTACCCTCTCTTCTCTTGGGAATGGTTTACTCTCTGTAGTATACAGAACAAGAACAAGACTCAGTTACCAGAAATTCACCTCTTGAACTCTAGGGAGTGATTTGTTTCACTTTAACATATTAAACTACTTGGTGCATGTTGTAGAAACATGCTGTCTTCTGTCGCTGCACTGCTTGAAAGCCAACGAGGAGGCCTGTTGCAGGGTTAGACAAACTCTTATTTGAACAAATTAGTCATGCCATGTTAAAGCAATTAGTGCTTCTTGACCGGCAGAGGATGTCCAGTACCTCCCTCTGGCAACTGCTTGCATGATGTTCACAGTTTAAGCTAATCCCTGCTGTACATACTGGAGGTTTTGGCCTGAGAAAACTTCAGTTACTTAACATTGTCCTATGTTACATATGCCAATAGGGAGTACAAAACTGTAGAATTTGGACAACTGAATTTCATATTCTGTCATGAGAATTAGGACCCATCTTTCCATGCCAGTGTTTTATCTTCTGGCGATCACTACCAGTTGAAAAGAGGATTGCCTTTGACATAGCAGTCCTACACTAACACTGGTTGGTCTGCAATCATTTGAGGTGGGCAAATTCAACATATCCATGCTGATAGGTGAGATCTGTGTTACCCACATCAACCACATTCCCAAAGTTATGGTGTCGTTTTGTGCAGCAGACATCTCAGTTGGAGGGGGTGTTAGACACTGGGGTGCACCAACAGGCTCTACATGCTCTGACCTCCTTGTGATTACACGATGGTTACCTTTCTGTGTAATCCTTTCCTGCAACCTTCCCTCCTGCCTCCCAAGATTTTGCTCTTTTTCCTTCAGCTCCTTGTTAAAATATAGCTGTTTTCAGAGGAGCCTGATCCAGGGTTACACAGCTCTACCTTATCAGACCTGACCTTGAACATAGGCAGCTGACAGAGTGTAGTTGATGGGTTTTACATCATCATGTAAAATTACCTGTAAAATACTCTTTATAGCTATTTTGATGGAAGGGTTTTCTCTCTGTCATTTTGCAGTCTGTTACAGACCCACTGTATGTAAAACAGTTATGCTACACTTATCCTGAGCTTAAAAGACGTTGGATTGTGTCTTATTTGCATCCACAATGCTAACGGTGCCAGTGTGTGTCATGAGCAACACCATGTTCTGCCTATCTGGACATGGGACCTGCACGAACACTTCAAGCCTCAGAACACATTTGACAGACATGTAGCCAGTTCCCTCCAGTGCTGACACTCCCTGGCACAAAGGAAAAAGTGCAAAGAGTGCCACAATCCCTTATGAAGGAAGGCCAAGACACGCAACAAAAAATATTTCAAGCAATTTATAAAGAAAGGCCACCCCAACCTGAAAATAAAAAAACATCTGAATTTAACATGCATTTTACCATGGATCTAGAAAAAAACAGTGAAGATATTTTACTACATTCCAGCCTTGCTTCAAACCTGATTTGAGCATCTGCCATTTTCCCTTATAAAGTTGGGAAAACAAATGTAGAAGGATGTGACAATGACATTCATTGCCACTCCCATAAATGGTGTTGACTGTAGGCTTGCTAAGACATAACTCTTTCGTTTCTTAGATTTCAGTTGACGGCTTCAGAAATATAGCCAGCGGCTGCACTGGGATTCAGAATTTGCTGATCAACCAAATGCCAACTCTTACAGACAGATGTATTCAAGTAAGAAACTGAAAATAAATCTGTACTTTGAACAACTTTGTGGTGCTGCAGCTGGGTTATCCTCTCAACTGACTTTACAGAAAGTTATGCAGATACAATTTAAGAGGAAATTTTTTTTTAATCTGGTACCAAAATGTATTTATCTTGCTCACTTGCAATCACTTTCAGAATATTACAGTTATCTTCTTTTGCTACTTAGGTATGGCTGAATTATATATGAGAGTTTATAAATGAGAGTTTTCCAGCTTTTTCATCATTAAAGCAAATGCAATATATGGCAACAGCATCCTGCTACTGATTTTGCCCATCAAAAAAGAATTTTCAGGCTTCTGCAAAAGTGATTGTTAACTGGATCACTGTCTAAGGTGTCTGCCATACTTCATGTCTCCAGTTACTTAACTTCTTTTCCTTGTGTTCCCAAACCTAATAAATATATGGAGAATTTCAATAATTTATATACTGCTGAATTTACTGTTAAAATGGATTGTAACTATTTGTTTGAAATTGTAACATTTGGTATTATATGTGGAATATTTGCTCATCTTTTGTTACACGACAGCGTAGGTATATGAATATTTTATTTCACCTTTTTCTCTTCAAAGGCTGTGGTTGAAAAATGCCAACAGATAACATCTGTTGTCTTTCTTGACTCTCCACATCTTTCTGATACAACTTTTAAAGCCCTTGCTGAATGTGAACTGGTCAAGGTCAGCATTGAAGGTTAGTATAATCCTCACAATTAGTAAGATAATGTATTTCTAAAATTCATCCAGATAATTTGAAATACATTTTTCAGTGAGTATTTGAATGAGGCCATTAATGTATGTCAGATACATAACTAACTTTCATCTTCATATATTTCAACAGGGAATAACCGAATTACTGATTTAAGTTTCAAGTTAATGAGTAAATGCTGCCCATACATCAGGCACATTCATATGGCTGACTGCCAGAGGATTACAGATGCTGGTCTCAAGATGATTTCACCACTGAAGCATATTCTTGTACTGAATGTAGCAGACTGCATAAGGTACTGTATCACACCTAGATTTCTGCAAACGACTGCAAAGGAATTTTAGTAAAGTTAATTATGCTCATAATAAATCCTGTTAACACATCTTTCAGTTTAAAAAATAAAGTATTAGAGTATTAATTCCTGTTATCTTAATATGAAAAAAAAAATCTACAGGTAGTTCTTTTTCCTGTATTATGATTTCAAAAACGCATTCATTACTCCAGGTCAAGCAAAAAATTTACTGTAGACATAACGTTATTTAATAGCCACATCATATTTTAGTGCTGGAATGTGGCTATGAAGATGAAAATTATAATGAAAGACAATTCCAATGCCACAACTCTATTAAAATTTAGATATTGTTTAATTTTGTGACTATCAAAATGATACTTGATAAAGTACTAAGATACAAACAAAACTGCCAATTTTTTACAATTACCAAGACAACATTGTAAATTGTGTTGTAGAGGAAGGATGTATTTTATGTGAAGACTTCCACTTCAGTTCTGTCATGTACCAGTAGAAGGAAAGATAAATGATAGGGCAGCTGCATGCTTGTTCCTGGTCTGTGGCATAATGATGGAGTCATGGGTGGGAAGAAACAGAGCAGGCAAAACCTCCAAACATTTCAAAATCAACAGACCTATAACATAATGCAAAGAAGCAGAATCGCTGCTTGTCTTAAATTTCTGCTGCATGTGGAGTTTTAGATTCTGCTCTAATGTGTCACTGAAGTACTTTTTGTGCCTGTTGGTGCTGTGCCTGCATAAAAATCTGATACCATTGCATGTAGATGCACTGAGAAGTGCTGGAGTAATACCATGACATCATGGTGGTTGTTCAGCTGGGCAGATGGGACAGCTGCCTGTATTTTCTGGTTTAGCATTTAGAAGGGTGGATTTTCCAGCCTGTTAGCCAAATCTTAGGCTGTGAGTGTGTTTGCACATGTGTCTACTGTCTCTACTGCTAAAGAATTCCTGAATTACCTTAACAAAACGTTTTATGTAGTTGTAAAGCTATTGTAAAACTCTGTATTCCTATTATGCCTTTTGCAGACGTTTATGAAAGTTTCAGCATTCACAAAACTATAGACTGTAACACATCTAAACTTGTGTGGTGTGCCAGATGCTCACCAAAGCCACTCTATCACTCCCCTTCTCAACAGGGTAGAGAAAATACAACAAAAGGCTCATGGGTCGAGATAAGGGCAGGGAGAGATCACTCACTAGTTACTGTCATGGGCAAAACAGATGTGACTTGTGAAAATTAATTTATCACCAATCAAATCAGAGTAGGATAATGAGAAATAAAAACTAAATCTTAAAATGCCTTCCTCCCACCCCTCCCTTCTTCCTGGGCTCAATTTTATTCCTAAATTCTCTATCTTCTCCCCACCAGCAGTGCAGAGGAACAGGGAATGGGGGTTGTAGTCACTTCATCACACATTGTCTCTGTCCCTCCTTCTTCCTCAGGGGAGGACTCCTCTTCCTCTGCTCCAGCATGGGGTCCCTCCCACAGGAGGCAATTCTCCATGGACTTCTCCAACGCAAGGCTTTCCTATGGGCTGCAGTTCTTCACAAACTTGTCCAGAATGGGTCCCTTTCACTGGATAAATTTAGCATGTGTATTCACATCACAGTTATTTAGAAAGTTATAATGTGGCTATTTCAGCCCTCAAGCCCAGCATGGTTCCAGAATATCTTTCTTTTTTTTGGTTTTTTTTTTCTTTAACATATAATTGACTGTATTGCCAGGCTCTGCATTCCTTAGGGACTTTATCCAAATTAACTATTCTGGAGTTATATTTCTTAAGTTTATCCCAAACAAAAACCAACTGCACTGTGAGATAACGCCAAAACTACCACAGTGGTTGAATAATACAGTGATTAACACTTTACGAATTATAGCTTCATCTGTAGCTTGTTGTCACACAGTGAGGCTCTGTTCAGGTTATCATTTTATTAGGAGTGCTATTCTTTACCCATATGTTTCTGGGACTTCGTGATTTGCCGTTATTCTTTGTATTGCAACAAACTGTGCAAGCCAAAATATGATTCTGTCCTACAGAATTCTGGGATTAATTTTTTGTTCATCAGGGAACAGAGAAGAAATACCGGGAATGCATTGAGAAGCTAAGCGTACAGTAATGTTAAACATACCAGAGATATGAACTGAATTGAAACGCCCAAGTTATCATAAGCTCTCTAACCCTCTCAACTTGGCTGACAGATTGCCTACGTACTTAATTTTTATAACCTTTGTGTGTATTACAAGTTAGCTATATGCGAGTTATGCAACTGCATGTTTAACTCAGGTTAATTCTTCACTTATGTGGATGAAACAACTAATACGTGCACACTTACACTACCTATGACTTTGCTTCTGTGCTAGGGATATATTTTCCTTTAAATTAATTCAGTTCCTTAAAATAACAAAGATATTAATACAAATATTACTATGAAACAGGTTCCAAACTCTGTCTTTTGGAGTGCTGTCATATCTGAGTGTTGGAAATAATGGAAGTTCTCATAATCTCATATTTGAGATATTTTTTCGTATCTCAAATACACTTCTTTTTCAGTAAGTTCTGGTTTTCAGCAGTTCCAAAGAGCAATTAATCAGGCCATTAATTATTCTGACTCTTTTGGGGGTTCAAAAGGCTGTTTAAAGAATACTGTTATTAAGTTCTGCTTCTCTGCATTTTAGGTTGCTGGATGCAGCTTGTATATCCACTTACACGAAGTAGAAAAAAATGTATGTTACAAATATTGTCTACATTTCTCTTTTAGCATCAGTGATGAAGGTGTAGTGCCGTTTGTACAAGGTTCTTCAGGAGCTAAGCTAAGAGAGCTGAATTTGAGTAATTGTATTCATGTCACTGATGCTTCTGTCACAGAAATAGCACAAAGGTAACATGGTCCAGTACAATATTTTTCTAGTGCAATAGCATTGCAGTACATTTCTAATATTCCTAATATTCAGTATATTTCTAATGTTTCTAAAGTTCTTAGTATGTTAATAAATGGATAAAATTATACAGCCAATTGTATATAAAAAATTGTACTAGATAAATGATTAATCCATTTTGGCATCTCTTAAAAAAGATCCATTATATAAAGGGGAATTCATCAATATAAATATGGAAACCTAATAAGACTTAATTTGGGGGGGGGGGGGAAGTGCTTAAATGATGTTTAACAATGACACAACTGCATTAAAACATTAGTATGTATATGTTGTATTTTGTAAATTCAAAAAATACTGATGTCTGCAAAAACAAAAAGCTCTCTGTTGCTGTACCTCTTCAATTCCAGTTCCTCAGAAAGAGCATTGGTATTGGCAATCAAAAGATCATTTTTAAATCTCTAGAGAAGACTGGAGTCAGTCACTTCACTCCTTTCTAGATCTCTCAGTAGGCCCCATTTATGTTTTCATTACAGTACTTGTGAATAATCATAGCATGTTTGCTGGTTAGGCAGGGAATGTGTTCTCTGTTTTAATGATGGATTGTTACCTCTAAGACTCTGATATAGTACTTGAGGAGTCACATATCTTTAAGTCTTCAGGTTTGGTTATGGGAAGATACAGTTTATGGTGCTCACATACACAGTAAAATTCAGTTTTCCATCTACAGTTAGTGAGTGCTGATTTGCAGAACCTGGCAATGTTTTTCCTTGCTGCGTACCATTATTTACATGGCTGTAGCAGGGTATGGGTACAGCCATGGGGTCCTGTATTATGTTGTTGGATTGAGCTTGTAAGTTCCTTTGCTAGATATTAGAGAATTGGAGATGGGGGGAAATAAAACTAATTTTTAAAGTATTTTTATGAAATACAGCTCCTTGATTTCCATATTTTGATTTAATTCTGTTGCTGTTCATCGTATCATAGAATCATAGAATCGTTAGGGTTGGAAAGGACCTTAAGATCATCAAGTTCCAACCCCCCTGCCATGGGCAGGGACACCTCACACTAAACCATTTCATCCAAGGCTTCATCCAACCTGGCCTTGTTTGAAACATTTGTGCATTAAGAGTGGAGTTCTTGGAAGTGCCTATAAAAGGTATAAAAACTTGAGAGTGTTATTTTCATAGATCCCCTGAAAAAAACTTAGCAAGGGTTATTACAAAAATGAACTTGCTATGCTACATTGCTGTAATAAAAGCAGAAAGCTGACACTTGTTTTTCTTTATTTTAGATGTCATGAATTGACCTACCTAAATCTGTGCCACTGTGAAAATGTGACTGATGCTGGAATTGAAGCCTTGGGAAATATGTTGTCATTGATATCCCTTGATATCTCTGGAACCAGAATCTCAGATACGGTATATGTATGATTAAAGAATGAGAAATGTGTTTACTGTTTATCTAAGCTTCCTGAAAAAACAAAGAAGCAATATAAACCCATTTAAAAACCTGCCTGGCTATGAAACAGTGCCGTTAAAAAGTATTTTAGAAACATGTACAGTACAGTATTAGCGCAGGTGTAGGCAGTAACAAATAAAAGGTATTTCTTAAGTCAGACAATTTGGACATTTGAAAGAGAGAAACAGAAATTGCCAGAAAGTTTGGCTGCTATGAAGCTAATCTGAAAAGAATGTTTATTAAGCAGGTATAGTTTTGCTCCAGGAGGATTGGGCCTGAGAAAAACTAGGGAAAAAAACTATTTTTAACATTTAAATTGTGTTTTCCATTAACTAGATTTTATGGTGCAAACTCAGGCATGTTAGCTCTAGCTGAGGCACTGCTGTACACTGCGGTCTAGAAAATAATTGCTAGTGAAGGAACTACTAACAAGGTATCTTCAATGTGTCAAGTTGAAAACACTCTGGAAAGCAAAACAGTGAGTGTGGGAGCCAGGTTAAACGTCACAGACCTCCACATTAGATGTTCTTGTCAGGTCCTGGCTTGTGTGCAGGGTTCAGAGACAGTTCTGCTCTTTCCTCTACTTCTGGATCAAACACTTCACTGAACACAGAAACGCAGGAGAAATCTCATGGAGAAAAGTTCCCATAGGGGCTATTTGCTCAGCCACAATTCAACCAGATTTCTGACCAAGAACTTTATTATTTGTCTCCAATAGAGAGTTTGTGCTCTGTGCAAAAGTAATTAAAATGCCTGAATCTTTTAGAGAGGCCTGAAAATAAAAACCAAAATTAAGCTCAACAAAGAGGGTTGGGAAATTCAAGATCAGAAAAATCATATCTGAATGAAATTTGTGCTGCCTTGAATTTCCATGTTTCAATGTAAATGTTTTCTTTCTCCTTGCCTGCCACAACTAGTCTTTTAAAGTGCTGTCTTGCTTCTTACTCTAGTTTTCACATAGCACAACTCATGACCTCGGCAATAAGCCAAGCTCTTTTGCTTATACTGCATTTCTGAGGCTTTCAGTTTTCTCTCTCCCACAAGACAGATAAATTAAGCCAGAAACTGTCCATTTATCCATTTGTGTGATTTCTGTTCCGATTGCCAGTACTAGCTACAACACTGTTATGGACTTTGCTGTTTGCTGTGTTTGGGTATAAAACATTCATGCATATATAATAAATACATTTTCTAATCTTAAACCATTAATTTGATAAAAGGAAATCTAGAAGTCTGCTTTGTAAGAAGCTGCGATTTGTATGCTTTGACTTTATATTATGCATTTTATTAGCATACAAAGTTGTATTAAGATTTCTTTCAATTTAGACTTAGTAAGTATTGCTTTAAAAATGTAGCACAATGTTTTATGTGCAGTAATCAGCACCATTACTCTGTGCTGATGAAGTATGATAAGGCTCATACACTTTCCTGCAGCCTGTGCAGCAGATCTCTGTTGCTTTTGCTGTCTTGCTATATAGTGTGAAAAATGTAGAATGTACAACATAGATTTGCACTACAAGAGAGAATTTTCCTTTCTGTTTTATTTTCAAATGACAGCAAAATCATTCTGCCCATCAAAGCAGAGCAGAATTTACTACAATAAGTTATGACAGACTTAATCAAAATGGGTTTTTCCACTGTTGGTGCCTTCCTCTTCTGTAGTTGAGGCATCATTTGGTGCCAAATGTGAAATGTTTGTGAAAGTGAATGTTCCCGTTGCAACCTTGTCTTTCATTCAGGAAATTTGTTGCATTTGGAAGAAATCCATTAACTCTTAAAATTGTCCCTGACAAGAGAGCCTTGTTAATATGAAATAAATAAATAAATACCCTGTAGACTCACAGTAATTAAAAACTGCAGTGCTGATAAGAAATACATCAAAGGTATCTCTCATGCTTGGTGAAGTTTTTTATTCTTGTCCTCAGTTTACTCCTCAACAAAAAGACTGGAAATTGAATAAAAATAATCGTTGCATATATTCACATTTTGGTATGGTGTAGAAAGTTATGCATTTTACACAGAAAGAATATGTCTAGGCAAACTTCTAATCACAAGCTAGAATAAGACACGTAATTCGTCATGTTTAAGTTGTATGTGTGTTTAAGTGTCTTGCTGGATAAGTCAAAGACCATTCATTAACAAAACCCAGTATCATTCAATGAAGAGGATGTCAGCTACATGCATGGGAGATACCAGTAGCATAGTGAAGAAGTTACTGCTCTGTTCTCATTAGGACTTTGACTACATTGCTCTTACTTTCATAAAATATATAGCATTAAATAAAAGACCCCACAACTGCATTCTAACCATTAATTTATTCACTCAGTTCCTCCAGCATTCATTCTTTTACATTTCAGAAAATATTTCCCTCTTTAGTAAAAATTGATTTTTTAAAAAAACAAATAACACATTTTCAAGTCTGAATAACTTTTTTTTTAATAGTGGGGATGACATTGGTTCTGGTTTTATCATTCCGGAAGTACTAGAGATCACTTTCTTAACGTTATAAACAACTTAAAAGACACTTGGAAACGAAAAGATTTGCAGCCTAGTGACAGCTTTGAAAAAATCCACAATGACTGAGCAAAGCTGTCAAGTTCTTTGAAAGAACTCCCTTTAAATTCTTTGAGCAAATTCCCTTGTTTTCTAGCTAGTCTGCCACCCCTCATTGTTTCCCCTTGCATTTTGCTCTTCTAAACTCCTTGGAATATAGACCACAGTGTTTTAAATTGTGAGTATGGTGAACATGTTCATGAATGCACAGATAATGCCACAAGTTATTTTAGACATCATTCTGAACTTATTTACAATATATACAAGGAGTTTAAGCTTCCATTGAGGAGCTGGAAACATCATTAGCGTTTAGAACCAAAACCTGTTTATCTTTCCTGTAAAAGCAGCCTCTGCAGAAATGCTTCCATGAGTTTCCCATGCTTCCATAAGCTTTATTCTCATACTGTCCATATTTTTGTTAAAACACTTTGAACTCTTTCTGATGTCTATATGATGCAGCTTTGGCAGCTTTGCTCCAAGGATGAGAGTCTGGAAGTGTGCAGCTGCCTGGTTTTCCTCATTCCAACACAAGCTGCTGGTGCACATAGCCTGGACCACCCATCTTCTTGGGACATTAAAAAGAAAAATAACCATAGAAGTGTCAGGACATTTGAAGAAAGTGCCTTAAATCAAACAGGATTTAGACAAAAAAGTGTAGCAAAGAATAATAGAAGGAATTGTTAAAGAGACTTAGTTAACTCCTGAGTTATGTAGAGTATCGATTAGCAAAAAACTGTAGATGCCCTGACACAGACTCAGGGAAGCTTAATACCACTGATGAATTGTATACAGTGTAATAATGAGAGATAAAAATAGCCTAAAACCTAAAAAATAGGTAGAATACTTAAACATGTGAAGAACCTCGATACACTTCTGAAATAAAAAGATAAAAGAAAATATGAAGTATATAGAGAAATATTCTTTGCTTTTACATTTTCTTCTGCAATGACTGGCATACATGGAAGTTCTCTTCTGATAATCTAAGGCCCAATTCTCACTTCTGGTTGAAAATGCCTCCTCAAGAATTATTTGTGGCACCAAGTCAGCTAATCAGGCACAGGTTTTTTGTGTGCTGTGTGTGTAGTTACTCTTTAAAGTAAAGTGCTCTTTAAACTGGGGATAATTTCTCATTAGGAACTCTGGAGTAGTGCTTATATAGCTGTATAAACAGCTCAACTTTCTTTTCTTATGTGTTTGTACTTAATGATCTTCAGGTCCTGGCTGGTCCTGAAGGTGTAGATTCAACATAAATATTTACTAATATCTTAATAATAAAAAACCCAAACTAAAAGTGACATTTTGGATTTCCACAGTTATCTAGAATAATTTCTTTGCACTCTTTGTGGGATTCTGAGTCAACAGTGACTTGATCCATAGCCTGTATTCACATTTTGGTCTACTAGAAAATTAGGCCAAGACTGAGGAAGAGTGTTGTGAAGGTTAAGAAAATAATATTATCAGGTCTAGCAGATATAACTAGCAACAGACTGCAAATGAATTAGTTGCATTTGATTTCCAAAGGAAAAGACGTGACAAGTCACACACATTCCCATGGCAGGGAAAAGGAAATGCTGACGTATGTTAAAGTGGGCTTCAAGTTCAGATGTTAGCACTCCAGTTGGCTTGGGAGGATAGAGAAAGAGATAATTTAGCTTAGAGACTTAGAAACTTAATTCTGCATAAGGACAGGAAATACTAACACAGAAGATTTTTACAATCAATGCCAGATATGCAAACGCCTTGCGTTCCAATGCAAATGAGTAGGAATTAAAGGTACTTATCAATGATGAAAATTGGTCTCAATGTTTTTATAGGACATTTTGTTACAAGGGATGCCCTGTTGTCTGGAGTTAGTGTCAAGAAACATTGGCATCTGTATCCCAGAAGTTATGATCTGGTCCAACTGCAAATGGTGTTAGGTACAGAAAGTCATTTTTATAGCATGCATTATACACAAAGTCATCTAGGGGGATTTCTGCATTGCAATACAAAAATGTTTCTACAGTTCCTGTAAACAGATCTGACCCACCCTTATCTTAGCTCAGGTATTGGAAACAGTATGGCTACATTTGCCTAAGGGCTTAACCATTTTCCAGAAGGTTTTCACTATCTGAAGCTGAGCTGAACTTCATTCTGCCACATATGTATTGTTATGTATTGATACTGTATGATAGGAATTACAATCTTCTCTTGTGTTTGATCCATGAAACAGGTGTCTGACTGAGGCTAATCTGTGCAGAAATCTGAACATTTTAGAGGATAAGCTGAATTATTTAATATTAAATGGCTCAGAAATGGAAGGTAGGAGTTGCCTCTGAAGAGCTGTCTTCCAAGATTGGAGTCACTTTGAGTTCAACCTATTGGAGTATGAACAGGAAGTAGCATCTGTGTATCTTTGGAACATAAGGATACATTACAGATGCTGACCTTTAAGGTTGTAAACATGTGAACAAAAGACTCAGAAGCTGAAAATAGTGTAGCACATGGTTATTGTTAGCCAGAGTTGGTACATTCTTTGCAGTCTGCACTTGAAAGGCAGGGACTTTCAGCTTGTGAATATAAATGACAAAGAGTTGTTCTTTGGTATGCCATAGCCACAGATGACTCTAGCAAGTGAAGACCCTCACCACCTGGTACAGTTGATACTTATTTTCTCATCTACAAAAGCCATGGTGGAATAATAATAAGTGATGTCCTGCAATTATTTGTAGGCTTAATGCAATGAAGTAAATGAAACAGAACAAAAATGTAAAAATTGCTTGAAAAAAAAAAAGCTCTTTTGAGGAATAAGAAGTTTATTTTAAAGTTGTTTTCTAAATGGAAATGGTAGTATACATTCTAAAAGATGAAAGACAAAAAAGTCTTCTCTTTCTCCATGGCAACAGAGATTGATCCAAGATACGCACAGTTATTTCTGTATGTTAAATGGGAAATATGTTTTTGGAGACACATAGAGTGGGTGATTCTAATCTGTATGTCACGCAGTATTTGTTTTGCTAGCATCTATTTCCAGGAGTTCCAATGACAATACGATAACTCTGACCATATCTTTCAAAAATGTCTGGAGGCTTAGTATGGAAAATAAAAGTCTACAGAAGGAGGTCAGAATCCTGGATGGGGATACTGATATTATTTATCAGGGAATACTACTGTATAACTCAGGAAGTCTGATAAAACTAGTGATGATTGTCTGCTTTGTATATATGCTAAATAAAAAAAAAATAGTTAAAAATGTCATATAGATTAGACTTCCAGTGTAGGGCTTGTTTGAAGAGGATTATTCTTGGAAATACAAGAGTTTCATGATTTTTCTATAGGCAGTTCCTAATGACATTCCTTGTCTTCCTTCTCTTTTCCCCTCCTCAAATCTGGAATTATTAATGAAATGCCTCAAAGGAGACCTTGATTTTCATTGAAAAAGAAAAAATAGTTGTTCTGTGAATCGGTGTCACTCCAGTCATATAAAATGATTATAAATTAATTCATAGCAGCATTAGTTGTCACAAATCTTTATAATATTCTTTAGTGTTTCATTAACAACTGCATTAATGTGGTGCCACTTTTAAACAAAGAAAAATGCAAGAAGAAATTATGTCTATAAGGTCACACCTATCACTATCAGTCTCTGCTGTAAGAAATTCAAGTTCTGACATAAACCCATTTGGGGTTTAAATACATAACTGGCTTTTTGTCTTGCTCTGGTCAACAAGAAATTGTCAGCTGTAGATTTTCATGGAGCTGTTGAAAGTTACGCTCCCTACGTAACTGCATCTGCGGAGGAAAATGCAAATGTCTTTGTTTTCAGAAGTAGCCAGGGTTGCAAATCTCTTTCATTGTTCCATTTTGGTTTTATCCAGCCTGGGAGATTTCAGGAATTTGCAAAATTTGAACTCCAGCCGCACTCTTCCAGCATTATCATTGCAGTCCACATCTGGATTCCAGACACTAGTTAGATGAGCTTATTTTTTCAAGATGATATTTCCCCTCTGTGCAGTGCTGTTCACTGCCTAATTGTAGATAACTTTTTAGCCATATGGGCTAAAGTGATAACTTTGTTTTTCAGTAAAGTTTATTTTATTGGTATGAAGCACAGAGATGTTCTGCTTGTGACTATCAAAATACATTCTACAAAATCAGCATTTCATTCTCAGATTAGAGAGTTTAGGATCAGAACATGGTCCTGTTTCCTGGTGTGCAAGCTGTAAAAATCATGAAGCATCTTCAGAGCCTTTTGCACTGCTAAAATAGGAATTTACCAATGTTTTCACCTCCCTGTTGTCTACAATTTGGGGGTTGTTTGTGCACCTGTGGGTGTGATTGCACCATTTCAAACATTGTCTTGTACCACAGCTGTAGCCATGAAGACCTGACTGTTAAGCAGATCATAAAGGCAGCAATTTTAAGATTTTATAATAGCAAATAGTGTTTTGTTCTTCCAACAAGAAAAAAATGCAAAAAAGTTCTTTCAATCCCAAATTTTGAAAGAGATCTGTAATTGTGTTTTCCTTTATGAGAGTCCTGGTCTGTGTCCTGTGGGAGTATTTCACACCCGGCTACTTTTCTTCAGTTTCTGTCTTTCTGAACAGGGAGGAAAACCTAATTTTTGCCTTTTCGATTGAATTATTTCTCCAAAGAATTCTAAACCCCTGTACATACTTCAAGCAAAAATAGGAAGTTAAACTATAAGCATTCTGCTGAGGACAATGTCTTAAAAGGTGCTGTAATTCTTAGAAGCTTTAATATACAGGCACCATATATTATTGACCATCTTGACATAATTACATATAATTTGCATGTATTGATTTTTAAGATTATCTGGATTTTTTTAGGGTTTGAGGACTCTTGGCTACCAAGGAAAAATAAAGGAACTTTCTATATCAGAATGCAAAAACATCAGTGATACTGGGATTCAGGTAAAACTTCACCTCTTCTCTTGGTGGTTCCTGGGAGCCTCTCTATTTCTTATAATTAACCGTGTTCAAAACTGATCTTATTTCATCATTCGTTCTTCATTACACTGTTCTACACTCTTGCTCTACTTCAATTTGTTTCTGTATTTTCCTCATTTCTTCCATGAACTTTAATGCATCTTGAATCCCACTTGACTCTGAAATTCACTCTACAAGAGCCTAAATTTCTGATGAATTGTACTGTGCAAACTGCAGTCTAAGTTGCTGGTGCAATTATTTCCTTCTTGCTCTACAAATCCTTCACCAATGTCTATCTATCTAAACCAAACTTTTCCCATCACTGGTTTTCAGGTTTTGCTTTCTGCTTCTTTAGTTACTGATTTGTTGAATGCCATATTTAGATGATGCAGCATGCCTCGCTCAATGGAATAGTTGAATTACTTTTAGTCTTGAATCTGGGGGTTGATCATGAACCCATGAGTGTGACTGCACCATTTCAAATGTTAGTTCCTCATGTGCTGCTGATACATTGCTACACACCATTATCTCTTAGTGACACAAAAATATGTCTCAATTTGCCTCTAACCGCATATTTCTTACTAGCATAAATGGCATGATTACTGTTATAAAAAAACCCCAAAATATATTTCAATAAGAAATGCATGTACATCTTCTCTAGATTGGATAGATGTCTTAGCTGTTTTATGGGAAAAATAACACAAATTGCACTGTGCCCTTATTTGAATAAAACCTTTACAGAAGCATCAAATGAGTAATTTAGTCAAATCTAACCAAATTAATATCAAACTAATCTGCTATAAAATGGACTCCATGTCTTTGAAACTACTCGTTTGAAATACTGACTTCTTATTCTAAAAACCTCATCACTGTCACAGCAAGACTTTGATTGAATCTCACTAAACTTCTTTTTTTCTGTTATTTTTCTTTTTAAAATTACATGCAGTGGGTTTGAAATGTAAATATTGGATCTGTGCAATATAAACCCAGATACTGTTCTTAAAATAGAAAGATTAGATTAAACCATGCATTTTTATAGTGTTCTGCTCTCATATTTAGCCTATGAGCTTAGAAATAATTTTTATAAAGTAACCACACAGGAAATTAATTAATTTGTATAAAGGCAACTTTCAGATGGAAGTTGCCACAAAATCAGTTATTTACGTGGATGATAACTTAAAAAGTTACACAGTGAGAAAATGCTCTCTCTTTTGCATAATCAGCAGCTATCACAGAGCTGTTAGTACTAATACAAAATTTGAATTTCATTTTACAATGTTTATGGGGTTTTTAATATTTCTGCTTACTGACTCTCGCTTTTGTTTAATGAGTGTCAACTCATTTAATGAGGCTTGCCCTCCAAACACCTAGATGATGTACACTATCATAGCAGCAGTAACTACACTTAGATGACATACTATCATAGCAGCAGTAACTACATGCTAAATTCTTATTTATTAGTACTTATTCTCTTGTTTTGGTAAAATGAGTTATTTGGTGTTACTGTAATTCTTTTTCTGGGTAAAGCATTGCACTCACACTGGAGAAGATGCAGAGAGGGTAATAGGGATGATCAGAGGCATGGTACAATCTCCATAAAAGGAACAGATAAGTAAGCAAGGAAGCTGCTGTCTGGGAGGGGGGTGGTTGAGGGAATACGCTGTGATCTCTTCAATCACATGGCATGAAAAGGGTGGAAAGGGGTCAGTGTTTGCTGTTTACTTCATACGTAATTTAGTGGACGTGTAATGAACCTAGTTTGAATATTCATAATGAAGAAAAGTATGGTTTCTAAAATGTATACTTAAACTGTGAAATTCCTTATCCTTATCACAGGTTGTTTGAATTTTACCTAAATCCTTATGGAGATTTGACAAACTCAATATAATTGCATAGATTTACCGCTGTGTTTCAGAAGAATATAAGAAATAAACACTAGTCAGTAACTTTGCAGTAGAAAAAAGAACCATCCATCTCTTTAGGAGGGAGAGAGGATTCACATCCAAATAAGAGCACTTTTTTCTGTAACTGAGAATTGTTCCTAGTCATATGTAACAAAAATGCTGAAGTCATGATTTTTTGATTGTATGAATTTCATGCCCATAAACAGTTGCAGATCATGAGGCTACGGGTACAGGCAATGCCATCACATAATCCCAGTCTTCAGCTTCTACATTTTTTCCATTATAAAGCTGCAACATTCATAATTTTATCACCATATATATAAGAATGAGTCAGTTGTTGCTGTACCACAAGGGATGCATCTGGATTGAATCTTGTTACTCAACATACACGTCAGGCCATTAGGATTTGCTTCTTTAGGAATAATTCTGACTTGCCTTCCGTGAATGTTCTGTGTAAAAAAGTTCCATGTTTTTAACCAGAACAATGACCAAGTATGTATATCTTATGTACCTCATGGAAAGTCGTGTAGTGCCAGTGCTAATGCTTTTAGAGGAGAATAATCACTTCTGCGTTGTGCTGTGCTTATGGATAAGAAGCTATTTCACTTGTCTTACCGTATAAAGTAAGTTCAAAACAAAGACTATGGAAAAAGGAGTGTTTATTCTTTCCTGGTCTGACATATAAATTTAAACTTTTTGAGGAAGAAAGCAGCAGCAGGGTGTACATGCAGAAGTTACAGAAGCCATATTGTCATGGATCTAGGGAGGGCAGGAGAAAGAGGAGGTATGAAGTAACTCAAAACAAAATGGCAAGTCCTTTTTTGTAAGTTGAATCTATAAATAACCTCTCATATGTTATGAGGTTATGGAAATTTGTAGAGACTAACCCCATTGTATGCTGCATGACTTGGTTCTACTTTGATTATATAAAGAATATTTAAATTATGTGAAAAGAAAATGCATATTAAGAGAGGTTTTCTAACACTGTGAAGGTAAGTTGCTGGAAAGTTATAAAATAGCTAAGTAATATAACTGAAAACTATATAAACAGAAATAACGTGGACTGTACAGTGTTAATTCTTTTATTCGTCCCCAGCCATTATTACAGTATGTAAATGCTTATGTGGTCACATATTTTGTAAATAGAATCTTTGCTTATTCATAACTCAGGTAATGCTCACGTAATGAGCAGCAATTCAGCATTTCATGTTTCCTTTGATGTTTGTGTGTGTCTTCAGACCTTATTTACACAGAATTACAATTGTGTAAATAAGGTAGAAAATGATGTTGTTTCCTTCATATGGTATTTGATTCTTTGTAGTTTGAATGTTTTGCAAACATTGTTTATCTTCCCAACCTCTGCCATTGTTTTCTTTATAGACAGAGGATACAGAGATGAAGAAAGCAAACAAAGCTCTGTTCCCTTTGATTGCAAATATAATTTTAGTGCTCTTTGCAAAATAATGTTGGGGTAGACTAAAAGTTAAGAGCAAATTCAGAATGTAACTTCGAAGGGTATTAAAAATATTTCTGTAGGCAAACTATGCCAGTAAAAACAAGATAAACGTATCACACAGGCACTGAAATCTTGGCTTCAGCTTGTGTTACATACCCTAGCTGAGAATGTTGTGATTAAGCCATCACATCTGAGGTCTAATTCTGAAGGGAGTGCAGTTGCTTTTACACATGAATAAAACCAGTTCGGTTACTGAGATTAGAATGTTTCTCTATTACAGGTAACAAACAGCCTGTAGAGCGAAGTTTGAAGTAGGAAAGGTACAGAAGCCAATTAATACAAATTCTGAATTGTCCACTGACAATTCTGAATTCTGGTCTATGAACCAAATTTCTGACTTAATAAAAGGCTTTGCATCTGTTTGGGTAAGATTCATGAAAATCACACAGAATCATGTAGTTTTTGATCATAACTACGCTAAAATTTTCCAGTGATCAACCATACGTTAGTGTCAGAGTTCCTCCTGTTAGAGGCAATAACCTACAGGACTTTCTTCAGAATGATAGATATGTAATATTTGTGCATGATAGATATGTGGATTTGTGTGTCTCCATGTGCATGCACGTGTGCTATTTCTCCTTGTGGTCTTTTGTCTGTTTCCTTCAGGACTAATTCTGGAACGTTTTGAAAAGGTTCATGCAACAGTGTTTGGTTTTTATTCACTCTACTACACAAGTATTTCCTTCTTTGCCTACAGAGGTAGAATTTCCATTCCAGTAAATGACAAATTACACTGGCCTTAGGCCAAGATAAGCAGGCCTGGAAGATCAGCTCAGTGGCAAATTTAAGGCGTTTTACCATGGTTTTAGGGTGGAAAAGACAGAAGATGGACATCACAGGAGATATTCTCAGGGAAGATAAAGCTTTGTTTGAGCTGCAGAATGTTCTGTGGTGTTCACATCACGGCACTGTTAGATGACAAAATATGATTTTAGGTTGCTTGGTTCTTGAGTTAACAATTCTGCAGGCTCTTGAAGAGAAGGTTTGCACAAACACAAACTAGGGTGCACCTTCTTCTTCTGTAGGCCTAAGTGGATGTTTCCAGCTTTGAAAAAGATTCAGGCCAAAAGGCAAAGAAAGTTGCAGAGCGCAAAAGGAGAAAAGTGCATTTTATGAATCTATGTGGCCTTTCATAGAAGTTTAATTACAAACAATAAATGTGCATAGTATGCCAAAGTTATAACTACTCATGTTTCATGAAAAGCAAAGTTTTAGGTGGGATTCTCTGATGCTATTTAAAATATATACTTTAATGTGCATTTTGCAAAAAAATTTTATTCATACGATCACCTGCAAGGGTGCAAGTATCAAACATAAGATGAAAAACACATGAACACATTGAGTTGGTTAAATTGTCCCTTTGGTCTTTTTAGTTGGCCTTGTAAGGGCAAACAAAGTATTTATGTAAAAGTTTAAAACCTCATGTAGAAGCTGGAATATCTTAATAGCAGTTGTAGTAAGAATAACACTACCTTGCACCTATTTATCACTTGCCATCTGCAGGTCACCAAAATGTTTTGGAAACAGCTCTTGCAATTTCATAATCCCCACTAAATTTTACAAGCTCAGAAATCTCACTGAATGCTTTTCTCTGTTATTTCCCAAGATAGAGTCATAGAATACTTAAGGTTGGAAAGGACCTTAAGAGCATCTAGTTCCAACCCCCCTGCCACGGGCAGGGACACCTCACACTAAACCATGTCACCCAAGGCTCTGTCCAACCTGGCTTTGAACACCGCCAGGGATGGAGCATTCACAGCTTCCCTGGGCAACCCATTCCAGTGGCTCACCATCCTCACAGTAAAGAGCTTATTCCTTATATCCAATCTAAACTTCCCCTGTTCAAGTTTGAACCCGTTACCCCTTGTCCTGTCACTACAGTCCCTAATGAAGAGTCCCTCTCCAGGATCCCTATAGGCCCCCTTCAGATACTGGAAGGCTGCTATGAGGTCTCCACGCAGCCTTCTCTTCTCCAGGCTGAACAGCCCCAACTTTCTCAGCCTATCTTCATACGGGAGGTGCTCCAGTCCCCTGATCATTCTTGTGGCCCTTCTCTGGACTTGTTCCAACAGTTCCATGTCCTTTTTATGTTGAGGACACCAGAACTGCACACAATACTCCAGGTGAGGTCTCACAAGAGCAGAGTAGAGGGGCAGGATCACCTCCTTCGACCTGCTGGTCACGCTCCTTTTGATGCAGCCCAGGATACAGTTGGCTTTCTGGGCTGCAAGCGCACACTGACGGCTCATGTTCATTTTCTCATCAACCAACACCCCCAAGTCCTTCTCCACAGGGCTGCTCTGAATCTCTTCACTGCCCAATCTGTAGTTGTGTCTGGGATTGCTCCTACCCAGGTGTAGGACCCTGCATTTGGCACGGTTAAACTGAGCTGGAATTTAAGTCAGTAGGATCTGCAGGTGATCATTCACCCTGAAAATGAGGATAGAAATAGTAGTCCACAGGTATCGCAGCAGGAATTGCAGGGCATTTCAGACACAGCTAACTAGCCTGAATTCCACAGAGTGAATCAGAACCCAGAATTCCCGAGTGATAGTCCTGTGATCCTTACCCATTGCTTTCTAAGAAAAGAATGTCATTTATACAGATACAGATGTTTGTTCATTTAAAACAAAACAAAGCAATCAAAAAACCCTAAAAACCAAAAACAACACCCCCCCAAAAAAAAAATTCAACAAAAAAAGCGAGAAAAGTTAATATACAAAAATATGGGTATTTTCAGAGTAGAAAAAAAATGTATTTGGGGTTAGTCCTTTAGGCACACATCTTTATGTTGTGGGTTGTATTCAATCCAAAGAATACAAATTCAACATACTTTAATATATACAGTGGAACTTACATGAATGTTAGTCTAATGAACACACAGTATAATATATAGGCAATGGAAAACAGCTTCTCAATGCATCTCTTCTTTTTCTAGTGACAGTCACAGCCAACAGCTGAATGTCATCACTACTAAATAATGTCATCACTACTAGAAAACTGAAATGCCTGGAGTGGATCAAAGGATTGATGTAAATGCATTGTAAATTAAGAAAAAAACGACTAGGCACATCACCTAAGAATGATCGATTGGTTTGTCCCTCTTTCAGGAGTTCTGCAAGGGCGCAAAATACCTGGAGCACTTCCATGTCTCCTGCTGCTCTCAGCTGACAGATGAAGCTGTGAAGGCATTGGCATTTCACTGCCAGAGACTAACATCAGTCAACCTAGCGGGTTGCCCAAAGGTATGGGTAAGAAATGGGGCACTGGTTCTGGGATTGCTATTGCAAAGAAGTACTTAGTGTTTCCTTCAGAAATGTGACCTGCTGGCATCTGTGTCTTTGTCACAATTCTACACTATACTCAACTCATTTATAAGTCAGAGCTTAAGTTCAGCTGATTTTCCATAAATTTGAAGTTCTGAGGCTTGGCTCATGAGAGTGTTTGGCGTTCTTCTAATGGTTGCAGTTACATAAAGGTGTCTGTGCTGTATCAGATAAAAGTTTGTCTCTCCAGGGGCTGACATCTAGGGAAGGGTGGAGAGAGAAGTGTTTTAGTGACACTTCCTGCAAATACTCTCTCAGCTTCTGGTGGTTTGGGTGCTTCTGAAGTGTGGTGTCTTTGTTTTAATAACTCTCGGTATTTTTGCTCTTTCTGAACCCAGGTACAGCATAAACTGGGACATGAGAACTCCGTAACTATGGCTTTATGGAATCATTAGAATAGTTTGGTTTGGAAGGGACCTTCAAAGGTTATCTGCTTCAACTCCCCTGCAATGTGCAGGGACGTCTTCAACTGCATCAGGTGCACAGAACCACATCCAGCCTGGCCTTGAATATTTCCAGGGATGGTGCATTCACCACCTCTCTGAGCAATCTGTGCCAGTATTTTACCACCCTTGTAAAGAATTTGGCAGGGCAGTGGCTACCTTGAATGTAGTAATAGTGCCTAAAAAATTGATGCACTCAGATGTAAATCCATGTTTAATTATTTTGAAAATTCTAAGCCTAAGAAATTAAGTCCTTTGGAAAATAAAGTGATGAGGTAGTTGGGTAACTTATACCTATGGAGAAGAGTCTTCCCCAGGCTCAGGCTGCTTTTTTTTACAGTCAGTGGAGAGAAGCGTTCCTACAGTCAGGAAACCTTTCCTCAGTGCTTTGAGAAGCCCTGTCTCTCTGGTGACTACTAGAAGGATACTCAGAATAATAGTCATCCCAGGGATATATTAATATTCCCTTCGTATCCAAGTTAATGTGACAATTTTGCTAGTGGTCCCCAGTGTGCTTTGGTGAGTCTGATGTACTGTATTGTGTTTAGGAGGTATTTATTACCAATAAACTGATGGGCAGTTGCAGCCATTTTCAAGTAACTAACATCTCTCCAGGACAGCTGCTCAAATATTTTCATTCAGAATGTCCAGATATCCAACCCCCACACACAATTGTTTCCAGACATTACTTTATTTAGATTAAGATTAATCCATACTGAAAGAGTTCCTCTTTACCATGAGCTTATCCTGCAGCATTTTTGTTTCCTAGTTTTTTATATCATTTCTCTTTTATTAAAGTCTCACATCTCAGTGATCATTTTCCTGTATCAGAATGTGTGTTCCTTTTTTAAATTAATGCTGTTATAAAGGCCTAAATCTTCTTTCTTGTACTTTCTCACTTAATATGTCTGGCTTTTGTGCATCTAGTTATTTCTATGCTTTTAAGTATTTTATTTAATAGCAACAAACAAAGACTGACTGCAGTTTGGCAATAAGCTTCAAATGCAATTTTTAAAATGCTGATTTATTCTTTTTAATTTAATAGAAATACTTGTGGTGATGTTGCTTCATCACTCTCAAGTGAGCAGAACAATTTTCTTACCAGTTTTGAGAAAGTTCATTTTGAACTATTCTTTAAAATTTCACCATACTCATTGGACCATTTCCCTCTTTATCCCACTGAAGTGCCCATGTCCTATTTCCTTCCCCAATGTTTGCAGCCATCACTTGTCCCTGCTTTCCTCCTCTCCAGCACCTATCTCCATAACCCTTGACTATCCTTTCAGCCCTCTTATTCACTGCAGTGGCTGAATACAGCCACCTAGCCAAGTAGTTTGAGATGACTTGGATGGCTGCTTAGCCAGCCCGAAATTACAGAGGCTTTGATCAAGTTGTTTGCCTTCCAAAGGTTCATAAGAGTCTCAGCTTCTAGGCCAAAATCCACAGGCTGTGTTTCAGATCTGGTAGGCCAAGGAAGTTGCTCCATGTCTTACAAAAGTCCTGGGTTTGTATCTTACAGTTACCTACTGCACATCATTAATTGTTATATATATGGGTCTCAATCTCCTGTATCCTTCACTTTTAGATGGACATTAATCTGTTTTTCCATAATAACAGCAATAATAGAAATTGTGCATGAAGATCTTCCCAAGGGAATTGAAGTTAGGTAGTGCTGCAACCAGTCTTCTCTGCCATGCTTTCCACTTCACCTTATGTACTAACACAGGAAAACAAATAAAAACAAATGGCAATAAATACATTTAGGCTGGAAACCAGAAGAGTTTCTGGTTATCAGAACAGTGATTTGTAAACCAACATTCTGGGAAGGGAGACAGGGGCAAAGTATTAATGTTAGGATGGCTCTTAGCAAGGGAATGAACTGGGCCGTGTTTTGTAGTTCCTGCAAACGGGAACAAGAAGTAGACTCAGTGACTGACTGACACCAATTTGACCAACAAATCTTCTTCCAACACTTTGTTTCTAGATGGTCTTTTCTGTAAACGGTTTTAAAGCCAATCTGTTAACTGCTAATACCCTACTATTTTGAGAAAAGAACATCAAGATTCTTCATAATAAACCTACACTGGGTTTACAAGTCTTTTTCTGACTTGAATCCAGCTTGCAACTGCACAAAATGAGATGAGTACACCTGTGGATGTTAAAAGTAATGGGTCTTTAAAATCCTTTGGCAATCTCTGGTGTAAATTGAGGGGATCCAGCTGCTAAGAAGGGAAATATTTTCCACTCAGAGACTGTTTAAAATGGTCAAGAGTTTAAAGTAAGAATGAACCTGTTCCAAAGGATAAATGTCAGTATGTCTGACACTCACATCCTACGGCACCAGCTACATTATATTAAAAAAAAAGAATTGCAAACAAACATCATAGCAACAGAACATGGAAAAAAAAACAATATAGAAATCCATGCCCATTAAGAACGTGTTGGCATGTGCTGTGCAGGTTACTCTAAAATTAGAAGAGCTTACTACTTTAGTCATATCTACTGGAGCAAATTCATTGTCTTTGTACAAGCTCCATTGGCTTTAGTGAAAGTGTGGTGAGCCTCCTGTCATGTTTCTGCATACCTAGGACAAGTGCACGGCGTTTTGCAAATGCTGATACTGTAAAATACTCAGCAGTGTGGTTCTGAGTCTTACTCAAGGAATGAGCCTGATTCAAGAGTAATTCCTATTTCACAGGAAAAAAATGAAGTTGATGTGGGAAACATATCCTATACATGAAAAAATACAACAAGAATTGAAAATAAATCTCTGCAAATAGCAAAGTTCTAAAGGCACAGTTTGATGGACAATGAGTTCTGTAATTCAGTCCTGTAAAGGCAATAGGATTGAGTGTACGATGGATGTAGATTTCTCTTAAATGGTGATCACTGACTTCAAAGTCAGCAACTTCTTTTTATTTCAATAGGAATGTTAATCTATTTGTTAATCTTACAATCTATTTATTAATCTATTGCAGGTTTTAATATTGAGCATATAGCTAAATCTGGAATAAACAAATCACAGAATTACTTATGTATTCCAGGAGGACTGCATCACAAGATAGTGTGCTAATCTTCTCTTCCACAGCCCAAGTTCTCAGCTTCACCTTGCCTCCTTGTCCGTTTAGACTCCTGTGAGATTGGCTGTTTAGTGCAAACGAAACCCTCATCTCTCTTTCCACCATTCCACTCCACCGATTTTAATCAAGTACCTTTAAAAGGTCTTTCATATGTCCCCTCTTGTTTTTTGGTTCTGAGTGAACACGGTAATTAAAGTGTGTGCATAATATATTCTTAACTGTTTCTGTTGAAGTCACTGTAGCCATTAAATAGCTTATGTACCTTGAAGACTCTGTGTCTCATGTTCTTCTCAAATACAACTTTCAGCATTAATGGCAATGAGTGTCAGTTCAGAAAAATTGAATTGTGAGGTGAAACTGAGCAGCGTCAGAGCTAAAGAAAGCCAGCTGTACCTTAAAAAGGTCTTGGTGTGAGACACTCATTAGTAACAGAGAACTGAGCTACAAAACTGATATAACTAAATTATAAGTGCAGCCTAATTCTTTAGTGAGAGCAATGTAACAGCAGGTAAGGTTTAAGTGTGCTACATACAAAGTTATGACATTGGGAAAGTTAAAACACTCAGATTAGGTAAAAAACATCCCCCAGTACTTTAGACTGTTCTGGAATCATAAGTAACTAATGCCTAATGTCTTCCTGATACCTAAATCACAGTTTCTGTAGAGCTTCTTTCAGAGAGATTGAGAATTCTGCTGTGCCAGAGACTCCATTTCATAGTTTTCCCACAAATAGGACACTGAAATTGTGCTCCTTTTTTTCTCTCTCTCAACTAGTCAATAATCTTCTAACCTCTCTGTGTCTTGTTGCTTCATTTACAGATGACTGATACCTGTATCAAATACTTGGCTGCAGCCTGCCATTATCTCCACTTCTTGGATGTCTCTGGTTGCATTCATCTTACTGACAAAGCACTGAAGTATCTTTGGAAAGGTTGTGAGCAACTCCAGGTTCTCAAGATGCTGTTCTGTAGAAATATTACCAAGTAAGAGAATATTTCCTAATCTTAAATCAGAGGTGGTTGTAAATCCAAAAACATGCGCTTTTTCCTTCACTGGTATCACAGTGCCATGCTCAATATCTAGCTTGAGCCATCTTGCTCCTTTGTTTAGGGGTGTTCACATGGCTGCCTTAGGATTCCTGTGGCCTGGTGTGGATATCTCCATATTCTAGTGTCAGACACAAGTGAAGAGAAACAGGGACCCAATCTATCTTTATGGCAATCAATGTCCTCTTAAGGAAGTTTCTGCAGACACAGGATATCACTTCAAGAGCACATGGGAACTTGAGGGAGAAAGCCAGACTGGTCCCAGTGCAAGCCATCCAATGCAAAGCCATCACACTCTGTGCTTGAGCTCACTCTGAGGACATGTGGGAGCCTGCTGCCAAGGGGCTGAATGTCAATATACAGCAGAAGCAGATGTGATCCTGGGCTCAAAATACATCATGATTACAGTGAATGAGACAAGGTATCATAAGCAGAGTTTCATGAAGTACAAGTGAAACATTCTTGTTATGTATGTACAATTGGGAAAAATAGGTCATTGACCACAACTACTTAATCCAACTTCCCTACTGGTGTAAGTGGACTGAGTCTCCTGATTCCCCATGTTATTTAAAAGCCATTCAGTTCTGGTCATATTTAGAATCATAGAATGATTTCATAGAATGTCTCAAGTCGGAAGGGACCTGTAATGATCCTCAACTCCAACTCCCTGCTCCTTGCAGGACAACCTAAAACAGAACCAGATGACTGAAAGCATCATCTAGATGCTCCTTGACAGGCTTGGTACTGTCACAGCTTCCCCTGGAGAGCCTGTTCCAGTGAAGGACCTTTCCCTCATGTCCAGTCTGAACTTCCCAGATGCAGCTTGTTCCATTTCCTTGTGTCCTATCCCTGGTCACCAGAGACAGGAGATCAGCACCCCCGCTGTCCCTCTGAGGAAGTTGTGGACACACTAACAGTTTGATGGTTATTTGCTATTGCGGCACACAGCTCATTCTGCAAAAGATATTTCAAATACATTTAATCTCCTCATAACTTTCCTCAAGAGATTTTCCTTTACCCCTGGATTACTGTTGTTCACTTGCATTTTCAATGACTTCTTATCTCTGTTTAGAGCAGTACACACTGCATCATGCCTTCCAGGCTTTGGTTGCTTGCACATCTTCCCATGGAGGTGAGATATAGTAAGAACAGAAATATGTGAGTTCCAGTTAAGTTTGTGAGCCATGTTTAAAGAGCTGGCATGGCTTCTCATAAAACTGCCTTTGCGGTGTGACCCAGGGTGATGCCTCTGCCTCAGAGTCCCACATGCAATGGGTTCTCCAAACGTCTTTATTAAACCCTTCTGACTCAGCCAAGGAATTTCCCAACCACTTATTTTTTACTGTAAAGAAAGCCCTGGAGAGTCATGGCTCTTTGCAAAACAGAACCATGAGACACACATCTCCACCCAGCGTTATCTTTGCCCTTTTTATAATATTGTGATTTTTGGAACTAGGCAAACTTTACCAGTTTTGCTTTCCTGAGCCTGACGTTCTGATACGTGACAGTGGATGGTTCTTCTCTTTGCCAGCCTCATTCTCTAATTCTTAGCACTGTATGTTTAATGATAGGAAAATCCCACCCGGTGCCATTTGAGTCTGGGACAAAAGCCATCAGGTGATTGACCATGTTGAGTAATTCAGCACTGAAGATTTTTCACTTATTCCTTCCAACAGGTCTGAAGAACCTCCCTAGACCTGGGCAGGCTGCAGAATAGACCAACCATGTCAAAATCTGAGTGGCTTTGCAATCACGTTCTATATTGTCATTACATAGAATGATATTCAGAAAACAAAAGGGCGTTCACAGCTCGATGCAGAGATATTCCACATCCTGGATGTGTCACACTTTAGAAAAATCTATTTTTTATTGTAATTCAAGGCTAATATTGCAAAGATGATAAAAAAATATCTTCTGCCAATAACTACTCAGTAAACCACAGCAGTGATTCTAAAGCTAGTCATCTTGGAGTAGCTTTTCATTGACATCAAAAGCGATGACAGTGCTGTCACTGATATGTCACAATGTAATTTTATAAGACTACATTTCATTCACAACCTGTATGCTTTTAGTAACGACAGATGGTCAGAAAAATGAACACTAGGGCCTGATTCTCTATTTCAGACCAACTCTTAAAACCTTACTCAGATTCTTAGATTTTCACAGGATGTAGAGAAATGCTGGTTTCAGATGTAATTCACGCTCTGCAGGTGCGAAACCTACAGTTCAGAGACATTTCTTTCCCAGTTTAAGGAGATGGAAGAGGACACCTATGTAGAAATCAATTTAATCTGGAGAACTAGAGCATGCTAGTGGTTTAGGTTCTCAATAAGCAATAGAAGAAATGTGGTTTTAGTTTAAAGTTGCCCTACAAAAATCTATGAATCATATATACTTCATTTTGCCAAAGGAATTCCCCACTGTTTACTATTAAATACTATCCAGTCCTAGCAGACATGCCTTAATAGACTGAGCCTTGCAAATACTGAGACATATCTCTTGCATTGTGTCACATTCAGTTTTACTGTTTCGTTAGATTGAAATAGAAAACATATGGAGCCACAAAGTTCTTTGTTTCAGCCCAATGAAGCTTCATAGGAAACAGTTACGAGTGTATAAATTGTCCATACTTTCCAGTATCAGGTAGCATTTGTGATTGTATTTGCCAATATTCCAGCCTGGTTCCAAGTTTATTAAATGTTAGAAGAATAAAAGGTCTATGGCCTGATTGCTGCATATTTCTGTATCCAGAGGCTAATGACCGTTCGATTAATCCAGTTTCTAAATGCCACAAAGATTGATGGATGAACTACCTGTGGGAGTATGTGATACTGGTGCAGATGATTTCTTCTGCTAGAGGAAAGGAAAGCTAACTGCTTCTTAAACTGTGTCTTCTGTAGGAAAAGGTTGTATCAGTTCTGATTCACTTGAGACTAATCCCACAAGGACTAACACAGTGGCATCTTTAGAAAAACGCTTCCCTGTAAAACATTCTCCTTACACTTCGGAACACAAACACCATTTGAAGTCAGCTCCAGCACTGAAAGGTGTGGAGCTCTATTAACATTTCTGGGTGCAAAATGAGAACGGGAATCTTCCATTGCCTGAGAAGCCAGGCTTGAGCTCTCACCAAACTGCAGCTCGTCCCTAACAGTTTGGTTCCACCAAAGGTCGTTCTTGGAAAGCAAAATTAATGCTTCCTTTTTCCTTGTCCTCACTAATATGAAAGCAGCTTTTTCTTTTAAACTCATGGCTATTCTGTTATCAAGTGACTCATCAACAAATACTACTGCAATTTTTCCCTTTAAAAGGGGCCGTAGTAGCTACAGTACATTTATCTTTTGGAGAACATTCTGGTATTTGTTTCATTTCATTGTCATTGTGTTTTCTGATGGTTGATGTTGGTTAAAAAGGAGATTGCAAGAGCTCTTTTTTGAATAGCAGAATTTCTTAGGTGTTATCCAAATATTCAGGTCTTAAACCAGGAAGGATATGGGAGTCCAACACACATGTAAAGGGAAATGAAGACAGCCTACACCTCATTTGGTAAAAGACTAAGAATAATTACTCTTAAGTTTCCTCTTGAAGAAGCAACAAAAATATCATAGTACTGGCTTCTCACTGACTGCAAATCGCTCTTCAGAAGGGACATGGAGGTTCCTGGAGTGCCATGTTTGAGCCATCGTGTGCACTTGAACTGGATGCCATCAAATGATAATACTCCTGCAGCCAACATAGACCTCAGAATACACCAGATTTGATGTGCTGTTATCACTTCGTGTAACCCAGAACATGCTTGCAGGATGCTTCATGCTTTTCCCATTAGCTGCCTGCCTCCACTTGCTTCTTCAGCTTTATTTCCCCTGCAGTGGCACTACAAACAGTCCTCTCATGATTAAGTTTTTATTTTCCATTACTTTTTACTCTTGATTGGGTTTTGGAATCTCATCTCAGAGAGTCCTGTTCAAACCCTCTGCTTTTTGTTATGACTGACCCAGTCAAACATTTCTGAATTTTGGAGCGGCTCAGGATGCACACCATGATGCAGAGCTGTATTTCCTACCTACCCTCTCTCAGTAAAAAGGATAAGGATCCAATAAGGATCCAGTGCTGCTCAAGCCCTGTGTTTGGGCCAGCACTTTTCTCTGACTTATACCAAGTGCTTTGCCAAAGATAACCATAATTATTTGCTAAAATGCTTTTATTCATCGATGTGCTAATTTAAGACAGTATATAAATAAATACACAGGCTCCACCATGGTACAGAGAATCTTAACTAAATGACCTATTTTGCCATTTGGTGGTGATTCATGAATGGCTGTTTCTGGCAAACTAATCAACTGTAGCTCCAGGCATGGGACAGCATAAGCTTCCAAAAGAATAGTAACAGCTCCCCTTATACATGCTTGAGCCAGCTGCCATACATTGCAGTTTCCACGGAAAACAGGAATTTGGACTTGGATGAGTTGATTTGTATTTTATAGCTTAGAGCTTATAGCTCATATAAATTGTGCACACATTCCTCAACAGCACAGGCCTCCCTAATATAAAAACAGATAGAGCCTTGTGTTGGTGTGTTCATACAGTGCGGCAGTGTTCAGATCCTGCAGGGGTTGAAAAGGAGCCCTTCTGGTGTCTCTAATTTTGTCCCTTTTCCATGCCTTCCCACTTACCCTGTCCTGCTGCGGTGGTTACGTTACAGCTGTGCCTCTTTTGTAACCATGCTCAGCATTTTTACTTTGGGAATAAAAGAGATGCTCTGTAGTAGCATTACTGGCAGCTAACAGACCGCTTCAGTTTGGGTTTTTAACTAGTATCGTGCAGACACTGTATATTACATTATTGAAGAGCATAGGAAACTGGCCAGCAGGGAGGAAGGTGGCCTTGCTGTGGTGGTGACACCAGATGAGGTTGGATCTCCTGAAGAGGGCAGGAGATGTGGAGCTGGCTCTCCCCAGTGAGCACACAAGGGCAGCTCTCTGGAATGCAGGAGCCTCCATGGGGAGGCCGGAGCTCTGTGCAGCAGGGGCAGGCTGACAGCCAAGTGCAGGACTGGTGGAAAGAAAGAGACATTCAAAAGGCTGGAAGTGCTGGGCTGAGTTTCTTCAGCTCAGGAAGGCAAGAAAGGTGCCGGGCTGATGCTGCCTACAAGCCGGGAGAGGAGGGAACTGCTCTTCAACATCTTATTAGGATGCCTCATTCAGCAGGCCCAATTTCCTCCTATTTCTGTGTCACTTTGTTCTAGCTCATTGGTTTTGTGTTCTAACACTGCAAAGGGGCAGTGGCCACAAATGCTGAGGGAGTTCAGAGCAGTCATGGGTGGTTTTGGGCATAAGCAATTCTCTTCAGGTAACAGTAAGACTCTGTAACTCTGCCCATTCTGTATCTGTTTCAGAAACAATACACTTGAGAAAGAGGGGGGTGACAGAAGATAACTACAGGTGGAGAGGTTAGTCAGAAAGAAAGCAGAAGGTGAAGCAGGAAAGGATAAAAGTACATGGAGGTGCCAGACTGTTCAAAGACAAAACCAGAGATTGGGACCTGCACAGTCACTATAACCTTCCCATACAGCGATGAAAAACCTCCCTTGAGACTGTGGTATCTTTTGATGTAACTGGTTTATTAATCTTGTGTGTATTTCTCGTGTGGCATGCAACATGTAAGGAGAGGCTGAGACTTGCTTTGCTCAATCACAGGAAGAGCGGGCTTGGGCTGGAGGAAACTGTGGTGCTGTCTGTAACTGATCAGAGGACACAGACTGTCTCAAAGATGCACCATTAGAGCAAGTGATGTATGTAAAAGTCTGATCACATACAAGGAAACTATTTTCTTTAATCAGCAGGCTGATCAAACACTTGAACAGGATCCCAGAAAGGTTGAGCAACCTTCAGTCCTAGCGACAGCCAGCAAAGCTGTGACCCACCTGGTGTAGCTGGATCCATTAAGCAATCTCCAGCAGTCCCTTCCAACCTGGTTTGTTCTGTGACTAACGCCCAAGCCATTACCTTCTCCTGTAGCTTCCACAACACCACTTACAATACTGGTAGCTTTCGTTAGAACAGGAACTTTTGCTCAGGAAACAGCTTGTGTTGGTCACTGGAGAAACAGCCTCTGCAAACCTTATTTTACTTTTGTAATTCATTCTTTTCTAACTCTTGTTGCAGACAAGCTGTCCTGAAATACACAGCCAAACTGGAGAAACAAGAACACAGTGATGCTGACCCTCCTTCCTGGCTCGGATACGACCGGGATGGCAACATACTCACCTTCACCCAAACACATGCACTGGAGCCTGAACAAATTCCTCAAACTGAAAAATGAAGAAATTGTGCAACACCTTCTCCAGTTGCAGGGTTTTCACTAGAGCACAAAAGAACACTCTATTGTTTTTATTAAAACTAATCATACTTGATAAAAGGCTGTTTATTGCAGTAGGAAGAAAGCACCACAGATCTTTTTCACAGTCTGCCTCCAAGCAAGGCAGTTGCACTGAAACAGCTTTGCTAACTTTCAGATCTCGATTTGAGCTGTCTTCATCTTCCAATAATGAGAAGCTTCTGTAGTCCCCTGCAGTGAGCAATAACTACATCTGCATGTGTTTGGGGTTCTTGTTTGCCATGAGGGTCCTCTCCAGGACATGAACACTTTGACTCCCCACAGATCACACTTGACACAGCTGGTACTCGTCAACACAGTGTTCCTGAGCAGAACAGTGCAGAGGTAGCCACTACAAGCTCCTCAGCACAGCTATATGCGTGCATCTGAGCATGATTCTCTACATCTCAACCTGCGCACACAGAGCCCCAGTTCTCATAAATGCCCTTCAGCTGGGTTTGGGTCTCTAAGCAAGCCCATTTTCACACTTGCAGATCTGAACTATTCTGACTGGTGGCTGACAGAGGCAGGAGGATCAAACAAAGAGGAGCACAGATAAGAAAAGTATTAAAGGAGAAGTTTTCTCCAGTTATGAGAACGTCTTCTCATGAAACAGACAAACAAAAGTGAGCACACATGGGGTTTGCCTTTCAAATCGTAATTACTGATAACCTACTGCTCCTGGCCTGGAGAAAAATACGAAGTTTCACCTCACTAAAGCAGAACAAGACATTACTCAAAAGCCTTTGGGGAAACTCCCAAAGATTTGTCTTTCTTCAGCTCATTCCTGACCTTTATATAAAAGTTCTAGCTGGTCTCAACATTTATTAGCTTGGAAAGAATATAAGCAGAGCAGCACAATTTTTCTGACAGCTTATTTAAACTTCTTTCAGCAAGAAGCTAACAATCCTGATGCTTAATTGCAGCTCATTTTAGAACATGAATGCTTTAGCTTGCTTTCTTTTGAACATGGAAGAAATAACAGGCTTTCTTACTGCACTCTCCCTTAAAACTGCTGATGCAGCTGTCCCAAAACACACAAACTGAATCATAGGCTGACAGGCTTTGTATGTTGGGTGAGTAATGGAACCATTAAATGCATTTGATTTAGTGAAACCTCTACTAGACTGGTGTTATTTGTCGATGCTGTGTGATTTTAGAGGGGCTTCGCTCACTTTTGACTTCTGCAGTGAACAGAAATCATTAGTTCCAACAATTTGTCAGGAAATCTAAAACCATTACACATTTATTAACTTTGTATCTTTTAGAAGAATAATGACAAGTAACTAGCAACAATGTATTGCTTTTAGTAATAATATTAGCAATGTGCTATATATTAGTGTTGATATTAAAAATACACATTTGCCATAAACGTCTGTGCCCAATTTATCCACACAAACAGTACACACAACAGCAAAAAACACTGGGGTTTTAACCACCCTGAATTAGAGTATAAATGCTGCCTTTGACTATTGAAGCCGTTAGCCAGGGGCAATTACACCTCTTGGGGAATCCTGTGGGAACAGAGTTCATTTCATAATGTACCCTTACGAACTGAAGTACATACTCACATATACACAACTTAAAACCTGAGCCAACACTCTGAACTCCTCTTTGCTACACTCAGTTGGCAGGAAATTCCTCAGTTTTAAACCACAAACTTCAGTACTACTTTTACAAGGTGCCATACACATGCATGGAAAGGCTTTTTAAAAGCTCCATTTCCTTTACTGTGTGTTTGCATTGTGGTAACACAAACTCCTCCACAAAAATCACATATACCTCCTCCCCTCACATCCTTCCTCTGCCCCCGAGAGCTGACAGTCCCATCATGCAAGGCTGACACTCAAAGGAAATGCAGCAAAGAAACAGATCACGGTTCTCATTTATTAGGCCAATACTTCCATTTTGTGGCAGCTTTTACCTGAAGGGCACAGTGATGTGGACTCTTCCCTTACTCCAAACTTTTGTTTGGAAGCTACCAGTTTTTAAACTGCCACGGTGAGTGGTCAAGTTATACAAATCCCGAATATGTAAGATTGTGTTGTTCCTAAAAGGCACTAAAAGTGATCTGTTAAGCATCAGCCACAGTCACAGGCAAATCTTGGGTGAAAGCACCCTCATTTTTAATATTGTTTCTCTCTTATATTAAGAATATACATCAAAAAAGGTTCATAATTTTACAGAAATGTTCCTTTACAATCTCTTTGGCCTATTTCCCCTTTAAGAGCTCTTCAGCTTGACAGACTGGATCCAACTTTGGCTTTTAAGACACACTTTGCCATTTTGTGTGTCAGCCTTAATCCACCTGTCTGTTTCATCCCGTTGATTCATGTGACCTGGAAAAGAAAACTCTATTCAGTTTAATTTGACACTCAATAAACATATCATCTTCACAGTGCCATTTTTCCAAGCTCACTGGAAATAGTTACATGACTTTTATTTAGTAAAATTTATGTATTTTTAACAGGGGCTTCTGACATTTCATTCTTGATGCAGTTTTTTTTGCATTAATACAATTCCCCATAATGTTTTTATTTCAATAAAGTTGTGGGGTTTATTACATAGTTCTGTAGTTTTTGCTATGGCCTGGAGGCCAGGTGCCCACCAAAGCCATTCTATCACTGCCCTCCTCAACTGGAACAAAAGGCTGATGGGTCAAGGTAAAGGCATAGAGAGATCACCCACCAGTTACTGCCATGGGCAGAACAGATGTGACTTGTGGAAATTAATCTATCACCAATAAAATCAGAGTTGGATAATGAGAAATAAAATCAGATCTTGAAAACACCTTCCCTCCTCCCAGGCTCAACTTTGCCCCCAAATTCTCTATCTCCTTCCCACCAGCAGCACAGGGGGATGGAGAATGGGGGTTGTGGTCAGTTCACCACACGCTGTCTCTGCTGCTCCTTCCTCCTCAGGGGAGGACTCCTCACATTAGACATTAATCTCACTAAGTACTTTGAAGTTTTGATCCTCATTATAAACACAGAAGAGAGACAGGGGTAAGACCTGGTTTTCCAGATGACCAGACATGTTGTTACTATTACTGCTTTCACCCACAGCTGTCTGTCTTCTCACATGTTTCACAGAAACTTAGTATGCATGGTCATGCTCTGAAAAGCTCACAATGTAACAGACAAAGGAGGAAGTTCAACTTACCCTCATTTTACAATTAAGAAACTGAGGTCAAGAAAGAATAAACGACCTTCCAAATTTATCCAAAAGATTTATGACCAAATTGGGAATTTAACTGGATCTTTTAAGTCCCAAATCAGTAATTTTATCACAAGATCAACCTCCACTTTGGTTTATCTTCACAAAATATCACTTATTTTTACTTTAGTGTTCATGTGACTGAGTGAATTCTAAGTTTAGAACTAATTTCAGCCTGGAATAGCATAAGGGATGTTAGGAAAGCAGATTATGAAGCAACTTTGCAAACATGCTCTGCTTTGACCTGTAACACAGCTGAAGTTAAATTTTGGCCACGTCAAAACAGTGGCAAAACTCCAACTGACATCACTGCATTGGTTTCCACAACTCCAGCCTTTGTGCCAGAACCTTCAATAGCATTTCACTGTTTTGGTACTTCTAAGTGGGATTAAGTTAAGGTTATGGTCCAAGCCCACATCAGTTCACCAGCAGGCTGAGGTACCGCTTAGAAGTATGGGATTTTCAGAGTCCAACACTGATCAGGTTCTCCCACTGAATGAAGAGGTATTTCAGTGTCTGTTCTCATCAGACTACAACATACCTTCAAGGATCTACATGGAGATGTCCTAGTACAACTTCTGTGCTCCCAATTGCTACAGGCAGCAGCAGCCTCAATCACACTCAGTCTCAGGATCATTCCTACCATAAGGCAGAACCCATAGTTCCACTCCCTGCCTAATTAACACTTCAATCTATGGTGATCATCACGAAGTTGGACGAATGCATGGTACATGAAATCCATTAAAATCTGAAACTTCAATTCCTCAGAAAGCTTCCCTGACCCATCAATTTGCAATGGTATTGCATCAGGAAATATACAACAGAAATGACAACATCTGTCTTTTAAGCAGAGGTAACCCTTAAAACATTAGATCAGTTTGAATTTTACACGGGAAATAGCCTCCAGGTGTCAAAAAAAACCCAAACTAACAAAAAATTGTAAAGGACAATTTCAGCTGATCCCTTAACAGAGTTGTAGGGCACTGAAAGTACAGCTTTTCTTTCTATGGAAAGAGGACACAACCAATGTATTTCCAGAAAGCATACATTGGAGTGCTTGGTCCCAGTTTCTCTCTCTCATGTCTTTGTCACTATGGCTTGTAGTTCCATGCAAGGAACAAACCCTGAAGCACAGTCAGCCCTGTATACGAACACCTTCACACACTGCTTATACCCTGCCTAAAAAGTTAAAGTGTTCTGAAAAAACACAGGCACAAATTAATACGAGCTGCTGCGAAGCTCAGTTGGTGCCTGAGCTCTGTTTCTCATTTTGCATTTGCTGTGTGAGCTTAGGAAAATGTTTTGTTCCTTATGTTTCTTCTTGGAGATTTGCCTGTGAACGAAATGCAAAAAACATCAAACTGCAGGAAAGTCAGTGTCAAGTTCCACTCCCCAGGGATTAACATCTTCAAACTAGTTTAGGTTGTTAAGCTTACCCTCAGTAGCAGATCAAATCAAGCTTAAGCTATTTAAGTAATTTTGTGTATGAAGCACCAACCAAGCAAAAAGGTTGGAGATCTGTTGGTGACAGTTTGGTCTTAACTGTACTCACTGCCTGTACCCTGAATACTGTGGGAGTGTGAGTGGATTCTGAGGATCATTTTGCTAGCATGATTAAATCACAAAAGCCAACTGCCTGCTGGATTCAGAAGGGGGGCATATCAAAATTAATAAAGGATTTAATTTCAAAACCACCCAGTTAATACAACACATGTGAGCTCAGGACAAGACAGATGCACCACTCTGCTGCATGGTCACCTTTTCCGTTTGCTTTGTTTTGTTGTTTTAGGGGGTGTGTGTGCATGACCCCTTCCAATACGTGCTGGTGTCTAAGGCAGGCAACACCTTTAGAGAACTTTACACGGGCAAGTACTGGTACTGACTGTTTATTCACTTCCCTTCCCAGAGATCAGAGAAGTTAAGGAGATCTTTATTTTCATCTACTAAAACACATAGAGAGAACGACATTTTACATGTCGTTCACTGGTGTTGTTAGGTCTGTGGTATCTCTCAAAAAGCCTGTGAACAGCTTGAGTTAAATGCAAGCTGAAACCAATAAAAATCTGTAGGATAGCATCTCATCTCATGTGTTTTATAAAAGTTGGATGAACTTTGCATTTGACTTGAAGGAATGTAATCTTTTCCAGATAGAACCTGGGTATTTGTTTGTTTTTTCAAGATACTGCTTAAGGATCAAGGCTTCACAGAGGGACAATGTTTAACGGGACACTGTAAAACAAAGCTCTTCCCACTCAGCTCCAGTGGCAAAGAGTCAATAAAAATTGCTTCTAGGAAAGAAGGAAAGTTCTGAAGTGCCTTGAGAAAACAGGGAGGGACATGACAATGGATAGCGTTACTTGGGGGATCAGAACCGTAACTGAATGCGAGTCAGCTGCACAGTGGGAGAGGAGAGCTGCACTTGAACAGCTGTTACAGTTCAGGAAAGACTTAGGTTTCAGCAGACTGACAATACAAGCTCTTTCAGTTATTTCCCTTTTAAAGGCAAGTTGTTTGCCTCACATTACTCACTGCCCCTTCAGCTTTATATTTAACCCTGGCACTCCATGTAGCTAAACACACACATATTACCTGAAAGGAAACATTAGAGAATTTCTGATAACAAAAGCACATAAACACACCCATAAAGCTTTGTGCATTGTACACGAGACTTCAGCAGTCAGCTCCCTCCTTGCACACTGGCTTTGAAGCAATCCTAATGGCTAAGTCCACAGTACTTCGTAGGCCACATTCCCAGTACGAGCCATTGTGTGAGTGGTGAGAAATAAGTTATTCCTGAAGGTAGGAAGCATCTGTCTAAATCCCCTGTGTTCCAGAAGGGAATCCAGATCTAACCTCAGCCAGACTTAAATTCTTACTGTTTCAGTGCATGACTGTTGTAAGGAGAAAGGTTCTCCTCACCACAATCTACCTGGAGAACCAGATGGGGTGAAAAGACTTGAAGTATGTTATTAAGAGAAGCCCAACATGTCAGAGAAAGGACAGTGGTATCAGTGTCCATCTTCTCAAGGGGATCTGGCAATTAGACAGGCTCTCTCCAGAGGCACATGAACAGAAAAGCCATCTAAGGTGTTCCTGGTGATCAGAAGAGTAACTGGATGCTGGATCAACCCATAAGGTAAAGGCAACATCTATCTGGAAACTTTCACGGGAGAAAAGGGTTTAGAGAAGACAACAGGGGATTCCTGTCCATATTCAGGACAGACATTTGAGGGAAGGCGTAAGTTAACATGCAAGAGAGCACTCCACTACCTGTGTGCATGGCCACCACGAGGCATGGCTCCGAGCAGAACACTCTTCACATGTGGCTCAGTGAAGCTTTAGTGCTATAGATGGGGTGTGATAGTACCAAAAGCTAAAAATGCTGTTAGCTGCTGCAACTGTTGTCACACTGGATGACATAGGGAGCACATACACCTCAATTTGGGTGTAATTCCCAAAGAGTACGTTCTTTGTAAGAGGACAGAAACATACAGAGAGGTTGGTTTGCCAACTTGAAAGTAAGAACAGGAATTCACAATAACCTACACAGACAAACATCCACAGCCTCTGAGGAGCACCTGTGAGACTTTCACCAAGGAAAACTCACTCAAGTGCTGAAAACCAGAGGGAGCAAGTGACTTGCCAAAGCTAAAAGCTCACTCGTCACTACAACTGGGGCTAGGCACGGGGAAAGATCTGGAATCAGATGAGTCCCTGGCACCACTCAAAGATGGAAGATTTACACGGTTTAAAAAAAGGGGTTATGTTCCAGACAGACAATTAGATTTGGAAATTGGCACCACCAGCTACAAGGACCTAAAGAAAGTCTCCAAATGACTGCAAGACTTCTTCCAGTGAGTTTAGTTGTCAGCACGCAGGCTGGCAGTGGAAGTGGGCAGAAGCATGCCCACTGTCTGCATTCATTCAGTACCCACACGTACCCACCCCCATGCCTCATAACCTTCATCTGAGTTACTGCAAGGTGGGTGGGATCAGATGGTCATATCAACTTCAGACAAGACAAAACAGGTCTGAAAGCAACCTAACCAAGGATGCGCTTTATCTAACCCAACGTGCTCACCTACCCTCTTCTTCACAGTCTGCAGTACTTGGAGTGGCCTCACCAGACAAGTGCCTACCACCAGAAAGTTTATCTTATTTTTTAGCTAAGTTTTCCTTACTGTAACATCAAATCATAATTTCTATTCCTATGACCAGTGGGCAGAGAACAAATTATTTCTTCATTTCTGCAGCAATTTCTTGCATACTGGAAAAAAATTCATCTTCCCTTAGTCTTCTCTTCTTTAGACAAAACCAACGTTTCTTTTAGTCTTCTCTCATTAATCATGCTTTTAGGCCCCTCATCATGTGCTCTCCTCTGGAGTCTCCACAGTTGTCCACATCCCTTTTTGAAGTACAGTACTCAAAACTGGACACATGCCAGCAAAGTATTACTAATGCATGTAAAGCCAAGGGGTTATTTTGAGTTTTACAGAACAGTCATGCTCATATACTGTTTATTTTCTTTTTAGCTGTGTAACACTGTTGTTTCCTGTTTAATGACTATTGATATATTCCTCCTCTTGGAACCACACAGGTCATTATTCCTATCTTCGTACTTTGAATTAACTAGAACAAATGACTTATTGGAAGAATGGCCTAAAAAGCATATAAATCAAGATTATCTGAGTTTCAACTTCATCCTTCAATGTTTGTAAGCCCTTTAACACAACAGTCTCCTAAGCTCCCTTTCTGCTTAATTGTCTGTCACTTCTTAGTCTGCTATCTTTCCTCTTGCCATATATAGTACCAGATACAGTTAATGATCTCTACAATCTTAAATCAGCTGACTTAAGAATACACGCAGACCTGGAGACATGGGGAAGGTAGAGATGTTGAGCAGGAAGGGCTTCCCTCTTCACCAGGGAAAGGAAAAGAATGCCTTGACATGACTGCCACCAGAAATTAAAGGAGTTCCTCAAGCACTCAAACCAGACAGCTGAACAAACACTTTCACCAATGGAAAATGCACCAGTGGTTAGCATGAAAAATCTGGCTTTATAACAGATTTCATTATACCATACATACTACTTCCAAGAGTGCATGCTGATGTCAATGGAAACAGATGCCTTGTCCTTGCAAATTACTCTGAGGAGTAAACTCCCTGGCACTGCTCTCCAACTCCTTCCATGTATCAGCAAATGTCCCAGTTCTGCAGGAAAGTTCCTTCCTTTTCTAAAAGATCAAAACACCTTTTCACACTCTCATCACTCTGCCTCCAGAGCATTGACTCCAGGCTTTCATCTTCTTGCTTTGACTAAATCCCACCCTAATCCTTGACTACCCTGCAAAACCCTGGATGTGGCTGCTTGTGGGACTGTAATGCACCGAGCTCCCCACTCAGTGTGGAAATGGGAGATGCAAAGCAAGGTAATGATGTAAGTCGTAACTGCTGTAAAAGCAGAAGGGAAGGCTTTCCTAGAGCTGGTCATAGACAAGCTGTATATCTACCCCATTCACAGAACTCTGTCTTCCCACTGCAGTCTCTTCTCTAAAATCTCCCAGAATATTCCCAGTGGCAAGTGAAGCTTCCTGAAAGCAGCTGGTTCCTGTGTTATCCACATGAGAACTGGCCAGTTTCTGACAAATCATCTCTTTTTAAACAAACCTTTGAGCTCCAAAGCATAAAAGTCTAAACTGCCATGCTCCTGTGACTGTTTTTCTACTTGCAAAACCCCTCTTCTCTCTCCATTTTGTATTTCTTCAGTTGCAGCAGCAGGGCAGCTACAGACTCTACCTAAAATTTCAGCAGTGGATAATGTTTTCATGATATAGAAGCAGTATTAAACGATTTTTAATTATTTCAGAATCTACTTGCACAAGGAAATTCTCAAATACCAACTTTAAGAAGTTTACTGAGAATAAGGGAACAAGTGCTTGTGCAGTAGAAATACACTATCCCCACAGGTTAAGGTAAAGAGGAGGAGAAGCAGGGAGCAACTCCCTTACCATGCCTAAGGAATGGGCAAATGCTGCCTCTTTCTTTGCTAAGAAAGAGGTGGAACTGTTTTCAAAACAATAAGAAAAGGAGCAAAGCACATGTTAAACCCAACTACTCTTTATGTTTGCTGCTTCTACCTGACCAGTGAAGAAAGGGGAGAAGAACATCACTGGCTACATTACATGAGAAAACACTGAAAGCTAAATGGCAGGTATAGAGACAGATGAAGACATGTTACTTCAGACCAGCCCTAGTTTAGCTGAACTGTATCCTGCAGAAAATCCATTCCAGGGTCTCCTTTTCATTCACCTACATTACAATCAAATTAGATCGATGTTTAATAAATTTTTGGTGCAATGATTATCAACAACTGATAATCACTGGCCTAACACTGTTCCCTCTGCATAATCCTCACTGATTTCCATGCCTTTTGGATATATTTAATTTGAGGGTTAACTAATCAGAGCTGCTTTTGGCCTCAACTGCCAAGATCATTTCCATACAGAATAGTGGTTGAAAAATTGCATCTGTCTCAGCGATGACTGTGCTACATAAACACTGAATGGGTTGTGAAACCAGAGAAGCCATTCAGCTGTGGATATTTGAAACACCACTCTTATCTTTAACATCCCCAGGGTATTAAGACGATTAACTGGCCAGTGGTCCTTATTCACTGGGAGAAATGTTGTTTTACTGGTAAGACAACTCATTCGATAAAGCCTTGCTTGTATCTGGGGTCCTTCACAGATTTCTAGCCTGAGAACTTCTAACCATGTTTTTTAAAGCTATTGGATTTAACAACCACCAGTATATCTATATACTAGTTACTCTTCAAGGCAGGATATATATATATCTATGCCTATACATTTCAAGACTACTATTTTATATAAGCAAGTTACATGGTTTAGTGTGAGGTGTCCCTGCCCATGGCAGGGGGGTTGGAACTAGACGATCTTAAGGTCCTTTCCAACCCTAACTATTCTATCATTCTATACTGAAATTGTGTACATACAATTCTAACATTTCCTCACTTTGAGATTATTACCTAACACGGGGGAGGAAAAGAAGTTTTGTACATACTTTCTTCAGTTTAAAACCAAAATGAAACTCAAAAGCCTCACCCAGTCTGCTATCACATCAGGTCACAATGACATAACATGTTCAAAAACTAAACTGGAGCCTTCAGACACACTGCATTAATGTTTCCTCTTGAGCAAACTGAGTAGTAATTGGTAACAGCAACAGCCTCATCTTCTAGATAGACACGTCCGGAGAGGGGGAGAGAAATACACACCCTGACAATGAATTGTACAACTGTTTTCTAAAGCAGGAAACAGCAAGACTTGGGATTCCTATGTTCAAGTTTAAATTCATTAGAAGAATGTTTCCAGTAATCACAGGCACCTTTCCATTTACTCTGCTCCTCCATGCTCCGGCTGCTTCTGCTCTTCTCCTAGCTATCTCCCACCCATCATTTCTGCACTGTTTAAGTTTTATACTGTACATTTATAAATATGCTGTATACCCCTTTTACCTCCCCCTCCGCACCCAACAGAGACAGACAGAAAACTTTTCATTATGTTTTTTAACAGACATTCCCTGGCAATTTATCATGTGACAATACAAGCCAATAAAGCAAGGGGTCAAATTCAGCCCTGGATTACCTCCCATAAATTCACCGGAATAATGCTGAGAATGAATTTGGCTCCAAGGCTTCTATTAGAGAAGCAGTTGTTAGCATTCACAAGTCATTTACTAAACAAAATGAAAAAGTCATCTAGTAACAGGGGGAGTACAACGGCACAAGGAAACATTTGAACCTGAAACAGATGAAATAAGAAGCGGCCAAGAGCAATAAATTCTTAAGGAAACATAGCTGCCTTTGACTAAGGCCAGACAGGCATTTATTGGAAGCCAAGATTAGTAAGCCTTACCACTTATAGTTACGTGATCATCTTTGGAGGCACTCTGCATTTCTTTTAACTGAATCTCTGAGCTCACATCCACTTTCCTTCCAGACAACTGTAAATAGGCTTTGAGAGAGGCAGGTACCTTGACTGTAATTGAACCTGGTATAAATTTAAATGAAAGCTAATTAGTTTAACATTCAGACCAAAGCACAAAACGTACAATTCAGCTAACTTGAATCAAATTGTTTGGTTTGGAGTTTTGGGGTTTTTGTAAGAGCCTTCACATACTGTAACCTCTTTTTTTGTCTCTGAAAAGATAAATGAAGATAATGCCATTTATCGTAACCAGGATACTGCATGTCATACAGTTATCATACAGTTACATGCAGGTGTCATAACTGAACATGAGCCAGCAGTGTGCACTTGCAGCCCAGAAAGCCAACCGTATCCTGGGCTGCATCAAAAGGAGCGTGACCAGCAGGTCGAAGGAGGTGATCCTGCCTCTCTACTCTGCCCTTGTAAGACCTCACCTGGAGTATTGTGTGCAGTTCTGGTGTCCTCAACATAAAAAGGACATGGAACTGTTGGAACAAGTCCAGAGAAGCGCCACGAGGATGATCAGGGGACTGGAGCACCTCCCGTATGAAGACAGGCTGAGGAAGTTGGGGCTGTTCAGCCTGGAGAAGAGAAGGCTGCGTGGAGACCTCATAGCAGCCTTCCAGTATCTGAAGGGGGGCTATAGGGATGCTGGGGGTGGAATCTTCATTAGGGACTGTAGTGACAGGACAAGGGGTAACGGGTTAAAACTTAAACAGGGGAAGTTTAGATTGGATATAAGGAAGAAGTTCTTTCCTGTGAGGGTAGTGAGGCACTGGAATGGGTTGCCCAGGGAGGTTGTGAATGCTCCATCCCTGGCGGTGTTCAAGGCCAGGTTGGACAGAGCCTTGGGTGACATGGTTTAGTGTGAGATGTCCCTGCCCATGGCAGGGGGGTTGGAACTAGATGATCTCAAGGTCCTTTCCAACCCTAACTATTCTATGATTCTATGTCACATGGAGAAAGCGGTGTCACAGTATTTCCTTGGCAGACATGAAAATGAACATTGACATACACTGCTAGCAACAGCTCTTGGTAGAGGATCTTATTATAGGAATGATCAAGGGAAGGAAATCTAATACATCTCACAAGTATTATGACTTCAGCTTCATCTTCTAGTTGCCTATTTACATTCCTGAGCAAGGACAGGGGATCAGATTTGATGATTAATCCATGGCACATTAAGAAGGAATTGCTCCTCTTGAATGATGAGTTGCTGCTTACACACTGTTAATGCAGCAATTGTCTTTGCTTTACTGCCCAGGGCCAGCTGTTCACATCCTTGAACAGATGCAGTCTCAAAAATGACTAACCAGTTTAGACTACATATCACAAAAATGTAAACTACTGACAAAACTGAAGTGTTGGTAACACGAATAATTCTACCCTTGAGGTTAAAACCAGAAATTCTGACTTCTGTTTTTCCTAAATATGTGCTTCTATGCACCTGAAACAGGCTGCCCAAGCGGATTGTGAAGCCTCCCTCTCAGGAGACATTCAAAACCTGCCTGGACACGTTTCTGTGTAACCTGCTCTAGGTCTAAAAAACCTGACGTAACAACTAGTGGTCAGAAAGCAACCCTAGCTGTGCAATTTAAGTTCAGCAGAATCACTTGCCTGTGACAGTCCTGACGAACTACTAACTGTTAGTATACTTGGGCCTACATTTTGCTGGAGCCACAAAAAGCCTTAGGATAAGAAAGGTCTTCATCGCTGGGTCCTCCTTGGAGAGCTTCTCAGTGATGTGACTCATAAAATCCAACACACATGCAATTAATTTATCACGAATGGGACATTTTCTACACTGCAGCTGTCAGCAGCTACACTGAATTTACAGGGTAAATGAAAACAGAACTTCATTAACTTTGTCTTTACTAAACTGGGCTGCCAGAAGGGATGTCAGGCAATGTTTTGAAAATAACATTAATTAGCTTTTATGAAATATTTGTCTTTCCTACGAACTCAAAGAAATATTAACTTAGTAATAAGTGATTCAAAATATAACTAAGAAATATATAAAAATAAATTACTTTGCACTAAAGAAACCAGAACAGCTGGTGCAGAAGAATGGCACATAAGTTATTTCAATACATTTCCTTCATTATTCTGAGTAACTGCTAGGTTTTAACTCAGCACAGACACTGGTACCCTTCTCTTGTCTGTGAGACAAATATCATGTTCAATTAAAACACCTGCAGTGCCTGACAGGATGTTAAAGTATAAAAACACTGTAGTGTGTGGGCTTTTTCTTTCAAAACTAAGACTAACAAGATGTATTCAGGGCTTGGTCATTCACAGTATCATATCTCATGAATAGTAAAACTATGAATCTGACTTTAGGTGTGAGCTTTTACTTAAGAAGTGAAATTCTAGTGAGTAATCAGGAGAAAAAAGGGAAGACTGGGTAGGGCCTTTCATCCTTGTTTTTCTGCCTTCCAATTTCAGGAACAGGACATTCTAACCAGTAAAGGTGAGAAAAAGAAATGTAAATATGTGTCAGTTGTCACTCTGCACACATATGTATCAGCATCATGGAATAAACTGTGCTCAAGGCAAAGGAAGACTGCATACAAGTCAACTGTGCAGGATTCTGCTGGGTACACTGCCAGGAAAAAAAGCATTGAAAACCACAAATATTCTGTAATCCATATTAAGTACCATTGCCCCTTAGAGTTTAGTTAGTGTATTATCAGTATATACACCTTCTAATAATGAGATAAAACAGAATATAGATAACCAACAATCACAAGCCATGTTGCTTTTCAGACAGACAGAAACAAACAAAAAAAACCCTAAACCTTACCCCTTTTTATTTTACATCATAAGCTGCAACAACAACAACAAAAATCTTTGGTTTAGTTTCCTAACCTTTCTGGGATTTCAGATCCACTTTTCTTAACTGACTGACATAAACATCTATCGTCCCATGATGTGTAGAAGCTTTTAGACTTCCATCTGATGAATCTAAGGAAAATAAAATAAATTAGAATCTTGTCTATCGTTCATCCTTTAAAATAAACATTTACCAGAATCTTTCTTTGTATTTGGATTTTGACAGTTCTTCTGTGTTTGAGAAGTAACATATTTACTGAATGTCAGGTTTCTCTTAGAAAAACAGGTTTCTGGGCAAAACTGACCTCCGCAGTCCAGAACTGTGGCACAGACACATCCCAGGGCCATAGCGCTGCAGCTGCTACTGGACTTGTAGCATCTACAAGGCCACAGTAACACTTGCCTCTTTCTACAAGGATGAATTTATCTTTGTGTGGAGATCAAGCATAGACTTTGAAAACTCAGATCTATTTTAGATGCCGAAAGAGTTCATTTGCTCATTCTCTACACAGGGAGAACTTTACCCATGCAAACAACAGGCAGTTGTGCACTATAACATCTCCTTACAAAGAAGAACTGTGTGTCAGGCTTTGTAAAGTCTCATTCACTACACATATGAATTTTAAATGAATGTTTAAGATAACCATTGCTTTAATATACATAGGAAACCAGCATTTGATCTTTGCCCTAGAACAGAGATGCGCGTATTGTTTTCTGTACCTTATTAGCTGAAATTTATAACAAAACTCCTTGAAGAAACATTTTTTACCACTAAAAAGCCTTTAAGAAGCCTAAACTGTATACTTGAGAAGTAGCCTTTAATTACTTGCAATGCATTCCAATATTAAATATACAAATTCCTACAAAATTACAGTGAAGTTCCAAAGAGTCAACTTCTCAACTACTGAACAGATCTATAGCTGATAAAAATTACAAAGAAATGATGAAGCAACGCTAGAGAGGCATAAAAAATTAACTATGTACCCGAGCAAACGGCAGTCAGTGAAATATCTTTTTAGATACAATGTTAGAAATGAAAATATCACCAAGAAATCTTGAAATACTGATAGAAACTGTTTTTCTTAGCTTCTGGATGTGCACAGAAAAGGAAACAGAGTCAGGCTTTCAGAACTAAAATAACAAAAGCAAACCTGAATGACACTTCCAATTTTAGAAAGTAAAAACATTCATGAAAGAATTAACTTGATGAATCATAACAAGGATATCTAGCGTTAACACCTTACCCTTGCCACCCCAGTTTCAACTCTAAGCAAACTCATCTGGTGCTTTTCTGATTCCAGATCTCAAGCACAGATGTTGAAGATCAGTGTGTCATATACAACAGTAAAAACATGGAAAAAAGGATTATTACTATCCAACAGCTAAAACTGATTTCTTTGGAAAGGAAAGTAATTAAAAAGTAATTAAGAAGTAGTCAATCCATATTTAGTCAGCTGAGAAGCTGAGAGACTGTCTTTGCCTAAAAAGAACACAGTGACAACTAGAACTGAGTGTTTCTGCCATTTCAACAGATTTTATGTTGAAGCAGCTGTGCTACAAGTCTGAAGAAAAAAAACCCAAACATTATTAACTCTTCATTAATTGAAAATGAATGAACTGGAAAAAAGGTTTTCCTTGTGTGACAATGAAATATTTTATTGATCACTTTTAAAAAGGTTGTTCATGGTAAACTTGAAAGGTAAAGTCATTAAAACAGCAACATCTGATATGAATCAACATTTTTGAGTATTTTTAGTAGTGATAGCTTGACATGTTCTTATAAAAGCTACTTCTGCAGATATTCCCAAACAAATTTAAAAGCCAATCTCAGAGCATCCACATAATCTCGACAGAGGTTTTTTTTTGGCAATGGGAAATATTCAGCCCCCGACTCTTCTGCTATAAACAAAACATGCAATTAGTTCTTTTATCTGCACTAGGAAGAAAGAAGAGTCCCCAGTGATAGGACAGAGACCCTCTGAAGGCAGAACAACTGCTAACATTCTGTACACTGCCACCAGCTGATGGTGCTCTGCAGGGACCAGTGTTTATTCAGCAAATCCTTCTTCCCACTCTTCACATGCAAAAGCAGCCCTTGTGAGATTCTTCACAGTGGAAAGATGCCTTTTGCAAACCTAGCAGCCCCACTGCAAGACAGAAAAAAGCGTTCTTCTCTAGATTTTTAGTTTATATATATATATATATAAATACAATAAATGTAAATATTTATATACATATCAGTTATTCTTTACCAAAAGACTGAATTCTGTTTGCAGAAGGCACAAGCAAATAAAGGATGCAGGAAGAGGGAGTAGGTATAGGTTCACCAAGGCACAGATTTACCTGTAAAGTGAAGAAAAAAAACCAAACAAACCAAAAAACAAAAAACCAAACCAAGAACAAAACCACCCCAAACCTCCCCCAAAAAAACAAATAAACCCACAAAAACCAAAGAAAAACAACTCTGAGGACAAGCAGAATGCCTTTCCATTGGGGAACACTGTTTTGGGAGGATGACATGCCAGATTTCAACTCCCAGATTGTACCACTAAATAGAAAGCTTCGCAAGACAGAAGAAATGTAAGAACCTTGGCAGCATTAACCAAACACTAAAGCTGACAATACCTGCCTAACTTTGATCTATGGAGATAAAGTATATTTTACAGAAAAAACTGAATATGAGTTATGGAGAGAATTTTCTGGATGATTATTAAATACAAATGTTAAGAATGCCAAAAGACAAGTTGCTTATCACTTCTGCAAACCTATTAATGATGACGCTTAAATTTTGTGTCTAACTCTAAACAAATGAGAAGGGGGGGGAAAGAGAAATGGATTAAAAACAGCGAAGATTAGGTTATCTAAGAAAAAGGGCTAAATTTAAATAAAATACTTCAACAAGAAAAATTACCCTATATTAAGTAACACAGTCTGGTAGGATAAAATGCATAACTTAAATATAAAGGAGACAATACATATTTTACAGTTATGAAAGAACAAACCTAGGGCAATTTATTTTTAATAATATACCCAGTGTTAGCTGAGAACAATGTGAATAACTGAAGGCAAAAACAAGGAAAAGAGCATACAGTTTGAATTCAGGCTTTGCTAAGGACTGACGGCTCAAGGGGAAATGAACCGTTCTACTGGGAATGGAACAGATGGTCACTCTTGAGCAACTTCAGCTATTTGAGAATTTACTAGCACAGGAAGAGAAAAAAAGCATTGAAGCAAGATGTCCTTGACAAGCTTTTGTTAAGCTTTATGAAAAATAAATACAGCCTGAAAAATAAGACCTAAGCCACATCACTTGAGAAAGACTATGCAATTAAAGATCACTGGAAAGTCCACAAGGGTGACAAAACTGAACATCCTTTGCAACATTTCGTATCTCTTCTTCCTTCATTTTATGAAGTACTGATGAAAGGATTAAAAAGTGATCTTTCCTTAAATCTAAGCAAAAACATATTTACTTTTCCTAATAGCACATAACAACTGACCTTCCTCATGTTAAAAATCGGTGACAAAACTGGTTTTCAGCAGGAAAACACAAAATATTATGATGCAGTTAAAGACAGAAAAAAATGTCAGATTCTAACGAATCTGAAGTGCGAGGAATTCCTACTTAACTGGCTGCCTAGTATAATGTGTTGATAAGGAGTGGTTAATTTTCTCATATTAGAACAATCTTCTAAAACCATCACATGAAAAATGAGAAACCGAAATGTATGTTAAATAGACTAATTTCACATACCACTAAATTATCATTAGTAGTCCTTACCATACTCATCATCCTGGCAAAACAAATGATGTAACACAGAAAGCAAACGAATCTCTCATGAAAACAACTCCTTTGCTAACTAAATTGTCTAGATGATCCTTTTATTGCTAAATGATCCAATTTCTACCTTGATTTTAAAGTTGTATGTGTTGGTTTTAAAGGCCATAGTCTTTTCTGGGTAACTTACTCTGTTCTGAAAAAAATCACTATATGCCTCAATGACGCATCATAATACAACATGCCAAGTACATCTTCCCCTTGATAAGCCTCTGACCTACTACACATCATAAGGGATCTTCCTCGAGTATCTATCCATGCTGTCCACATGTATCTACAGACTATCATTCTGTGTTAACCACCTCTGCAAACCACTTAGCTGTATGTCTCTACTTTTTCCTTGCCAGAATAAGTCCCTGCTGCCCATAAGCTGGTTAAGAACAATCTATCCCTCCAAAACAACCACCATAAGCTCTGTGATTTCTGACTACAGAAGATTCATTTCTACAATGAATAACTGGGATAAATGTAAGTAATCCAGTAAGGAAAAGCCATGGGTTTTGGAGCTGGTAGGAGAAAATTTGTCTTGGCAGCAAAGTAGAGAATACATAATTAGACCATACCAATAACACTGAGAAATAAGCAAACTCTAGCAGGACTGAACATGAGCCAGCAGTGTGCCCTGGCACAAAAGAAGTCAAATAGTATCCTTGGCAGTATTAACTGAAGCATGGCCAGTTATTAAGCAGTTATTAAGGGGAGGGATTATGCCGCTCTACTCGGCACTTATTACACTGCACCTAGAACACAGCATCCAGTGTTGGGGCTCCCAAAAGAGGACAGACATGAATAAACTGGAGTAAATCCAGCAGAGAAGCATGAACATAGGCAGGCTATGGAACACCCCACTCCTCAGCCTCTCCTGATAGGGAAGGGCTTGCCCAGCCTGGAGAACAGATTGCTTCAGGACCTGACAGCAGCCCCCTGATATCTGCAAGGAGGTGATCAAGAATACAAAGCCAGACTCCTCAGAGTGGTGCATGATGAGAGCATGGCAGACCAAAAATCTATCGAAAAAAAGAGAGCTTTAGTTTGGATAGAAGGAATAATCTTTTCAACCCTGAGGACAACCAAGCAGTTTGTCAGAGTGGCTGTACAGTCTCCATCCTTGGAGATTTTCCAAACCATGGGATAAAGTCCTGAGCAACCTCACAGCTCACATGGCTTTGAGCAAGAAGCTGGGGATTAGAGACTGCTTGATTAAGGGAGCTGAACACGATGACCCCTAGAAGTCCCTTCCAACCTCAAACATTCTATGTTTCTGCAACTTCCTGAGGTCTCTTCCAACCTGAGTTTTCCTATGAATTTACTGAATAAAAAGTTAGATAATTCAGGTTTATAATGACTAGTTTAAATAGCAACTTAGAATCACAGAATGGTTTGGGTTAGAAAGGACCTGAAGATCATCTAGTTCCAATCCTCCTAGCCATGGGCTGGAATACCACACACCAAACCGTTTCACCCAAGACTCTGTCCAACCTGGCACTTTCAACACTGCCAGGGATGGAGCAATCACAACTTAAACTAGAAGTAAAAATAGCTCTGGTTGTTTCAAACTATGAAGTCATTCAAAGTCCATAGAACATCTGATACAAGTAGGAAGCTTCTAATACAGGGTTGGAAAACAATGTCAGTGACTAATAACACCAAAATAAAGTAAAAATATTCTATGAATAATAACAAAAGCAGAAGATTAGAGAAGAGCACTGGTTTCCTTTTTTTAATGCAGAATTTTACAAGAATAAGAAACTGTCAAGCAAGCAGCTTATAGTTTCCCTAAAACATTTTGAAGAAAAAAAAAAAAAATCCATCACTCTCAAGTTTGACTTGTAAATAAATCTTTCAAAAGCAAAGGATACATCCCCAAACTGATTTTTTCTCCAAACTGATAAAATTCTATCTCCAGTGAAGTAAATAACCACATCCCTATGAAAACCCAGCCAACGAAGTTGGAAGATTTTGTTTTGTTCTTCCTATTTCTAACAAAAAAGTCCCTGTCAGGTCTCCTGACAATCAACAAGCTACCTTGTAGCATGTGTTTGTCATACACAAAAACCTTCCACTTAAAACTTTACATTTTCTTTTTCAAGTTTAGAGTTGAACCACTGAATGTTAGAAGTCTTTTATCTTTGGAAAAAAACATAAAAATCTAAAGTATGTTTAATGCTCTTCAGGAAAAGATTAAGTCTAATTAGTGCTTTCAGTACTGAAACTGAAATTTATTCAACTCTAAGATGTGTCTTAATGTTCAAGTGGAACCTGGTTAATTAAGGAAAATTATTATCATGTAGTTGACAGAAAAAGCTATCTCCTGTGGTAAGAAACCTTTATTTAAACACTCTTCATACTCTGAGTTTATTTAAAAGAAAGACAGACTAGCAAGCTTAATTTAATTCTGTGGTTTAATGACTAACTCAGAAGAATGTGTATTGCATTCATTTTCCAGGAAAGTTAATATAGCATGCTCAGAAACATAAGAAGAGTTGTAACAGTACAGATTGTCCCTGCACAATGCTCAATGAGTGACTGTGGTTACTACCATTAGCAGAAGCCTTTGAGATTTGGACCCATAATCAATTTATTTACAGAATGGGAAATCCTTCTTCTTATATTCAGGAGTCACTGAGCCTTGTCTATGATCGTTACTTCAATTTTCTGTCATAGAAATAACCAGGATTTGAGTTTTTTACTTTTGTGTTGAGGTACTACAAAAATGCAACTGATATAATATGTACCATAATTGATAACTCCTAGTTATCCTGTTGTATATCCTGTTCAAGTTCCCGAAAGAAAATTTATGAGCCATTTTTATTTCTGAAGGGAAAACAAAGATCAGTAGAATAGTTTGGAAACTATTACTATTATCTCAAGCTTCCCCTCCTCAAATATGTAACACATCAATGATCAATGCTTTGTGATATAAAAATCAAACACATCTAGTCATCGATATCAACGAATGTAAGAGAACTAGGCTAAAGGCAAAATTATTGCTTTTCTTGTGTCCTTTTAGTTACTGTTTTCTTGTGTCTTTTTATCACATCTTAATCTAGAAGATGGCACCTAGATTCAGTGTGACTTGCGCAAAGCCCAGTAAGTACCGTGGTATCAGATGTGAGACAGTCTGAGTTGCCCAACTGCAAAAGGCTGACAGTGAAGTTTGGAAAGAATCTCCTTCAGCTGCACAGCTATCAGTGCTATTGAAAATAGGACAGAAACATCTGTAAGGAATTACCTCTTTACTTTCCCTGTGAACATTTGGCTTTTAAAAAGGAGAAGGAAAGAGGGAGAAAAAGAGGTATCTCTAAGAGAAGGCAGAACCTACCTACTGTAATACTCCCAGTTTTGGTCTGAAGGCTGGTGTTACCTATTAAGAAGAGAAGGAAAAAACATTAAAAGCATATTTAACTGCTTTCTGAAATTGTAACAAAGGCTAAAGCAATGTGGACCTATACAAGGGCATTGCAGTTGTAGTAGTATCCCTCATTTGCATATAGAAGCAAAATAGCACACACCAGATATATTGCTTGAATATTATTGCTTTACAAACAAAAAATCTCAACACATGTGGGTAACAGTGAATTGATTCCAGATGAGAAAAACACTGAGTAAAGCTTAAAGACACAGACTGGATGCAAGAAAGAAAAGCAGAGATGCACTGTGAGGCTAAAGCACAGAATTTTTGTATTTTATTTTGGGCCAAATTTTTGCATGTTTCTCTGATGCCTGCGACAGCACTATGGATGATTTAAATAGCTCAACAGGATTAGTAACACAAACAGTCCCTATTTTCCCCTTTTATTTATACAGATAGATAAGACACAGACACATACACAGACAAATATGTGTGTCTATAGATATAGGCGCACATATATTCCCCCTGCCCCGCTCTGAGGATGGGTTGGTTACTTGTTTTCCTTTCTTTTTCTGAAAAGGCTGCTTCCCGGACTTACTGAACTTTACCTATTCCCTCCAAATTTATTCTCATGTGCATGATGATCTCTTGTCAATGCTTTTCACTGACTTCAGTGAAATCTGAGTGCACTGGAGAAACCGGAGAACAAAAGTGAGTAATGCAGAACACAGAATGGTCTCCCAGTGAACTTGAATTAGTCTGAACAGGCACTGGTGTTTTAGCCTCAAAAATCTCAAGATGAATAGTCTTCCCCTTTATCTATGGAACCAAGAGAATCTGAAAGGATGACAGAAGTACCTCGTAACAGAAAATCCATCTATACCTACTAACAAAGTTTGTAGTAACTTCCATAGTTACACATGTATGCTACACATGTATAATTGAATCATAGAATAGCTAGGGTTGGAAAGGACCTTAAGACCATCTAGCTCCAACCCCTCTGCCATGGGCAGGGACGCCTCACACTAAACCATGTCACCCATTACAGCCGTTACTTTTTCCCAGTAAAAGGATAAAGCTAGTGACCATGGACAGATGTCTTCCGTTTTCTATGAATGTAAATGATTTTCTAATGTTATACCTGTCTATGCAAATGGCTATCACAGAGTCATAGAAAAAACAGACTTTAAAGATAGGCAAAGAAATCAGTGGTCTACAGCAGAAAAAAATTGCAGAAAAAAAGACTGCCTCAACAAATGCTTTAATTTTAAAAACTAAACCACAACATGTCATTCCTGCCACACTCTCATCCTCCCAGGAGGACAGATTGCAAAATAAAAGGTTGATAATAGTAACCAAGTCCAAGTTAGTAATACACATTATTCACAACAATTTTCAGATCTTTCAGAACTGGCCTTTAAAAATGGCATGTGGGTCAAGCTTTGCTCCTATTTTCTGTAATTACAGAGTGCAAACAACCATTAGGGTAAAATGCATTCCACTGCATGTGACCTGTAGTGCTTTTCTTAGTGGTCTGTGGGCTGAAAGCTAGAAAAGCAGCCTAACATCAATAGTCTTCAATTCATCATTTCAAGCACACACTGCACAAAATACTTACGGCTTCTGAAAAATCAGTTGAAACAAAACCGTATTTAAAAGAACCTGAAAGACGTTTGGCTTTACCATTTGCTGTTATTAAGAGACACACTATAATTACCCCACCCTTTTCCCTATATTATCATGACTAGTACTTATTTTTGTACAAGCTACAAAAAAGCCTTTGGTTTTGTCAGCTAGCAGCTTCCACGGAGCTGAAGCTTGAGTACACTCTGCCTGCATATAGCCCCTGGGACTTGGGGATTTCTGGTTTGCTCTTTGTTTTTCTGGGGTTTTTTGCTTTCTGTTTTAATAAGCAGGTCCTTGAAAAATATTAAAACATGTTGAAATCAAACTCCTATTAACCCCAAACTTAAATGGCAGATACAACTAATGCTGCAAAAAAAAAAAAAAACAAAACATATTAGTGTGATAGGCTCACTTCAAATATTTATCTAAAAAATGTTGGTTTTAAAGCAGATAGGAATGGCCTGCTGTGTTATGACCGTGCAGTGGTCCCATAAAGGCCAATGCTTACAATTTTTAAGGTAGCCAAGCATCTTTTTGGTCATATCAAGGACAAAGAGAAAGAGCTGACCAGAGGTAATTACTAGTTTGATTCTTATATCCAACTGACTTAAGCACTGTAGCACAATACTATAAAGTCCAAAATATAATAGTTTTAACAGAATATTGATGACAGTGGCTTGGTTCTTGGATTGCTTCTGAAGAAATACTTATCTTTTCTATTATGTATAAGCTCCTCCACAAACACTATAAAACTTCAAACTACTTCAAACTCCTGGAAGACAGGATCAGCATAGGGCTGGAGCAAAAGATGGCTTTTGGGATATAAATAAAGGCATCACTTCACACTGTATTATTTCCATTCTTTCCATTTGTTTTGAAAGCTCTCAAGATGGCATGATTCAGATGCACAGAAGAAACAAACCACCACACAGCTTTTTACCACTTTGACTTTGCATTTCAAATTTCAGGCTTAAGTACAGTCATGCCTAAAAAGGAATGAAGTTAATTTCTACAATCCCACGATCACTGAAATCCAGAAACATAGGAAATGAAATTTATGGAACATGCTTTGGTATATCGGATTCTTTTCAGAAGGGATTATGGAATACCAAGCTCAAGCATTATACCATTCTACCTTCAAAACATTGCACATTTTCTGCTTCATCTTATGCAGGTCACTATAAGGCAGCTATATGGTCGCCTTTTCCTATTTATTAATTAGCATGTAAATACATAAAGTAACTTCAGTAACTGTGTTTTCCAGTGTGATTCTCTTATATTGAAATAGTTACTAGACTATGACAGAAGAACAGATCAAAAGCAAACAAAGTCTGTCACGTGAGACAAAACAACCCTGTAAGGCAGTGAAAGCTGAGTACTTGCTGTTTGCAAAGAAGCTTTGCAGGTAAGGACCTGGCACTGTGATATACACCAACTTCTGCACGAATCACTATCTGTATGATAAGCATATCCAGCACGTAATATTGCAAATGCAGTCTCATAAGAGAATTTTGTGTCCAATTTGGGTCTTCCCAGTCAAAAAAGACACTGAGGTACTGAGGTGAGGTCAGAGAAGGGTATTGAGAAGCATACTACTGCCAACTATAGTACCAGCATCCTGTCAGCTATAAGGAAACAGTGGACTTAACTGGCCAAGAAACAATCTTTCCAAGCGTTTACAAACCAAACTACACTACCTTATGAGCAAAAACCAGAAGTGGCCACTTGTTTTCTAACATAAAATTATGAAAGGAGTTTATCTTTTCCATCAGTATTTATGCATTTGTGTGCATATATATATGTAATATAATAATTTAAAATACTTTAAAAGTATTTGCTTTTACTATTAAAACATGACTGAGGAGCATGTTTTGCAGGATATTTTCTCTGGAAAGATAGAAGAGCCAAGCTAATGTTAGTGCGCAATTGTTTTGAAAAGAAACAGCTAAAATAACATTAGGTGTTCCAGACCCATTTCATAGAGAGCTCATAAAAATAATCCTGAAGTGACATAAGAAACGTCTGTGTAATTTGGACACAATTCTATTTGTTTTCATATTGTTCTTCAGCTAGATGACAATGAGGCATTACTAAGGAAGTCACCAACTACAGCAGTTAATCATTTTTGTCAAAATAAGCTTTTGGCTGTGCACAGGGGCATGACCATGCCCACACACTGATCAGTAAGCAACATCATTATATGGGTTTGAAGTTATAAAAACCAAACCAAAATAGCTGAGACAGAAGTACATGTAACAATACAGACTACATGTTAAAAAAATCCAATAACATAAGAAGTTATTTCTACCTATGCATGCTGAAGTGAACTTTACCTAACAGGTTTAGAAACAATTCTTAAATTTACTATAAATGGACAAAGGACTTGCTCCTTTAAGGAAGAGTCATTTCTCAAGATGACAACACAAAACTGCTACAAAATTGCAGCAAATTGCTTCTAAGGCATAAAGTTGTAAATCTGGAACTCTGACTGACCCCAGTAATTTTCACTCTTTGTACATTGTTACACTCGTTTGTCACATTGGGTGACCTGGTTTAGTGTGAGATGTCCCTGCCCATGGCAGGGGGTTGGAACTAGATGATCTTGGAGTCCTTTCCAACCCTAACTATTCTATGATTCTATTCTACATCCCCCAGTTTGTTTTACTTGATGTTAAATCACCAAACCCACACTACAGCACAGGCAGAATTCAGTGGGAACTTTGTTAAACTAGAAAACCACACCAGCTTCTAACCTTGAGTGCTGTTTAAATAAAAGATTATCAAGTTAGTTTTAGTTCTGGGTGAAGAACTTTAAAAGGTGGATGGATTAGAGACTTTCCTCACACTCCCAATCACAGAACAGAAACTGTCACCACTCTATTAGTATAGCGCGCCAGCAGAGACAGAGACCATTTTCTGCTAAAAACTAAATGCAACCATACTTCTTAGCAGATGCAGTAAGAGCTACTTCTTCTATGAAGAAAATAAAGGACTGAGAGAGGGGAAGAAAAACCTCTTTACTACGTATAATTTTCATTGCTGAATTTTAAAATAGTTTTACATCCTTAGTATGTGTTATGTTTCTCTCCTACAAAATACACTTTTTGCTATTTCATAAGTATGCTTACAAAGTTGTTTTAAAAACAAATAAATGCAGCATACTATATATATAAGTTAGTTATTTTCAAGTCTGTCCCTAACAGACAGAACTGTTTTGTTCATACACTGTGCACAGTTGATCTAGTAACAGTCTATAGTATTAGTCCATTTGTTACAGTGAACATTATGTACACCTTCAAAGCAGACAAATTTGCTCAGTATTTTCTTCTTACCATGAATACTTCCCAGCAGAATATCACCAGCTACTGAAGACAGACGTGATGATTCTGCATAGAGATACTTAGTTTTCAGCAGCCCATCTTCAGTAGATATGTTGATGGATGTCCCCTGCAGCTTCTCTATATTCACACTCTAAGAGAAATAAACTTAAATAAACATAATGGAAAACCTGGCATCACAGTTTGAAAAGGCATAGGGAAGTAATAGTATTTAGAGGCAAAACAAATGGAAAGCAGTTGTTAGCTCAGAACAGTCATGTTCTCAGTTAAAAGCTACACAAGGCAAAACAAAACACCTTTACAACCAAGAGCTCTGACCAGAAAGTTAATGATTCATTACAACATTCCAATGAATTACTACGTAAGTCATACAGGTGAAGAACCCAAACAGACACAAAGTGATCTATTTTTAAGAAAAAACACTTAATTTTTAGAAGTAAACAAACAGATTAGCTGTAATAATGAAGACATAACATTCATGCAGCATTATGATGCTTAAAGCTTTGATAATCGGTTTTCTGTCACCACATACTGAAACATCCACTGTCTTTGTTACATAGAGCAATTTACACAGATTTTTAACTAGGTCACTTTATAGACATAGCTTTGGTGAAGGTTTGCAAAAAAAGCCACAGCTGCAGTTTTCCTCAGTATAGTTGCTCATATTATCTCAGTTACTCAGGCCTCTATTCTTGGACTTAAGCCTTAAGCTATACAAAGCCTTGAAAATGAGGGATAGATATCCATTTTGACTTCTTTTCAATAGAAATGGAGATGAAGTATAAGATTTGAAAAGTTGCATTATGGACAGATTTGGAAAATAAAAGGTGATAAATGCATCGAGACCTCATGGCAGCCTTCCAGTATCTGAAGGGGCCTACAAGGATGCCAGAGAGGGACTCTCAGGAATTGTAATGATAGGACATGGTGTAATGGGTTTAAACTAAAACAGGGGAAGGTCAGGTTAGATATAAGGAAGAAGTTGTTTACTGCAAGGGGAGTGAGGCACTTGAACAGGTTGCCCAAAGACGTGGCAAACGCTTCATCTCTGTCAGTGTTCAAGGCCAGGTTAGATAGAGCCTTGCGTGACATGGTCTAGTGCGAGACATCCCTGCCCATGACAGGGGGGGGTGGAACTAGATGATCTGAAGGTCCTTTCCAACCCTAACCATTCTATGATTCTACGCTTTCATCTGTCTGCCAGTAACTAGTCATGTGACAACCTATCTGAAAAAAACAGAGGAAATTACATGATTATGCAGCTACCTTATGAATTGAACTCGTATTATTCCCCAGTTAAATGTGATTTACGATGCAATCATTCAACAGTTCATACTTAACACTTTCAATCCACTTCATTTTAGCATTGTCATCTTGTGGAAAAAAAGTTCATACAAAAGTCTGCTGACCCTTCTGGTGTTTTATTACATAAAGAATAAGCTATGGATTAAGTATGAGGTATTCTGACAAACAGCAACTAGTGTTTCACAAAATCCATGCTGTACTGTGCCCCAAAAAGTGAGCCAAAGAGGCTGGTTTAGTATGGACTGTATGTCAGTCAAATTACACTGTGACCATACCAATCCATGCATACTGAGCTTTACACCATCTTCTCACGTAAGAATACTGACTGGACTACTGTCTCAGGACGTGATCATAGAATAGTTAGGGTTGGAAAGGACCTTAAGATCATCTCTCTGCCATGGGCAGGGACACCTCACATTAAACCATGTCACCCAAGGCTCTGTCCAATCCAGCTTTGAACATCGCCAGGGATGGAGCATTCACAGCTTCCCTGGGAAGCCCATTTCGGTGCCTCACCACCCTTACAGTAAAGAAAATCAATTAGTAAAGAAAATTACAGGAAAAGTTGACGTTACACCATCAAGTAGGTCTCCAAGAATGTAACAAGACACATTAACTTACAATAATTTACATACATACTATAAAAAAATAAAGCAAAACCAACCACCAATACAATGAAGATTTGTTTCAGAATAACTGAAATAAGGTAGGGGAGTTGGACTGCTCAAGTATAAAACTAAAAAAGTATCCTAGATAGGAAAAGTGTAAAAAAAAATGGGATTATTTTTTACTGAGACTATGTTTTCAACCCCAAATTCTTAAACTTTTATGAATTTTTGGCAGAACATAGCTGTTTGGCTCTGTTAAATAAGCACTATAGAAAAGTCCCTGTGGCACAGATTAGCTAATGATTCCCCAGTAAAACAAATTTGATTATTTTTGTCCACTGAACCACTAGGTTTTCTGGAAAAATTCCTCCCCTTGAGGGTAGAGCCTTGGGAGATTGTAGTTACTGAGACTGACCACATGCTTAAGTTCCAGTTTCTTACCCTTTAAAGTGTCAGTCTATCTTCATAAATCAGACTGAGAATGTTTGGGTTTGCACCTGAACACATCTTGCTATGTTTAACTAAGACACAAACATCATCTTCCCCACATATTCCTCTTCTTGGCCTTCCTTTTTGTGCTATCCTTGCTCAAATATTTTACTAGTGCCTTCCCCATTTTCTCCCTTAAAAATATTCTGTTTCCCAAGTGCTTAGTGCCTTTTACCACATCCTTTCCCTCCCCACCTTCAGGAGGGGGCTGGAAATGCTGACAGTCATAATTACATAATGATGACTACAACTGGTTTAAGAAACATCTCATACAAACACACACAGGAGATGTAAGGTTGATTGACTGTTAACATGAGTGGTCAATTGAGAAAAGAAATCTCACTCTGTCCTTCCTAACTATACAGCAGTTTGTTATTAGGAAGTTGAACAACATAAGCCAAAAGATTGTTCCACAGCTGTAAATTCTTGTTAAAATGATTTATTTCACTGAAGTTACTAAAACTTTACAACTCTAAGAGTGAATTCTAGCAATATTTGTACTTATGATCACAAAGAAGCACAACTCAATCTGCATGAAGTCTGTTTTATTGTTTCAAAACAACAACAGCATGTAAAGACTCAGAGCAAAATAACTATATTTTTCATTCTCATGAAGTATTTTCATGTAAATGCAGATCTAATTATTTTTCTACCATCCACTTGTTTTTATCAACTCCAGTGAGATGCTATTTGAAATGAACGCTATGCACTGCACTGGAGTAACAAACTACTTTGGGACAAATGACTAACAGCACAACTCTAAAGACCACTATCATCCCAATATGTGTGAGCAGCATAACTCCACAGGAATCATTCAGTCTTATTCACTGGTAAAAAGCAAGGATGCCAGTTTTCAGATCCTTCCAACAGAAATCCTTTCTGGGAAGATGGAGGATACATCCAGAACAGTGTAGACTACCTCTGCCCTATTCTACTCCCTGTGGCTGTTAATGGCTTAGGACAGATCCTAACTCCACTAACTACTAATAGTCCCAACGGAACTGCCAATGAATTAGAACTGATTAATCCAATTACGGCATCATCAGGTCATACCACAGTGAGGCCTTACCCACTCTATGGTGGGAGGTCTTGCTGGGATGCAATAATGTTTATGAAAATATATCAATTATAGAATGGTCTTTTCCAGCCTAAATGATTAAGACCATTAAGTCCAACCATTAACCCAGCACTAAACCATCTCCTAGATGTACCTAGAGTACCACATCTACAAGTCTTTCACATACCTTCAGGGATGGTGACTCAATCACTTCCCTAGGCAGCCTGTTCCAATGCTTGACAACCTTCTAGATGAAGAATTCCTAACATCCAATCTAAACAACTTGAGGCCATTTCCTCTCATCCTATTACTCATTACTTAGGAAAAAGTTAGATACCATTCTCACTACAACCTCCTTTCAGACTGTTGTAGAGAGCAATAACGTCTCCCCTGAGCCTCCTTTTCTCCAGGCTAAACAACCCCCAACGACAGTACAGGTACAACAGTCTCTAGCTCCTTTGTACATAAAACATGGGCTAGCACCCACTACAAAAATGCAGGTAATGAAACATTAACAGTTCTTGGAAAATCCAATGGCAAGTTGCTTAGTTTACAGCAGGACCTTAAGAACAGCTCACAGCTGGCTCTATGTCATATGATCTCAGAATATATGATCTCAGAACACAATCTACATAAAACAGTGCCAAACAGCACTTCACAGAGGCTGTTTTGGACTCCTAGAACTTAACAGCTTGGTCTCAATTCTATCCTTGGCTAGGGAAAGCTACCTGCATTCTTTCCAATTCTTCCCAGAGTTGCTGGGTTTAAGGATACCTATTGATTCTGAGAGAGTACTGCATGCATCTAAGCTACTTCTAGATTTGACTTGGCTCCACACATTCATATAATACTGGCTCAGACGTAATAATCCTGATGCAACCAGTTGCATAGACATTACAACGCTTAAAAATTCAAGTTGAGCCTAAAAACCAGACTGGATATGAGACCTGTAGTATTATGTAAGGGAGCCCAGTTCTACATAATTTTAAATAATAGAGAATTGACTATTTATTCCAAGAAGCAAACTGAGATTAGAGTAATATGACATTTGTCTCATACTGCCATCTGCTGAAAAAAGCCAGCTACTTCTCTACAGAACTTTTCCTGTTCATTCTTCTCACTGCACCTCATAACAAGATTACATGTGATTTTATTTCCTCAACTACAAAGAAAGATACAAAACCTTCTACTCTCCCGTTCTTACAATCATATAATGCTGGAAGTTTACAGCATGGACAAATATTGAGCCACTATTAACGAGACACTAAAATAAATTAATGGGGCTACTGCAGAATCCAGATGTCTAGATATCAGCCACATAAAATGTTTAAGAGTGTTGTGAGGGTTACAGAATTAAAGCTAATGAGCTGTATCAGCTAGCAACGCCTCTGGGCTGATGGAATGATCACATGCTTCTTACTACTCTTTCTGTGCAGCCTGTTCACTATTCCAAATTAAGCATAAGATAGTATAATTAGACAACTGTCAGTTAACAGTGAAATGACAATCAGACAGTGAGGGTCATTACACATCCTTCAGCACATTCTTCAAAATTTAGTCATTATGCAGAGAAGCTCAATAAGCCAAAGAGAAAGTTTTACATCTTACTTACACCCTTCTCTGTTGCATGAATATCTGTATTTCCATAAAGTGTTCCAAGACCAATTACTTTGCCACCGTTTGTCCGTATATCTATTTTATGGCTCTGGAAAAAAAGTTCAAAAATCCTATGGTTAGGATAATCATAACAAGATTCTATCTTGATTATCTTGGTTTTCAAGCTGTACCACAATAATCACCTTGGATCACACACTCCATTTTACTGTGAAGCCTTCTCCTCAAGTTATCGCCAAATGTGTTTGATTATTTCCAGTGTAGTCAAACTGAAAGCCAATCACCTTTCTGTATAACCAGAAACACAAGGGAAAGAAGGATGCTGAGGAACCTTTTACTCTCAATACAAGTGGTTTTTCTGGGTGGTTGGTTTGGGTTTTTATAACTAGAAAAACATTCACTCAGTATATAAAGCAGCAGGCAACGAAAGTGAAAACTTTGTTTTTCATTTATGCTCCATCCAGAAACCAAGGTAATGTACATACCCAGTGCTGACGCACAAGAGGAACAAGCTGGCAGTGAGAACTGAACTTACAAACTGAAGCCTTCCATTGACCTGAAATTTCACAAAATTCTATAGGACAATGATATACAAACATACCGTAAAACTACTTATGCTTGGAGTAGTATGTAAAACCATAAACCTCTATGTGTGCATACCAGTGCAAACCCTAGGCCTGCAAGTAGAACCAGATCCTGGTGTTTCATTCCAGATACTAATTCAAATTAGGTATTTGGCATACATCTGCATTACAATCTCAAGGTTTTCACAGTCCAAACAGGTCTTCAGAGTAAAATGCAATGCCCCAACTAGACTTCAGCAGTGCTTCAGACTTTTTAAAGGTTGCAAATAACTCAGCTGTGTAGTTAAGCTTCTGTACAAATAATAGATGATTCTCTCCATATAGAGTAAAAAAACGATAAAGTTAAATTAGATGCCTCAGTCAGACAGCACAGTTCTTTCAAGGCAGTTTCATCTGGCACATTATCGTAACAATGGTTAAAGAACAAATCCTCCAAGCACATAACACCAGGAAAATATGGGAATTCATAACATATGAATTAATGTAGAGCAGTGACTTATCAGTATAGCCACTGACAGTTAAGCAAAATAAAACCATGACATACACACTTATTTCCTCAATTTTTCTTTCCTTTTTTTTTAATAAAAGGATTTTTTTTTCTATATAGTTTTTGGGACAAAAAAGTTCTGATAAGATACAGATGTCTCAACTTCCCTCCCCCCCCTGAATTATTAGACTATGCATATCTCTTAAAAAAAACAAACAACCCAAAACACACACACAAAAATAAACCCCAAAACAAAACCATGAACCTCACAAGCTTTCAGAGGCAGGCATCAAGACACCTAACAGACAGCAGGATTTGCTGAGAGGATGCAAGTTATAATGATCAAATAGCTTTTTCATTAAAAGTGAATATTCCACTCACTGAAAGTAAGGAACACTAAGTTGTCACAGGGTTTCTCCTAGCAACATGAAAAGGTCTGAGTAAGGAAGAGGTAAAAGGCTGCCAAGGAAGTCAAAGATGTTAAAAGAAAAACAGAAGAGTTTGTTCAGTTCAAAGAAAGAAAGGACGGTGGTACAGGATTTTAACAAATCATGCTCAGACATGGTGTCTGGTGAGGAAGCATTGCAGGTCTTCCACTGATTGTGTGGAAGACACCTGGAATTCTTGTCATCACTGGCACAGTCAGGAAGCTGGAAGTAACCACTGAACATAGAAACGAAATGCAAGGATCTCCTTGGTCCCAATGTCACTGCTAAGCTGATGGACTGTAATAAAAAGCAGGATTAAAAATTAAGAAGCAGCAGCACTGCCTTCTCAAAAAAGAATTCGGGATTAATTAATACTCTGAAGAAGACCTAGAAGTTCTAGCCCTTTTTTGGAATCAATTGACCTGCAGACTTGGAAAGGATAGGGTAAACAGGGCTTTAGCCAATTACAAAACAAGCACCACCAAAAAGATCTCAATAGAACAACCCTCAACAAATCTCACTGGCTAGATAATGCCTATCCCACCAAAAGCACCAGTCAAAAATCCATTAAAAAACTCATACAGGATACTCATCTTTTCTGTTATATTGCTAGCATGCATGATTAAGGAAAGTGGATGTCAGTTTTTTAGGTCTTTTGTAAGGACGCCATACTCCAAAATCAAGTTTTTAATTACAAGTTACACAAACAACTTTGTGGCAAGGTAAAAGAATCAGCAGCTGTGAAGCTGTTTGCCTGTGTGCTTTAAATAAAAAAAAACTGGTCATGTGGGGACTATTCAAGTCACTGATCAACGACCTATTGCTCCCCACAATAAAGTCTCCTGCTTTGCTAGTCAATGACGTTTGCGGATAGCATGACAGCAGAGCAACATTAAACAGCTCTTTAACGCGTCCAGGGGAGGGCAGTATCACTTCAGTTTGCTCAGTAAGCGCACTCCCTAAGGAAAAATAAGCTTTTGTGCTGCATTATGGAATCTAGTCAGTAAGATTATCAGCAGCTTTGGGAAAAAAAAAAACAACAACAAACAAACCACTAAACCAAGGGTTAATAATTCTGCTTCTCTGATAATACAGAGTATAATTCTTGAACCCATATTAGAAGAAATGAGTTACAGTTGCTTTACTAGAACTATAGTGCTTAATAACATGAGACTAAAAGTTGGTTGCATGGCTGAGAGATATTGTAATACTCCTAACCTAAAAGAATATTCAGGGTAACTAATTGGGTTAAAAAAAGCCAAAGCCTTCTAATCTACGAAAGCTTTGTTTTGCTTTCTGGGACCAGGCCATTCCTGTCATCTGAGGCCAAAGGGAACAAAGAAGCCTTCTGTGGTCACCAGCAAAGTGGACACATTGAGGTGCATGCACAGGAGAAGGGTCGTCTTTTACGCTTGTAGTTTTCCTGACATTTTTCTGAACTGAGGAAAGCTCAAAACTGACAGAGGTAAAAAAGCAACACCAAGCTCCTCCAGTGGAGTACTACAGAGGAATTGATCTCAAAAGCCCCGGACTGGTGACTTTGCAGGCTTTTTTTCAGTTTATTGTTTCATCGCTATTTGAAGTCTCAAGGAAAATAGAACTTTTTCATTTTTAAAACTCAACATTATTCATATCTCACACTGTTTATGAGAAAAGATGCCCACAAAATTACTTATCTTTCCTCAAAATCCTCTTTTTCTATGACGCACCCCCCCCCCCCAAATAAATCTTGACAATTGTGATGCATGCTGTCACTATTACTGGCCAAACTACCTTGTTTTCTCATACTGTGTAGCTTCTCATGTACTGCTGTTTGCTATTATTATATAACAGAGCCATTTTTAACCAGCTTTAGGTAGCAGTAATACATACAGTACTATTAACTTCTTGTTAGATTTCAGTTACCTTTTTAAGAGTAAAATGGTCAGTTATACAGAATCTGGAAGTTCCAAGTTATTTATAGTTCACTGAAGATGGAGTAAACCTAGCTTTCTCGTATATTCGATCTCCTTTAAATTCAGTTTCGCATATGCATGCTATAAAATCATCTTTTACACCACGGTAAAGAAAATGTGTAAAGATTTTTCATATCTCAAAAAAAAAAATTAAACTTAGGAACTATACTATTTGAAAAGCGCCTTTTTTTTTTAAGTTTATGCCCACTCCTGCAAGTGCAATCCTAATTATTAAATTCGATTCCAAACAGCACCTAAGTCTAGATATACTTTGATTATTCCTACAAAAGCCTATGTCAGCAAAGCTTAAGTCTTAAAGACTGAAAAAACAAGGTCATGACCATGACATGTACAGTATTTATCAGATAAAATCCAGCCAGGTATTTTGGACAGAATGTATAACTTCTGATTGAAAATTAACCTAGGGTTTGTTAATAGCACTTACATATCAGAATTATTAAAAAAAAAAAACAAACACCAAAAACACACACAAAAAATAAATCACATACTGCAAAGTATGCAGCTAGACAGGAAATCCCAGTCTGTCTTCTTTTTTTGTTGAGAGGCAGGGGGACAAAGATTAGGCTTACTGCTGTCACTGTTTCTGCTGGCTTTGGCTATCACCAATGGTATCTGGACTTCTGATTGCACATTATTTTGTGTTAGTAACTTTGTGTTGTAATTGTATGCAATAAATAAAGGTGAGGTGCTATACACAGAGTAACACTGAGAAATATCAGAGTACTTATCTCCAGAACTGGTATTTAAGTTTAGGTACTATATTCCACCCATGATCCCTCTTAAAGCATGGAGTGTGGGAGGGTTCTTTGTACCTTTATTGACTGCAGGACACTAGTCCCCTTCTCCGTTTCTATTTTGCAGTTATCACATTCTAGTTTCTGAATCCTCACGCAGCCAGTCCCTGATGTTTTGATATCCAAGTCTAGAATTAAAAGAGTTTTATTAGCAACAGAATGAGAATAACCAAATCTATTTAACACAGTACTTGATTATTTTATATAGCAACTATAAATAGTAGGGGAAAAAAGGAGGTTCTTTGTTACTAAAGAACCTTCTTGTGAGGCTTGGCCACACAGTTTCAATTGCATGACTAGTCACGATGAACAATCAACACTGAAAATTTTATAAGCCTGTGTATATCCATCTACCTTGAAGAGAAAACAAGGCAGCATAGTGATTGTAACCTCTGGCAAGGAATCAGCAGGGTGTGGTCCTTCAGTGTAGTTTTCTTTTCCTTATTAACCTACTCCCAAACTCCACCTCATACCCCAGTCACCAATTTTATTAGCAACTCTGCAGAGACATTTTGATATCCTGACATGGGGTTTGGGGTGGAAAGGTTGGCAAGTTATTTGAGGCCACACAGAGTAATAAGATTCAACAGCACAAATACATAGGTCTGATTTTAGACCTACACTGCTTCAACTAGCAAGCAGTCTAACACAAAACCAGGTATAGAAGTGTTTGCATGTGTCATTCTTCCCTAGGCTTCTGGAAGGCCCGACTTTCCCTGGAATGAAGATGCATGTTTGCCTCTAGTCTGAATCAGCTTACCTTATTACTGTTCATAGGCACTCACAAAACCAAGGCACTAGGTCCTGTAGATAACTCTTACCAAGTGAATAATTTATGGGCTCATAGTGCTTCACACAGGAGAAGCAAAAGCATTTTTCTGCCACTCAGGATCACCCCTAAGTTTAAAGAACAAGGAAGAAGTTTGAGAATGTGCAGTCTGGGGATTCTGACTATATTAGTAATCATTTATAGTAATGACCACTGTAACAACTGGCACAAAGTGAAGGCAGGAGAGAAAACAAGTGGGTTTGCTCTTCTAAGGATACAAGGCAGAAAGAAGAAAAGTGTTTGCTGAAAGACATGTAACTGAAGGACTAACAGACAGTGAGCCTTTTACTCTCTGAAGAAAAGGAGATTGTCTGTCAAAGAAACCTTCATTTAAGCACCTGTGAGTCTTTCTTTCACTTCTACTATCTGCCAATGTATATGCCAACAAGATTCCCCAAGGCAGACCCATGACACATCGGAGGCTGAAGATCAATACTGTCACACAGCTGCTCAGGACAGATGCTGGAACCTTGACAGCAGCAGTTTGCAGACCATGAAGATGAGAGACTGAGAGCTCCAATTAACAACAAAGGGAAGTTTTGCCACCTGACAAGCCAGGAGAATCCAAGAGGCAGAGCTAAAACACATTCATTTCTGCTGCTAAAGTGAAGCCTTATTACCACAGTAAGATAAGAGGTTAAATTTAAAGAAGGATGCAGACTGTGTTAGAAGGTAACAATTCCCTAAGAGGGCTAGAACAGGTGGACTGGATAAGCATGTTTTCTGGAAAGTTGTTTTATTTGCAGAAACTATATTCTTAGCCTCTTCATGGAAGACTTTCAAGAGAGATAATGTGACCGAGACATTAATCAAACAATATGTTTCTTACATTTAAGTAAGCTAAGATACACTTTGAGGCATGTAAAAATGCAAAACCTGGCAAAGAGGACTGGTGGCTATCATCAGAGGCTTAATGGCCAACTTCACAAGGTTTTATGTTGGTAAAGCCTACACAGTTTCATCAGACCAAAAACATCTGAGTGGTATCTATCCTTGAATGGATACTTGAATGGATGGATGGTATATGCCTTGTGGAACAAACTGCCAAGAGGAATGGAGTTTGCCAGGAAGCTCTCATCATGAAACTGTTTACTTGAGTGGACACTAGATATAGAGATCCACTGAGGTGCTGAGCTGTATTAGGCTCAGAAAATCCGATGAGCTGAAAACAGCTGACAGCCAAGAAAAACCCAAGATGAAATATCACTTATGTTTGTCCTGTTCTTACTCTTCCCTGAGCATCTGTTTATGCTGGCTGGAGACAGGACAGTGGGCTAACTGGAGGCATGGTGCTGTAAATTAAGTCTGCTGAATTCTTTTAACTCTGTGTCTGAGTAGCTTTGCTTAGCATGAGTAAAATTGCTGAAGCCTTAGGCCACAAGCCCCAAATGACCGAACTTCTCTTGAACTGTTGCTTAGTTAGGTGAAGGGAGGCCCTGAGGCCAGTACAAAGTGGAAGACAAGGAAGCCACTATCAGCAGAAGATGCAACCCCCATCCAGATAAGAAACAGGTACAGACCAGTCTGGAGACAGAGAAAAACTCCAATAAGGAACAAGAAGACCCCAGACCAAGGATCATCATTCTACCAATAAGTGCGTGCAAGGTGCATGAAGAGCATACGAACAAGGAGTGCACAGACAGTACACTGGGTACGAAGGCTCAGACATTTCTTTGTTCTGGGTCCCTCCCTGCCCGCAGACGTCAGCTGGGGCACCTAGTGGTGTCTATCACTGTACCACTCAGACAAATTACCATACTGGACTTAAAGCCTGAGACCCTGCTGGGGATAACCAGGGTGAAAAAATATCTTTAACAATGGTACAAATTAGTACAGCCATTCTAACATAGACAAAGTAAAGCATGCTGAGAACAGGGAGGGGGAGAGCAGCTCCCTCCCTCCCTCCTTCTCCCACCCCCCCCCAATTTTATTTACAGAATGTTTCTCACTATATTAGTTGCTGGGAACAAAAGAGATCTTAAGCTTTGGTAAACATATACATATATATAAACACCCCTTCAGTTATCAAAAAATCCAACATCAAAACAAAAACCAAGAAGTAAATTATAGTGATGAGTAAGACTACAAATTGAAAGAGAATGCAGGTCCTTTCAAATGAAAAAGAAGTGCGTGTGTGTGTTGGGGAGGGATGGTGTGTGTGAACAAAACCAAACCAAAAGGTTACATAGTATAATTCAAGATATAGGGGAGGGGAAAGTAAGTGAAGATAAAAAGGTGCAGAATGTCTTCAACGTAAGGCTTTAAAAAAGTGGTAACCAAGAGAACACCATGCTCTAGAAAAGTCATGGATAACATTGATGAAACATGAGCAGAATGAGATTAGTCACCATTTCTTATATCACAACTGCAGCAGAGCATCAAATGAAACAAAAGCAGCAGTCTTGGACAATGACGTGAAGCAAACCAAAGGATCTCTTTTCTCCAGCATCATCTGTTTGTTTCCACATCAGTGAGTAAACACAGGTACCTCTGGGTCAAGTGTTTCCTAAAGCTCTGCTCAGAAGGGCATTGTCCTAGCAAGCTTGCCCTTTTCCTTCCCTAAACTTAAGAGCCACTATCAGTCCAGCACAGTTGTTTATTCGTTTTAGGCACTACAGCTGCTCTCCCAAGTTGCTTATGGGTCCCATATCAGAAACCCTGCACAGATTTTTAAACCCTGTGCACAAAAACATAATGCAAGAGTTATGCCAGACAAGGCAGCTCTTCCTGTCAATTCATCTGTATTGCTGCCTTCCAGGCTTTTTTGATCCCTGTGGCTGATCACTCAGCCTAACAACCACTACCAGAGTTGGTAGATTCAACAACCCTGCTGAGCACAGCCTCTGAACGGCAGATGTCAGAGCAAAAATAAAAGTGTTGTAACTACCACTTCATGGCAGAAGTTTCAGCTTTAACAACTGCCGACAAAAAGTCAACAATAAATTATATACCTAAACACCTAAGAAGTCAGGAAACCCAGGAAAAAAGGGACGTTTTGAACCTCCTTACTTGGAGGAGGCACGATGCCACTGAGGAATACCGCTGCCAAGAGCGCTTCTAGTCTCCACCGGAGGGAGGGACGGAGGGATCCCGTCTGCCCCCGGGCTCTGCGGACCACCACGCCCGGAGGGGAGGCCCGGCAGTCAGGCGCGCAGCCGCTTCTCCAGCCCCGCTTCACCCACCGAACTTAACAGGTGTCCTCACGTCCACGGCGGCCTTGCTGTCCAGGCCGTCCGCCACGATCGCCATCTGCTCCAGCGCCTCGTCGTACTCTACCCGGACGCGGTCCTGCTCCCGGCCGCGGGGCGAGGGGCTGCCGCCGGCGCCGCTGACAGCCACCAATACGCGATCCGCGTCCGGGTAGCGCTGCGGGTCCAGCGGGCGGACGCTCACCTGGCAGGGCAGCCGCACGCGCAGGCGACCCCGAGCCGCTGTCGCCATGGGAACGGAGGACGCTGCTAGTTGCGGCGGGGCCGGCAGCAGCCGCGCAGGTAGGGGCCTGCGGCGGGGTTGGCGCTGGGGCTGCGCTGCCTGGAGGGTTTTGCTGCGGCCGGGGCTGGGGAAGGCAAAACCGCAGCACCAATGTAGAGGTGGGAAGCGAGGCCAGCGGCGCAGCCTCACACTGGTTTGAGGAGACCCGGGAGGGCCGGGGCCCACTCTTCCCGGGGTGCCGGGAGTCTTCACCCCCTCGGGCCCGAGATGGTGCCCTGTCTTGTGTGAGAAGACGAGGTACCTCAGGGCGTGCGGGCTGTGAGCCCCTCGGACTGGTCCTGGTGCGGCTAGGTGTTAGTTTCCAATGGAGGAACCGTGCTGGTTGGGTTTTAGCCCGCTCAGCTACCTGAGAAGGAGCAGCCTCAGGATTTAACAGCTGCAGGGAGAAGGCAGGGAAAAGGGAGGAATGGGAAGGGGGAAATAGCATGGCTTTGTGTGACAGCCTGGTCTTTGTTATGCTGAAGCTCAGAGTGAGACGCCATGTGTTGAAATGTCCTCGGTCAGAGGATGAAGCAGCGGTTTGGCATATGTGCTGGAAAAACTGTTTTTTTCTGAAGTGGCACTGCAGAGGTCCAAACTTGCTCTCTGTCAGGATGGCTTGGTTAACATGTTATTTACTGTGAGTGCTTTTCAGCAGCCTAGCAGTTCTAAAGTCAGCCAAATACGTATTTTCCTGAGTTCTGTATAAATATATCATGAGACAATTTCCTTACAGGGTTAACAAATGAGTGGGAAACTACTGAATTCAGTTCAAAAAACTTTTATGGACTTTATAGCCCCCAATATTGTCATATAATAATTAATAAAAGATATGGGGGGATGTGGGCATAATGATGTAAATTCAGGGGCTGCATTCTTGTCATGGATGTAGGTTACTGGCAAAAATGAGTGTAACATGCACAGAGAAGGGTGCGTTGTCTCAGCTAAATTGCAACATAAGAAATAATGAAATCTGGGGCTGTTACTTTATTGATTTGCTCCCTGCTGCACTCCATGTGTTGTTTTTCTTCTTTTCCAAAAATAACCATGCAAGCCATGCAATATGACAATTGCTCATCAACCTCTTTTCATCACATTAGCCTTGTTTCCATTTTTTAGCACTGTCTGGCATTGATTATGTATGAATCTGCAGTGAGGTCTGAGTGTCCAAGAGGCAAGAAGATGACCCTGGCTTTTTGGTCTGCCTGTAATTTTCACTGTGTAAAGTTTAATCAAGATTCACTAAAGCTCTTCAAGTTAAACTATTTCATTGGTTTACATATTCAATCTCAACAACCATTAGATGAAACTCAAAAAAGAGCCAGCCTGCCACATGATCGTTTAGTATAGAAGAATTCTAGAAAGACAAAAATGTATCAAGAAATATCTTGGGAGATGATGGGATAGAAGTTCATTTTTTTTTTTGTCTTTAGACATAGTCTGTTTGGGGAAAAAAATACAAAATTCTCACTCTTGAGAATAAATACCAAATTTAAATGTTCAATAATTTGTCAGGGAAACAGCTCCAGACCTGTAAGGGTGGTGTAATGTGCTGTAATTCCGCTAGATGACAGCCAATTCAACAAATAAATCTGTTGACCAGCTGTTGAAGGGAATCCTGTCTTTGGTTGAGTGGGGCTGACCACTGCCAGCCGTTTCTCCCTCAAGTCAGTGATGCTGTTCCTTATCATCCTCTCCTACTTTGTCTTAAACGTCAGTGCTGTTTTCCCACTGCCCCCTTTTCCTCCAGCATCTTGGTATTTGAAGCTCCTGGTGTAGGCAGAAGTTTATCATATTGGGCTCTGAACTATGCTCTGCACTGTCTTTAATACTGTCAAGTTTTGCATTATTAGGAACTTTGATCAAGAAATCTTTCAAAGATGCTTAAGCCTTAGCTAGTATTTATTTTACAGGTTTGTGTGGTTTGGTTGTTTTTTTTTTCCATTACATACAGTCTAAGCATACTTATACAGCTAAAAATACTGAAGAAAACAGATTAAAAGTAATTGCTAGGAAGGTGTCCTTCTTTCTCTGTACATATGAAGCCTCATGTTTTTAATATTTTATTTATGCCATCTATATTTTGGCTGTAATATTGATTCAGTTTCATCTTCATACTCTTGACTGAATTCCAGCTGATCACAGATCAGCTGGTATGGCATGTAGCATAGTGCAATAGTAAATGAGATTTATTTTTATCTTTAATATCCTGACTTGTCACTTGCAGGAGAAGAAAGCTATATCAAATTTATAATTGAAGATTTCAAGATGCCTGTGTGATTCCTTATTAACCATTTTGCCAGATATTTACTTACAGTGTTGCTTTATAACAAAGAATAATCTGTATTTCATGTAAAAGATAACAAAAACTAGACCTTATAAAGTGTTACAAAATAATTTTAAAGCCAAAGCATTACTAGAGGCATTTTAAGGCTAAAGTAAGTAAGAGAGAGATTTCAAGGGAAGACGAATTAAATAAAAAGGACATACAGGAAAGGCTGTAGGAGGAATAATTTTTACTAACCTTTACATTTGTAATCAGTCATAGAACAAGATCAGTGCTTCGGGTACCCACAGGGTACGAACTTAGACTGCCCGAGCAGGATTAAGTTCATCCATTTGCTGTAATTGTAATGAAGAAATAATGTGACTTCATTGCTCAGGAAAATAGGGCCACCCTGCAGAAGTGTTCTTGCTGGTGTTACACTCATGGTGAGGCTCCTACCTGCAGATGCAAGACCACCTCTTTTCAAGTTAACATCTAGCATTTGGGCAAGGGTCATCACACCCAGTGTATCCATGTTGCTCCCTATCATAAGGCTTAAGAATTTTGTAGCCAGGATGTTTTTTCCAAGTTTATTAAAGATCATAATCTGATTCTATTACAAAATATTTGTATTATATTTTAGTTTATTTGTATTTTGTCATTTGTATTTTTTCAGGGATGTATTTCTGAGCTGTTTCCTTGAGCCTTCTTAGTTTTCAAGACTTGTCCAGATTCAATGAGTAGGCAGAGAGTGAGTTTTGTTTGTTTTCCCTTAGTGTTTCAGTGTGTATGTAGTGATGGTAACCATTTCTTCTCAGGAATGGCAGAGGGAGGCAGTCTCCAAATAATACAATGGTTTGGAATTTGGGGATTTTTTTTTTTTGTCATGCTATCAGAAATTTTCTGAGGAAATGAAGTTCCTCATAGAAACCAAATGAAAAGGGAAGTGGCAAATCTTAACATTCAAATTCTCCCTGTCTTAGCTGTATCTAATTAGAACTCCAGCAGATAAATCTCTATGTGGCTCAGGGTGATTCCATCCCAAATAACAGAGACTTGAAAAAAAAGGGGAAACAATGGAACTTAGAAATCGTTAAGCAGTTAAGGTATGTGGTGTGCTTTCAACTCCCGTAAGTAGTTGTCTGTGAGGCTGTGCAGTCTAATCAAACAATCCATTCTGAATTACATGTATATTTTAATGCCCTATTGTACATGATATCATTTTAATTTTAATGATCATTTAACGTTGGCAAAGCTTTGTCATTTAAAGATACATCTCTTCATGCTGAAGCATGGGCATTGCCCAGTTAAAGCAGAAGGTCTGCTGCTTACAAAACTGTAAGCTTTAACTTTAGGAAATAAAATTTAGGGGATGAAAAGAACATCACTATGTGATTGAATAAATCCATGGTACTCCTCTGTTATTAATATTGTCTGTCTCATCTCTTCCCTTCTCCTTGAAGAGGATCAGTAGAATTTTAAATGTTTTGGAGACGGGTGATAATGACAATGGAAGGAAGAGAAGGGCTTTCATGCCAGTGACAGCAGGTAGATTGGCTTCTTTAGCCTAAAAAAGGATTAGCAAATGAAGATACAATGTTAGAAAGAAAAATAGTGGCATAGAAAGGCTGTGGTTATTCAGTGACCTATCCAGTAAAAGAGCTAAGTGGCATCAAGGAGACAGATTCAAAACAAACTAAAAGCACTGGGTACGCATGTTGCACAGACGTAAGGTGAAAATCTCCATTCCCCAGGATTTTGCAGGTACTGGTAATTTTGCCTGAGTTCAAGGGGAGAGGGTATGAGTCCACAGAAGCATCAGCACAATGTGACTGGTGGATTCTTCTGTCCCTCCTTAGGCATTCAGTGTTGGCTGGGTATGCAAAGCTAGATCAGCTTTTGGTCTGAGTAGATACTGCCATTCTGATGTTCCAACTACACTACACAATTTTTCTAACATTCAGTCTGAAATGCCAAGTCAGTTGACTTGTTTGAAAACAAGATTTTAGGGTTTGTTTTGTCTTTTGTGTTTTTTAAGATTTGTGCACAGAAGGGGATAGCATAAAGTTGTAGATAAATATCCTGAGGTTTAGATTGGATATTAGGAAAACTTTTTCTACCTAAAGGATTGTCAAGCATTGGAACAAGCTGCCCAGGGAACTGGTTGAGCCAACATCCCTGAAGGCATTTAAATGACATGCAGATGTGGTGCTTAGAGACATGGTTTAGTGGTGGACCTTGGTAGTGCTGGGTTATCATAAAATCAGTATTTTTGTGTCATCTTAAGTAGGCTGGTTGATGCAGCTTCATGAGTGGAGCTGCATCTCTTCTTGATCAGAATGAAATCTTATTACATTTTGCAACTGTCACCTCGAAAGACTCCATGCAGCTTACTGTCACCTATGTGAATTCTCCACTGACTTGTGTATGAATATTACTGTTAGCTACAGAGATACTGAAGGAAAGTTGCTGGCATTAGTCTTGGGAATCTGAGTTCAGACTTTTATTATTATTACTGTCCTGAAGCTGTTTCACAAGACAGTTCTCAGCCTGAATTGGCACAGCTTCCAAAACAGACTTGTAATTCTCTTCCATTGCAATTCTGTGTTGGATCAAGGGTATTATTCTCAGTTCTACAGTTTGAAAACATCCATATTTTTTCTGAAAACTTAGAAATCCTACCAACTTTCATTTCTATTCAAATTAGGCTATTTATCAGATACTGCAGAAATACAGATTTTCAGATTTGCTTTTTGAACTTTAAGTATCCAATTTTGTGTAAGCTGAATTTTAAATCTAATTATGTAGTAGGTAATTGAAGAATATCTTTTGTTACAGCCTATCCCCTTCCATCTTAAAAAGGAGCTGAGACTAGTGTTCATCACACTAGCTAAGGCTAATTGCTGTCCTCTGTCTCAGCTGTCTATAGCTGTGTCTTCAGATAATATTAGAAACTTTTAGGATTCAGAAAATTGTTTTTGTTTTCTCCCTGTGCAGAAAATTGGAATCTTGGTGAGGACTATTTTGTACTACCCTACTGGGAGGAAGTGTATTTTTTGACTGGTGTGAACTGTATGTTTCACATAACAAGTATTGACAAAAATGCCTACACCCATGAAGTTCTTGGTGTTTGGCATTGTTCTGCTTAGAGTTTCTGCCACTGTGCTTTCCCTCTGTCTGAATCCTTCCAATATGTTTAGAGGAACAAATAAAGTAGCAGCAGCCACAAACATAAAATGCATATGCTAAAATATTCAGTAGTTCTGTACCGATGAAAAATTGCTCTCTATTGATAAATGTGTATACATGTTTATGTACAGTATTTCAGAGTTTATTTCTTGGCCTCTGTGATGTTTACAGTTGTTTCACAATATTTTGACTCTTCCAGGAGGGATCATGAAATTGCTTTTTTTTCCGTAAGCAAATAGAGCTGCTGAAATCTCTCCAAAAGTCAAAATGTTCCCAAAGGAACTCCTAACAGCAGTGAAGAAAGTCATAAACTTGCCTGTTAAAGTTTCACTACCTTTATAGACAAGTGACTTTTCAAAAGGTGGATACATACAGCACAACATTTTTGTATCTATTTTCTCACAACAATTATAACAAGAAATTATATTTTTCTTAACCATCAGCTTTCTGGCTTTGGAATGCAAAATTGGTTGGTTTTTTTTGAGAAATCCAGTATATACTATTGAAATAGTCCCAAAATTTCTTTTCAATTTTATTAGAGTTTTAATTTTGTTTGTCCTTGGCTTATAATGGCTCTCTTTTAAAAGAGAAAGCTCTCCCATATGTTGTGCGAAAGGCTGAATTGGAACTAGATGATCTTAAGGTCCTTTCCAGCCCTAACCATTCTATGATTCTGTGATATATAGACTGACAAACTTGAGGTGGGTTCTGCAACTTTGGATTTTATAATGATTTTGTCCTACAGCAGAATACAATGTTCTCTGTGTGATAGTTATTGTGCATAATAATTAACCTAGAAAGACCTGCTGGTGTCAGGTGAGCGCTTGCAGAAGTTGACAGTCTTTCTCTCAGAATTTTGAACTAAAATACTGTGATACTGATTTTTCCATTAATTTCACATACAGTCAACTTCAGTGAACTTGTGCAGGAATTCTTAAATTCCTCCATGTATGCTCCATCTCCACTTTCTGCTGTGCTTTGCTGTACAAATGCTGTATGGCTCCCCTATCTCGCTATGTCATGGCAAGGTTTCTGTGTGCTTCAGAAGTCCTCCTCCCCTGTCTTTCCTCTGTAAAATGCTTACTGTCTTTAGTCATCCCATATCACTTATATCTTTCTCCTGTAAAGTTTTTGTCTTGTTTCACTATGCATTCATGCAAAAGGTCAATATTTTAAACTCTTTGAATATACAAAACTCTTAAGATACCATTATGCCAGAAGACCTTTTTGTCAGAATAATTATTTTTAACCAGTATTTTTCTACCTCCTATTCTCAGATTTTACATTATATTTTTCCATTTTGTATGGTTTCAGGGTTTATTTGTTGTGTTTGGTTTTGTCATCTGGTGTGGCGTTTTTTTAGGTATGGCCATGAAATCACTTGCAGACATGAATAACTGTAATGATTTTACTCACACACTTGTAACTTTACTTACAAGTTGGACCTGTTCTTGTCCTCAATATCAACATGTTCTGTGAAGGAGTTCCTTTTCCACGTAATTACCCCCTGCAACATCAAGGGACACCATGAAGGGTGGGCTTATGTTGGATGGAGAGGGAAGGGAGGAACAGATTTTATGGAAATGACAGGGAAAATTTCATAGTGGTTATAACTAGAGGAGTCCCATCCACTTGGAGTTTTCCTTTATAAGGACCTGCCTGAGAGCAGTGGCTGGGCTGCTTGGTTTGGCAGATTTTCAAAACTTAGTTGGTCAAATCCCTAAGCAAGTCAATTTAGTTTTGAAGTTAGCTCTGCTTTGAGTAGAAGACTGTGCTAGGTGACCCCAGAGGCGTTTTCCAGCCTAAACCTATCATTCAGTTGCTGTTCTTTAAGAAATACTGTTTGGCATGTTGTCTAGCATTTATGTGACAGTGACATAGCTAACTATTAGAGGATTTTTAAAAACACTCAAGCTACAGAGTGGTAGTGCACCCTTTTACAAGTCTTTCATGAAGCTGTAACTGTAGACCTGCCTAGTTTGCTCATGTTGTGACTCTTGTTGAACAGGGGTCTCACATGTCAATTTTGTGTTCTTTACACATTTATCTTGCACAGTTATATACATATATCTAAGGATATAATCAACTGTATTTTGCTGGTTTTGTTACTTCCTAGAACTTCAAATCATGAGTGAGGCTGGTGAAGAAAGTTCTAGTTCCAGTGGCACAGAATCGGCAATCGAGGAGCAATCCATCTGTGGTATAGTTCCAACAGTTTACAGCCAAGATGAGGGGTCCACTGATGTAACAGCAAGTCCTGCATTTCAGTGTTTAGATGAGGTACCATATACCCCAGTTTTCTCTATCTATAACTGCATATAGTGTCCAAATCAATTAATCTAAAATGTATATTTTAGTGTTAGTAATTGTAGGTTGTTACCATCGGTTCTCTGTAGCTTCCCTATCTTTTCTCTTATTTTTCTTTTTTTTTTAAATGGTAAGAACATTTTGTGAAGCAGAAACGTACATGGGGCGTATTCTTGTTGAGAATGGTGTGCTGAAGAGATAGCCATGTTGTTTTTCAGTTATTGTGGCCTTAAGGGGAATGAAAACAGAGAGGTCTAGGTTTTGTGGTGTTTTAGCTCAAGAGGTAATTGTATCATGAGTTTTAGAAAGACTCAATAGGTGCAGGAAAAATCCATGATAAGTGGCCCTTGAGGCACTAACTGATGATGTTAGAAGGACCCTTTTGGAGCTCAGTTCCTTTTGAAGAATTTTCTATGTTAAGGGAACTTTTAGAATACTAAAAGTATTTTAGAATTTAAGATTTCAAATACATATCAAATGAAATCATTAGCAGTGTAATGCCAGAAGAGACAGTAGGAGATCATCTAATCCAAAATTTACACTGAAGTAGATTCTCTGCAGATGCTTGTCTAATCTGTTCTTTAAAACCATAACTGATGGAGACAGCTCTTTGGGTATCATTTTCCAGCTTTTCATCAAAGCTGAAGTTTTAAAAAAATAGAAGTTTTTCCTGACTCCCAGTTTAAATTTCCTTTGGAGTGAATAATGCAGCTTTCTTCTTGCCTTTCCCACGGTGACAATGGACAGCAATCAAGTTCTGCCCTTTGTATAATAAAAATGTGCATCTCTCTTACATCCTAAACAGGCTTTGTTTATACTTCATGTTTTTCTTAAAGTTCCTACTTCAAGTTGCTTTACCTTGGGCTCTTTCCATCTTGGATCTGTCAGATTGGTCTGCTAGCCCAGCTTTCTCTCTCTGCCTTAGACTTCAAGTCAGTAGAAAGGAAAGGGCAAGAGTTTATAGTGAAGAGGAAAATAGGACTGCCCCTTTCCTATCCTGCTATCGAATCATACTGAACATAGCATGAAGCTGCAAAATCTCTCTCTAACCTCTTGTGCATTCAGTATACAGGAGGGAGAGATTTTCAGTTTCAACCCCATACCAGTATATGGTGAGTCCACAGCTTCCAGTATTGTTGTAGCACAAAACCCTTTTCTTCTCAGTCCAGGGCAGCTGCAAAAGTCCAGGGTAGCTCAACTCTCAAAGAGGCTTGACCTTTCACCTTAAAGAAACCTCGTGACTACTGAAAGTATGGAAACTGCACTTTGGGGAGTACTTTTATTTTCCAGCTACTCCCAATACTTCTGTACATTTTCAGTTGTAGTAGAATATTTGTTATGTCAACAAGAAGCATATGCCTAGTACAAGAAATCTTTACTCCCCTCACCCTTCCCCAAATAAAATAAAACTACATGATACAACATTCTAAAATACATTCTACATTTTTGCCCTGTTTTCCTTATTTTTAATTAGTGAAAACTTTTTTTTTTTTCCTATACTTACCCTAGAAAATGATCAGTTCACTTGGCTGTTTTTCTTTTTCCCCTCCAAAAAACCTTTCAAAGAGGTTATTCTGCATGTCAAATTTAAGGTAAATTTATTCAACTCTGATAATATTCTAAGCCATTACTGGGAAATAGAGGGTAACATTAGTATTAGATGTTGTTCCCAACTCAGGAAAAAAATCATGCAGTGAAAAACCAAAGTAAGCAATTTGCATAGATTTCATAAAGTGTGTCTTCTGGTCATTTTGTCAATTTTTAAATGGGAACTATGACTCATTCTTACCATAATTTTTAACAGTTCATACTTGTGCTTTATGGTTTTTCATTTGGCTTTTCATCACTTATTCACATTTCTTCTCTTCCACTGACATGTTTGCTTCCTTTGTTGAACTTTATACATAATCCAGAGATAAATACATGGCTTTGGTCACTGTAGAGGTTCATGCAATGACACTGGCTTTAGCTTCTTGGAATAGCTTTTAGAATTTTTTCACAGGAGCACAATTGTATCATATTATCTCTGGTTTACTAGCTGGTCATCTATGCCTGCCAGCAGCAAACACTTATCAGAAAGAACACCTTTTGATATTATAAGACTTATTTCAGAACAGATTTATCCTTTCTAGCAGTAAACTTTCCAGTCAAACCAGTCTCGTTTTTCTCATGCAAACAGCAGGTAGTCAAACATATAAATAGCAAGAAATCAAACATGCACTCTCTCTCCTTCATTTTTAATAACAAATAGTAATGTTGTTTAGCCATGGGGGTTAGGTAAAAATATGAAAAACTGGACAGAGGTTTGAACAAAAGTTCAAATTGTTCTTCCCTTTCCTTCACATGATTCAGGCTTTCCCATTTTAATGGGAACATAAATTACTAAAACAACAGTTGTATACTGATGCTGTTGATGCTTCATTTATAATCTATTATAGTCTTCAAATCCTTTTCTGTTGTTTAATTTTTGTTTTGCTACCCAAATCACAATCCCAGACACAAAAAGACCCCTACTCTATACATCTTTCCAACTTGATAGTGAATCACTGACAGCTACACTCCAGTTTTCAATCCACTTGATCTTTGCAAAATCTTGAAGATTTGATGAAGTTGATGACTTGCTCACAAGTCATCGTTCATCTTTCTGATTCTAGAGATTATCCAAAAACTAGTATTCATCAGACTTTTTTTTTTTTTTTGTCAGTTAGAAGGAGTAATCATTCATGGAGTCTAGTATCTTTTCATTCTGTATGGTTAATTCTGGTTATTTATAAATTAGGTAGAAGCTCTTCTTTCCATGAAAAATGGAAAGGAGAAATTGAATGGTGGGAGGTCTTTTTTCAGTTAGTATTGGATTAGCAATTCTTGTTAGGCTTTACTCAAGACGGATGTCTCTGAGCTTCTCTATGCTGTGCTTTTTCTTTCTCTTCTTTTCATTGGTATGTTCTTGGGTTAGAGAGTTAGTTCACTCAGATGTATATGTCTATTTTTAATGCAATACCAGGAAAACGATTTTGCAACGTTTATTTTGTTTGTCTTTGTGGTGGGTGCTATGAGGGAGATATTTATTCTGTAGAGTACTTGTGAATAAAAAGTGCTTTATTATTTACCATATTTAGTGAGAGGGTACCTTGTTTGGAAGGTACCACAATAACCCCTTTCTGCTAATGAACATCATCTGTTCATGTGCTAAATCTAAACTTGCAGGAGAATAAATTCCTTTGGGAGATCTCTCTGATTTGCCTAATGCAGACTGTTGCACTCTGTATCCTAGAAAGATAAAATGGACTGTGTTCACTGTCTACTACCAGCAACTACAACTTCCATTTGTGCTGCTTTTTTTGTGATGAAAATTGTCACTATCATTCTATTTTTCTTTTTGCTGGTGTCCAAGCAACCTATTGCCACCATCCATTGGGAAGCAGAAAGAACTTTTCATTAAGATTTTTCATTACTATTTCAAAAATTGGAGTCTTTCTGAGATTGATGAACTTCTTACTTCTGACAGCTGAAAAGATGTCAACCAAAATTCTGGTTCTACTGGAAACACACAGCAAAGTCTCCATGTTTACCAAAAAATGAACAGTACAGTAACAGAGACTTCTCAAGCAAATACTGCTTCTGCTGATCTGATGCTGATTCATGGGGATCTGCTAGCTGTAAGAGCTTTAAACTCATGGAACGATGCACATCTTCAATGTTTGAATGTGGCTTAAGGGGGGGAAGGTACTTTTAATTTTTCTTTATTTTCTTATTTGTGCTGCAGGAAAGAAAAGAAAGTCACATAAAGGTTGGCTACAACTTTCAAATATAAATATTAAGAATCACTATTTCATGTATTTCTTCAATGACATTCCAATGTCTAACAATGCCAGTCTAGAAAATACAGCCTTTCCCAAATTGTTTTTCTAGCAAATGGGTTTTTAATTCTTGCCTAGCTTAGGTTAAATGGTAGGTGTAAGCAACTACCATTTTTAGAAATGTTGATGGATCTTTACATGAAAAATTTCCTAGAAAAGCTAGCTTGGCCTGCTCAGAAATTTTATGGGTTTTATATGAGCACCAATTTCATTTCTGTTCACCTACACATACTGTAGTGTGCTTTCTACCCTTATAAAATATATTACACTTTATATCAACTATGTATTTGTGCATGGTAACCATAGCAGTGGATAATTTGTTTCAGTACTCTCCAAACATGTATGCTTTATCAAAGTTGTAAAACTCTTAACACAGCTCTTGAATGCAAACAACATTTTCAAACTTAAGCTGATCCTGGCACACTCCACGTTATGTGCTTCAAAGGCTCCTGGCACAACAAAAAAGCTGTATAAATATGTTGGCACAGAGAGCAAAGGCAGATGTTGCCACCACCTCCACCCGTAGGAATCTGACTGTTACTTCAATAAACCTCTTTTAGCTTTGTTTATATGGTCACTTGGGGAGTCAGCTAGGGATGATAATGTGTCTGTAAACTAGACCGCAGTTTTGCAGCAACTTTCAGCAAGCAAGCAATAGTTTGCACAGTGAACGTTAAACGGATCAGTGGTCATGATCGGAAAGTTGGTGCAATTGGTGGTAATGCCTATAAAAAGCTGTAGAGGAGTGGGGTGAATTTACAGGTGCCTTTAAACAGCAGGAGTAGACACAAAGCCAGTGTAATATGCTCTTCCTATCGAGAGATTCTTTTCACCACTTGCAGGTGACATTGTGAGGAAAAAAGACCAGGAAGCTGTTGAATGTGTTCAGATTGTTCTGAAAAGCATGTTTGAAAGCATTTATGTTGTATTCACTTATTCAAAAACACCTGTGTCCAAATACTAAATGAACAGAGTCTTAAAGATCTGCATGAGAAAGGGTGCTTATCATTGGGTTTTGTAAATAGAGGTCAGCTGTAGGGGTAAGCAGAGGAGCTTTTATACACTATCCAAAGAAAGAAGTGAGGATTTCTGTTTCTGAAAGTGGATCCTACTTCTCCATAAATGTCATTGACTCCATATAATTGCTTAAAACTGTGTAAAACACACTTAACTTTCTACTATGCAATTCTAAATGTTGGTCTACTATTTCAGTAGAAGTGAAATAAATATTAATTAGACTTAGAGTTTGTCTTGAACACGTGAACATAATTAGGTTCCAGCTATTATTTTCCAAACAGAGCCTTCTTTTACTGAGTTTAGAAAGATTTGATGAACAAGGACTCAAGACCAATTCATACCCTGTTCTTGTGACTTGTATGGGGGTTGGATTTGACACATCATTTTAAACCATTGTTTTCTGTTTCTGGTTCCCCTTGAGGGTGACAGCCAAATTAACTTCTGGCACAAGTATTATAACTCCATAAACATTTCATTAAAGCTGTGAATGAAAGAGAGCAGTTTAGTAAGTGGAATGTTTGTTTTTAGCAGGGTCTGTGGATGGTACCACTCAGCCATTTGTCTTTGAAACTTATGTCAGTATCTTCAGGCCCATATAGACCATCTTATTTTTCTCTTATTTCCTGTAAAAAAAAAACCAAACCACAGAACACATTTATAAAAATATATTTAAAATCTCTTTTTTGTTATGCCAATGTTTAATTTTTACCTCATCTTCTTTTTCTATGAGAAGTTAAAAGTCACATCCTTCCTGTTGATGTTCATATGACATATAAGTCTTAGAAGCTAAGTAAATTTGGCAGTTTTTTCTTTGTTGGATTTTGGTTTAAGGTATAAACATGGTATCCTAGGTATGGATTAATTTCCTTTGAAAATAATCACATAAATGCAAGTTTATTTTCCACCAAATTTTCAAACTACCTACTGTTTTTAATTCACTCTGAGTTTGACTGCAGTGTTCCCCCCAAAAACACCATTAAGGAAACAGATAATTGCAAAAAAAAAAAAAAAAGGAAGAAAATAAAAATAAAAATCACTGCTAAACCTTATTTTTGTTTCTTCTCCTCTTTTTTTTTTTTTTTCCATGTAGGTTTGGTTTTTTCTCCTTCCTTTTTGTTTAAGCAATGCATAGAAAGCCAAGACATTACAGTCTGCTTGGCTGATCAAATTGAACAGATGGGTTTGTGCCTTTATTTTTTGGAAACAACCCGTAAGAATTTTGCTAGCAAACCTGCTGCTAGTAATCTTCTTCGCTAAAATTCCCAATTTAAATATTAGCAGTATCAAACCCACAAGCGTTTTCATATGATAATCAGTGTTATATAGATGTTTTCTGTAAATTGAAAGACACGTTTTGAATTAGTAAGCCTTAAGCAGAGACCAAGTGCTTTTGCTTCTAAAAAAATTGTTTGCTTTAACTTGGGGTATTATTTCTATTCACATGCTTTGATGAAACTGGCATGTGATCTGAATGGTTGTAACACACACAAAAAAAAAAAAACAGATTAGGTTGCTTCTTCTCATTCACATTAAAGATACAGGTTGTGTGAACTCCTGAGTGGCCAATTACCTTTCTCTTTCCAAATAGTTTCAAAAAGATGTCTGAGATTCCAGCCTTTGGTGTTATCTGACAGCTGAAGTGTCATAAAATGGATCTCTTGGTAACACAGTAGTAATTGCTCTCCTGGTATGTCAGTACAATTGTCTTTGTTGGTCACCTGAAGTTATCTGTGTTTTCTTAGTGCTTCAATTTTTTTACAGAAAATTATTTTAAAAAATTATGAGTTGTTTTTTTTCCTAGTCCCTGTAAACATCTACGACAGCAGCACAGCTTTAACAGTGTGACTTAATTTTATTGCACCAAGGAAGAACAAAAATAATGTTTGCAACAAGTAGATGGAGTTACACTTGTAAAACTGTGTACATATTGTAAAACTAGTACATATTGATGGTAATTCAGCTACAACAGTTCCAGGCAGGCAATATTCAGGTTTGTGTAACAGCATAACACTTTTTTCTTTTATTTTTTTATCTTTTTTTTTTTTAAAGCCATTTGACAAGGCTTTTGTAGGTGATATTAGTCACATTTGCTTATTCTGTTAAAATTTCTGTGTTTTACAAAGTTTTCTTTAAACAGGATTATAAAAGAACAGTTTCTCTTCTAACAGTTTATCAGGAAAAAGACATTTTCAAGTATAAGCTTGTAGATAGTCATATAGCTTGTAGATAAGTCATACTTAGTTACCATATAAAGAATAGGAGCAAATTGTGCATTTCATGCAAAATTATTAAGTATAATCATGTGCAATTAGATATTTGCTCTTCTAATCAATACTTCATAAATTGTTTTTTTTTAGTTTGTTCAGACAATTCTTTTTTATTCCAAAATAAAAATTCTATAGCTTTGAAACATATTCTCAAGCAAAGATTATGCATCTTGCAATTAGAACTTTCCATTGCTCTTTCAAACTGAAATATAATAAACCAAATTTCACTTCATACTGAAATATCCTTCAAAGTATTTACTTCCTTAAAATGTATATATTAATATTTTACAATTTATCAACTGCCACCATTGCTAATTTGCATACTTGTAACCATAGTAGTTCTTGTTATAATCTTAAAAAACAATAAAGGTTGTATTTGTAAAGTATTAGGTTAGAAGTATACTTATATTTTTCTTGTTATGTCTCTTTGAATCAAAAAGGCTATGCCAGCAAAGACCAATCTGATAAAGAAATACCGTCTTAGCATCATTTATCTGCATCTCAAGATTGGCATAAGCAAAATAACAAAATAGCCTCTTGCTAAGATAATTGCATCTCCATTTAGAATGTTAGTCACTGTAATTATAAAGCCACGTCTTTTCTAGGGTAGGCAATAGATAGGTGTCAAATTTGTAATTAATATCCACAACATGAGCTTTAATAACAGTATTTCTAATTTGCACTTCCTGAAGTATTTAAAAATTAGATTGTTTCATCAGTCATATTTAGAAGAAAAAGGCTTTCACATGTTGTCTTTTCTGTTTATAATAGCCAGTGGGTTGTTCATGTTTCTGTGGCTACAAAAGGGATACTCAGAAAATGAGGAGAATGCAATGTTTTCATACGTAACAAAATATTTGTAATCTTTCTTATAATATTACAGTCTAATGCACGTTGAGTGAGAAATACTTGAATGAGAGCTTGAGTCTCTACAGGAATCATCTTGTAACATTTGGCAAACCTAAAAGATTCAGGAGAAAGAAAAATGGTGCAGGAAACTCTTTTTGTATGTATTTAGAGGCATTAATACTAAGACCTGGATTCTTCTTGATGTGTCTTCTTCCTACCTGTCTACCTGCCTATATAAACGTGCAATAAGCTACATACCAGCTCCTTTCTCCCACAAATGACAAACACGACCTTGAGCTTGAACGGAGGAAACAAAGTAAGCAAGAATGTTTTCTTTCATTGCATGTTCCCCGTATTATTTCCACTGCTTTTATTCATTTCTTCCACCAACTTCTTTGAATAATGTTTGATAAAAGGGATAAGATTTGAGGAATCATCTTAATTTCCTAAGTTTTCTTCAAGACTTTGTTGCATGTGTGTGTGTGTCTTTGGGCAAACCATGCAGTCCTCTATTTTCTAGTCCTTTAAAAATAAGAATTGATAGTATTTTTCCTAATTTATATTGGTATTGCCATGGTATACCTTTGAAGTTGGGAAGGACAGGTAATTGATAGAAAAATTCAGGCCGTTCCAGGGAGACTAATTTACATTATAAGCGTGGACAAATCTATATGTTTATCTGTTATCAGTCATACCTCCTGAGTTATTTTCAGGTTAAAATGTAGGTATTCATTCAGACACAATTTCTGGAAGACCACTTAAAAGTTTAAAGCATAAAATGTATATCACAGTCAGTAAAAGCACCAAAAAAAAAAAATGTTTATACTATTTACATAACGATACCAAGACTTAACCCATGCTGTTTTAGCAATAACTATTCAGACACATTCATGCCGGTTTTAAAACATTATATGGGTCAAACCATCTTTAAAAAATTACATGGAAATATGTTGTTTCTCTAGAACTGTTTTATGCCAAACATAACTGAATACTTGAATTCTGAGTATCATACTGAATAAGTACAATTTTGAGTGCAATCCAATGCAAACTAGTTAAGAAAAGGGCGCAGAATTACTGCACAAAACTTTTGGGTCTGATCATGATTTTTACTGATTTAAAAGCTTGCCTATAACCGCTGGGAATATCATTAGAAATACCATGCCATGTGCCCCAGAAAATGCCATTGCGAACACCTTTGTATTGCTTGTGGTAATACTTGCCATTGAGGTTGGCAGACAAGCATGCATCAAACCACCAGCCAGAGCTGTAGTATGCTCCACAGTTTCCTGAAGGATACCTATCGTTGTCCCTGTCTGGAGTTGTAAAGAACTTTTGATCGTGGTTGTAATGCCTGCTGTAGTGAAGGGCATCTCCTGCTGTGCCACTATAGCCATGAACACTTAGACGGTACTTGAGATACTCATTGGCCACATAGAAGTGTTCATATTTTGCATACTCTCTGATGCCATTGAAATCTTCGAGTTCAATTCTCAGTTGCATTTCCTGGCTCTTTGTCAGGAGGTGAATTTTGTCATTCCCCAGCCAAAACTCCCTGCTGAGGTTTCCAAAGCCATTTTTATAGTCGTTCCAGGTTCTGTTAAAGTTAGTGCTACCATCCTGACGCTGCTGCAGCACTGTCCAGCCACCTCCATGTGACTGCATGTCACAGTAAACTTCAAAGCTGTTGTTTCTGGGGTCAGGGCTAATCCTGTAGATTCCGTTAGTCCTTCTGCCTGCTGTGTAATGATCAGCACAGTCTCTCTGCATTATTTGTATAACTGGTGGAAGAACAGATAGTGTTAGAATAAACATCATTTTGATAAAAATTTTGATATCATTTTGATAAAAAAGCCCAATATTTTTGCCTAGACTGATGTGGCCTACAGAACTTGGGTTGAAGAGACATCTACATAGAAAATAGTGTTACTACAATTTCAGTTCTAGGGAGAAACAGTTTTTTTCATAATACCTGCCACCTAGGATCTCTGCATCAGATAGCTGTGCAAAACAACCATTACTTTTTTTGTATAAAACCTGCATAATATGATGGCATTTTGATTGTCTGTTTTCCCTTCTGTCCTTTTCTCTACTCTTTATCCTTTCATTGCCTTCTGTAAATTCAGCCTAATTTCTTCAGTCTGTATTTCTAATGCTTCATGGTCACAAACTTGCTGCTTTTTTGTATTTATAGGTATACCACACCCCGTCTACAGTTTAAATCTTCATCTGGCAGTATGTCAGAGAAAAAGCTTTGTCCATATGGGAATGACTTCAACCTGGCTATTGTTCAATGAAAATAATTTGATACAGAACATAACATCATTAGGAATGTTTCACGTGTTAATGTTGACTGCATTTCAGGAAACAGACAAAAGAGTAATAAAATTGTCCCATTTATTGTAGTAGTACTGTGATTCCTGGAAAGATGAAGCTAGAAAAGTGACAGTGCTTTCCTGTTTATTTGGCATTGCTGGCTTTACAATAAGGAAAAGTTTTAGCATCTACCATTAACACAGCTTTTTCCCACCAGTGGGTGATATATTTTATTCAGTAGAAAAATACCCCCAGGTCTTTCCTGCAGGGTCAAAAAACCATGTTTTATCCACAGTTTCATCCAGTAATAACATTGTGTTCAACAGCATGGCATTATAATTACATATTCTTAAGCAAGTGATAGAGAGAGCTCTCAGAAGTTCCTAGTTAAGACTCAAAACCATAATGTTTACTCCTATTGCAGGTTTGAATTTATGGGCTTGTTCATTTACAGGCTTCAATTGCATATTTTTCCTAGAAAATTTAATTTACTTCTTGAAAGGGAGGAGTGTTCTCAGGCTGCAGCAGGGAATGAGACTTGGGACTTCTTGTTTGCCAGTACAGAAAACTGGACATTTACAACAGCACAGAGTATAGGAGCCAAAGGCTTAAAACCCAGAACTAAATCCACAATACATTCTCATTTATTTCACTCAACTTTGTGTAAGATATTTTGTGGACTATGTTTTGAGAAGATACCGATAGAGAATATATGTTTTAGAAATAAATGCTTTTATAACCTGATTCAATTCCTATTTCAATAAAGTTTTGCTCTTGTTTTCAGTGGATGCAGGAGTAGCTCCTGTATAAAAATAAGTTGCAGCTATTATCCTTGCTAGTTTTCATAATTTATATATTGCTGCTACAAACACTTTTATCAACACCTACTATAAAATATAAGGAATATCTGCATGATCATATGCTGTGAACAGTACCCAACATTTCAGTAAGTGTGAGAAATACCTAAAATTAGTCTGTTATGAAGTACCTTATTTGAATCTGATTAATTGCCCATTACCACTATACCAAGTTACTCATTCTTTTTGTGAATGCTTTATATGTGAATTAAAGTAATTCATTTGTACTTATTTATATCTGATTGTAATAGAAGCATTACTTTTATTATTATTATTCATTTGTTCTTTTCAAACTTTCAAGGATTTCAGCTGTACATGGACTGCACCATCTGCAGATCCTTCAGTTTTCAATATGGATGGACAGAAGAACAGTTATATTTTAAACTTGAATACTAAGTAATAGAAGTTTAAAAACTACAATGCAGCCTGCTCTTTCTCTGCTTTGTCTCTAGAGAGCCTATCTTTGTATGTATGATGTCTGAGTGGCTGAATACACTGACAATCTAGGGAATAGTTCTTGTTTTCAGAGATTCTTACATGTGATACAACTTCACAACATTAAACCCCCCTCAATCTTCCTCTAATAAAAATCAATATTAGAAAGAAATTCTTAGTTCTATTTCTCAATTTTAATTAGGACAATTGAAAAGTAAAAGAAAAAAGTGTCAGTGCTAATACCTGTTTTCTGTTTTATATTGCTTATATATTAGATTAATGCTAAGATTTTTGTATTAAATTCATGGTACATATGTTACCCACTTGAGAAATACAGTTAATAAACTTCTTTAGCTGAGCCTTTCATATATGTGCTGTGATGACAGAAGATTTATTTTATTACCCATCTGTCAAAAAGATTCACTTGATGTTTCATAATGTCTTGCAGACCTTTTCAGAATAGCTGTAGTTTCACGTTGAAAAAAAACCCATGCAGTTTTTAAGGCACACCTAGAGAAAATTTACCCTTCTCATCCAAGGAGAAAATAACAGTTTAATATCCTTGATGTAGTAAAACGAAATTAAATTTTCAGATTTATTGATTGAATTGACAAAAAAAAGTCCTTCAAAAATTCACTTTTTATATTCCATAATAGTCCTATTCTAGGAGGAGCTAAACACCTGCAGCTCTCAGTAACCCTCTAGTGGCAGCTGAAACGTTTTACAGGAGTATAAACGCTAAAAGAGCAAAATACTTGTGAAGTTAACACAGCGATTTGATTATATTTTAAGTTGTTTACCCAATCTTTGTAAAATGCACAGAAAGCTTATTGAGGCAGCAAGAATTAACAGGTTACATACCAGGTCTTGGCTGCATTGCTGGACACTTAGAAGCACATTTGTTATCAAGGCTGTTCACAACAAATGTCAAATTTGCAACTTTGCTGTCAACATAATGTTCTACATTGTTCATATTTATGAGGCTTATCTTCTCTAACCGACCCTGCAGTGTCTGAATCTGGCTCTTTGCATTTTTTAAGCTGGTTGCCATTCTGTTAACTTTGCTCTGCAGTTCATTAACTCTGTTATCTTGGATTTTGCTGTTTTCTGATGGAGTTTCTGCGTTAGGTAGCAGGAATTCATTACTACTGTCTCTTTCTTGGTTGTCATCTGCCTGCAGCTTGCAATCTTGGCAGCATTTCTTCAGCTTGTTTACTGCTTCCTTAAGGGTCTGTACTTCTTTGAGAGTCTTCTCAAGCAGTCTGAATTCTTTAGGTAACTGGATGGTCATTGGAGGCAGATTTATCTGATAGGGACAATCCTCTCCATCATCACATTTCCGATTAGTTTTGAGCTTTACAGGACAAGTCTCAGTAACTTTCCCTTCTTTAGCATCCTCTTCATTTTCTAAAACAGCTGCAAAGACATTTGTTAAAGCAAGGAGAGCTGTCTTCAGCAAGACTAAGTAAATGAGCAGCTTCATCTTCACAGCGAAACCAGCAGTATGAGGAAGTATGTGAAAGTGGAACAACTTTATAAGGGCAGCTTGAAGCCTGTGAGTTATCAGACAGCCTACACTGTTCTCAGAAATGGGTGGGAGTGCTCGCATCACGAGTGATTAATAGCAGAGCAAAGTAGGTAGTGCTTGCAAGAATAGCACATTTCAGAAAGTATTCCTGACTCAGAACTAGTGTATGTAAGCAAAATGATGAAATGCATGTGTGCCGATCACTTATGCAGTTTACTTTCATTCCTTTTTGGACATGGATTTTCTTCTTTTTGGAAATAAGAATCACTTAATCTCTTAGCTCTGTGTTATAACAGTCTTCTAACATCTGTTTCTTAACATTTTAGTGTTCTAACGCTGCTTTCAAAACCAGACTATAGTTTTACCACAGCAGGTGGAAAAGGTGAAAAACAGCCCCTTTCCCAGTTTGAGGATCACAGCAATAGCTTCACTGACACTCAGTCCCCTTCTTCCTAAAACCTTTTTTTAACTGAGCGGATGGGTTCCTGAAAATTATTTGAATCCCAAAGCACGTTGAAACATATGGTTTTGGTTCCAAACATTTTTCAGGATAAAGACACAAACTAAGAAGGATGAGCAACACTTGGTTATTCCTATTTTGCCTGTCACTGCTTAAAATAGTTATCTGGACTATTCATGATTTGTATGGCACATCACAGTTACTATTCACTGTTACCTGATTCTGAGTGCTTACTACTGAACCTTTCTAAGTGAAGGGAAGGGAACATAAGATACTTCTGCCTCCACCCCTCCTTGGTCCGAGCTGTTGGACTGATTCTTCAGAAAACTGAAAGCAAATCCTGGTGTTCTGAATAATGTCCCAAGTTCTAAAACTAAAACAAGGCATAGAAGCATAGAATCAGCAACATTGGAAAAGACCTTGGGCCCATCAATTTTGGGGTATTCCCTTCTGTATTCCTGATTTTGGTTTGTACTCTTCTTTTTACTGTGCTCTGTATCACCTTTAAGAGTTAATAATGTACTTTGCATGACTAATCACACCAAACAAAATTACTTCAGCTCTAGGTGACAATTGCTATGTACTTTGTCATTTTTATTCTACAGCCACCTTTGCCATTCTCACGTGGTGCCTGTGCAGTTTTGGTGTTCTATGCCATTTTTCTTGTGCCCCAAAGCAAGGCTACATGGGTATGCCTTCAAGCATTCATAGCTCAGTCAAGAGCTAAATACCTTGCATGAGTAAAGGGTTTTTACACTAGTTCTTGTTTAATTAGTCCAATCTGAACAATATATTTCCCTAAACCTTAGTTGAAATTATTCATAATACAGATTAAACATTAAACAGGCATTAGTCACACACATTCTCTGTAAGTTCATGATCTCTGGGCTGTTACTAGCTTTCATATGTACCACAGGCTTATATTGACAGTATGGGAGGGAGACTTGGCAAAAACCCCCTATCTTTTTAACTTGCTACAACAATTCCTTCAGATTCTTGCATAGCACAATGGTCTGGGCACTTTCTTAGGAAATGGGTTTTAAATCTATCTTTCCCATACTCTAGATGAACATCCCAGAACGTGCTTTTAGTTTTGTGGCAAAACTGTCTATCTCTCCCTTTTGCATCATAGATAGTTCTCTATCAATGAGATGAAAGACACCCCGCTTGGGTGTAAGGTACTGAAATCACCTTGGTTTTGCTAGAAATGTATCAAAACTGAAATGTTCGTAGCAGAAGAAATGCATGATTTTAATTTGTGAGAAATATTTTAAGATTAGTAATTTGATTAATAGGATCGTAACTATTTTTCTAGGTATTTAACAGAGCCTTGTTCTCCTGTATGGCTGCTACTGTCAAACTGGGGAAAGCTGTACCAGCCTCTTTTGAGGGGCTTTAGAATTAAAATATAATTTCTAAATCCTTGTTATTTGGGAAGCCAAAATTCCCCCACCCTGTTCAGTTTACAATGAACTCTGCTGTCTGCTGTGGAACTTTGAACTGGACAAATTATTCTGTTTCTGTAAAATTAACAATAATTATCCTTGGTAGACCACATCTTGTGAATTGCCTTGACATGTTTAAATGCATCTCAAATATTGTTATTAATATATGACTGTTGTCATATATTCATCATTAGACCATAGTAACTTCAAGAAGGGCAGAAATTTCTAGTAATGTTGAATATTTTTTAAAAAAAAAAGGAAACTTCACATAGTAACATGAAGTATCTGAGCTTTTCAAACATCTTTGTCCTGAGACATTCATTCCTTGATCCCTTATATGCTTTCACTTTGGGATATTTGCTTCCTCCTTTGGATGAGATTTCTGTAATCTTGAGGTGCTCTGCTATCCTCTTGATTTTGTTATTAGGGTATCAGCAGTCTATTTGAGCCTAAAAACCCCATTTCTCCATCAGATACATATATGCTTCCCCTACCTGGAGAAGTCTTGTAATTGAGGACTGTTTTTTCTTCCTGTTCTGTCAGGGAATAACTATTCAAAACAATTTGTCAGGTCTCTCTTCTTCCTTCAGGTACTCAATCTAGTGTTCCACAGTTTTTTTCATGTTTTCATGCCTCTTTCCTTCCTTGGGATAAATGAAGCAAACTTTCAAAACTGAATTTTTCATACATCTTCTCCTAGAAAGGACATTGAGCAATCTTAAGTGCTAAAATGCCAATGCAACTTGATTAATGGCAGAAATATTGGACCCCATCAAAACTGAGAACTGCAGTTTATTTATAAATGAAGCTTCTTCCTAGATGGGGCTTTCCTAGATCCCTAGAGTATAATGTTTAAAACTTTACAGTAGTGGAACAATCACAAAATCCAAAAGCCAACCTTTTTTTCAACTGTGAAAGGATCTAACTGAGTAATGCTGATGACCTCAAGTAAGACTATTCTACCAAGGTCTTCTGTTTGGTTAAAGGTCATTTTTTTGTGGCTTTTCATCTCTCTTAATTTACTTTTTAGGAATCTTTTTCCTTCTATAGACTAAAGAGATATCCTAAACTTACAGGCATATCTTCCAAAAGATAAAGAAAATAACTAAGAGCTCATGATATTCTCAAATTCTACTGAAGATGTTCATTCTGTTCCCAGAAGTACCCAGTGGCTGCAAGGTTAAAGAAGTAATATAATTTGGTCCCCAGACTTGCCTGGGGACTGTTTATTTAAAGTTTATCAAAAGCAGCATGAAACAGTTCCCATGATCTTTTAGAGAAAGGGTGGGTTTTTTTTTCTGGAAGATAATGGAATGTAGGTCAAATAGAACACAGCAAAGACTGTAGGCAGATGTTAATTTAACTAGTGACTGTGGCAATTTAAAACATGACAGCTTGCCATCTGTTTGGTTTCTGGCTTTGTGCTGGGATGTAGTATCTCGTGCAGAAGAGTTGCTTCGTAACACCTAAGTTCATGTAAGCAGTTCAAATGATTGGTATGAACAAACCTGAAACATGTCTGGGCTCATTCATATTGGTAGCAGAGGTGTGATGTGTTAATATTCATGTGCTGCAGTGATATTTTTGATGTTTTTTGTAGACGTCAGTGATTCTGTGATATGTTTTTCCTGTGAAAAAGGATGAAAAGTAACTAACTTTCAATTTTTCCCACAATGTGGAGTGTATGTGTAAGTCCATACTAGAAACAAATTCTGATTTACAATTATTTTTTATTAATTCAGTTGTTTATTAATTCAGTAGTTGTTCTTCATGCAAGCAGTCTTTATGTTGTCCAGTGGATCATGGGACTAGCTGTTCAACTTCGTGTCTGTGAGAACACTTCAGAGCACAGAAAGGAAGGCAATTCTATTCCATTCGATTTGAATTGTTAATATGCTTATTGAGATACAGATTACATAGAACTAATAGCCACGTGGATTCTCTGTATCATCTGTTTAAATTGTTCTTTTTATCTTTGGTCTTGTTATTTTTTAGTTTTAGAGGGCCCTTTGGCAGTTTATTTTTCATTAAAAGATGCCTGGCTGATCCATCTGTAATTAAAAAGTGAAACTGTAGAAATTCTGTGTAAGGCAATACAGTGCTATATCTACCATAAGTAGGTATATTAAGGTTTTTCATGTATGCCTTTACGCCCACTCGTAATTATGTCTTGATTATGTAGCATGATCTGCATATAGCTTTTTTTATGTGAAATACATTGTAGACTATGAACCTTTCAGTGAAAAAATGATATAAAAGACTCCATATCTAACTAAATGAGTAGATATCAACAATTTATTATGGTCAATATTTTTAGTGTTAGACTTTCGTCTGTTGAGTTACTGGCTTCTTGTATGTGTATCCAATGCATCCAAGTCACTTTCCTTTAGACAACAAAGTTCAAGGAAACATGAATCTTATGCCCTCACTTTGTGAATTAACATCCTATATTCAAAAAGTGAATGCTATCTTCTTATTCATTGTATTTATGGCTTTATTGGAATAAGAAAGAAGGCAAAATAATTTGCGAGGCACTTCATGAAATACAAAAAAACTACTTTGTTAAATTACTTAAATTATCTTAGCTTCCCAATAGAAATGGATCTGAAAGGTGATTTTTCTTTGTGTAAAAATAGCACTTTTAAGGAAAAACAAACTTACATATAAATGCAATTTTATACAAATGTGCTTGTTATTTTGTTCTAATTCTGCTCATCATAAACATCAGGAGAGGAACACCTGACTGCGTTTGTACAACCAATAGCCTCATGGTTTCAGGTGGTGTTGTTTAGCACCTAAATTGAATGTTGAGAAAACCCAGTGACAAATCTTTTTCTACTTGAATGGCTAATAAATATGCTTTCCCAGGGACTTCCCATACTTAGCCTAAAAAAAAATCTGCCTGTCAGTATCTATGTCGTTACAGATGAGAGGGATTCCAACTTCTTTTTTAACTCTAATGACAGCATTAATTGAAGAATCAGACCGCATTTTTCTTTAGCTTCTACCATCCTAATCTTTCTCTGGAATAATGAGTTAAACAAGGCATATCATTCCCTAAATATCTGTAGTATGGCTATTCCTGTCTGTACGGTAAATGCTTCATGATCAACAAAATGAGATGCAGAATTTCATCAAAATACTGCTAACTGCAATTTACTGCATAACTAAATATT